TCAGGTTTCTCCGGATATATACACAGAAGTGGAGTCGCTGGGTCATAAGGTGGTTACACTTTTAACTTTTCGAGGACCCCTTACACTGTTTTCCACAGTGGCTGCACCCATCTGCATTCCCACCAACAATGCACAAGGGTTCCGTTTTCAGAGAAAGGATTTTTTTAATGCCAACACAGGGGTTGAAAATGGGAGGAAAGAAAAGGTTTAGGAGCGTCGTAGGGAACAGGAAGTGACCCCTAATATATCACAGGGCACGCTTTTCTGTGTCATTAGTGTCTATGGAGCGCACAGCCCATCAGAGCCACTGTACAAGCTTTGCACGCGTGGTCTCAATGTCTCCCTGCAGCCCTCTGCAGCAAGTACCGCTTCTCACTCCCCTTTTATGGGAGAGGAAGAAGCAGAGTCAGTCACTCCCCAAGTCACATTTAGGGCCTAGGGGCCCCACTTGGAAGCCCACGCTCATCATCCTCGTGCTTCCCTGCTCTGGGTGCTGGAGTTCCCTCCATGAGCCCCGAGGAGGCCCCGTGTCAGTGGAGCTGAGGCGTGGCTGTCGCCGTGTGCCGCTTCGTTTCTTAGAGCTGTGGGCTTATTTTTAAATCTGTGCCCACTCCTGAGGAACAAAAGTGCTACCACGAAACAAACAAGGAAAGAACTTCCCTAGATTTGGGATCCTTCTCCTCGGAAAGACTTTGGGGGAGACAGGCGCATTCTGCCCAAATAAAGAAAAAGCCTTTCATATCAGCATCCAACCACTAATATTGGAGTCAGGGAAAGACTCATCTGGAAGGCAGTTTGGAGACACCCCCTTTCAGGGGTGGAGAGGGAGAGCTAAGAGAGGAGCCAACTGTTCTGGGCCTTAAGCAGATTTTGCCCTTGGCACCATGCCAGGATAGCAAGTTAATAACTCCACTGGCTAAAGACTCTGCCAAAGGTACTAAGCCAGGAGCAGCAATCAGCAAACTCCTTCTATTGTGAATAGTTTAATACTTTTGCATCTGAAAAACATACACAACAACCTTCAGGTGCACCTCCGGGAGGCAGGTGTACCTCAGAACAAACTGTAAGACTTGAGAAGGCACACACCTTTTATATCCAAGAACCTCACCTTCTCCTGTGATAGTGTCCAAGAGGGCTGGCGCCACGTCCCACTGTCCCACCCGCAGAACTGCAACCCTCACCTCCAAGAAGACTGCGCTCTGTTATCCCTACTCCCAACTACAAACAGTGACTACACTAATAAATAATCATAACCCCTTCCATTATAACAAGCATCTTGCATCCAGAATCTCATTTACTCCTCACCGGGGCCCTACAAGGGAAGTATTATCCTTATCTATTTCACATTCTTATCCTATTTCACAGATCAAGCATGAAAACCCAATTCCCCAAGAGGGGGAGGGAGTGACTTGCTCAAACTCACATAACTTGGAGGTACATGAAATTCAAACCTGCTCTGCTTGACTCCAAGGTTTGTAATTGGTAGAGGTGAACAGGCTGTTGACTGAATTGATTAACTGGCTACCCTCTGAAATGGGTGGAATCAGAAACCCAGAAACAAAACCCGGGGAGAGTCAGCAGTTATGAGACTTAGGTCAGAGCGTCTGGGTCTCCAGACAATCCCAGGAAAGGCTGTGAGCATAAGCATAAAATATCTACAACCTCGTGTTTCTGTGCCGAATCCCAAACCGCTTGATTTTAGAGTCCAGCAGGTGTGTAGCTGCAGGTGCCACCGATTTGGGAACAACTTTGGAGAGGGAAACACATTTGCAAATTTTGGGGAAAGGCTCAGATTACCCAAGTCCCAGGGTTCCCAGGAGCGTGGACCTAGAAAGGTACGCTTTGGCAGTGGCTGGCCCACTGTAGGTGCTCAATTAATGCCTAGTGAGCCAAACCCAACTTTTGATGAGGGTTGATCTGCCAGCCCAGGCAAAACTGGCCCAAATGGTTCTGGACCAGCGCCTACTTTGGTGAAATGTAAGAGGACCAGGTCTCCTACCTCCAGTGGAAAATTTGTTCCACTGTCTCAAAAGCTAATCGGGCCCATCTGTTCCGCTAGCCTCTCACGTGAGTCATCCCGGCAGAAATTGCTGCAGTGGACTGTCCCATGCGCCCCAGGTCTTGGGCTCCTGCCACCTTTGCAGATGGAATTCCATCCTCATTTCCCTCTGTTCCTTCAGTGTCGGGAACCTGCCCTCTTCAGCCATTGACTCATTCAGCAGTGGGTATTTCCCAAGCACCTGCCATGCCTGGCGCTGGCTGCTGGGGACATGGAGCAGACTGCACAGGAGTGGTCCTGCCCGTGTGGGTTTACCACGTCAGAGTGTTAAGATCCCAGATGATCGTTAAGGGCACAGCCAGGCGAGCTGTCACAAAGGAGAGGCCTGTGCTGTGCATGGGACTGGGATCCAGCCTTGGCCTGCGAGGTGAGGAGGGTGTTCTCCTGGCAGGAAGCTTCTGCTGAGACCGGCAGTGTGGTCTAGCCAGCAGGGGTGCCGGGCGGCGAGGTGATGTTGGAAGTAGACAGAGCAGGAATCCTGGCAGGCAGCCGAATGTTTCCCAAACTGCTGGGCACCACAACACAATCAAGGTGGGAAGGGGCTATCATTCCAAACAGGAGGGTCCCCATAGCCCCACTCTGTTGAGACTGTGGCAACAGGAGAGGACAGCTTCCTTTAGGACAGAGCAGGGGGAGCATACTAAGGGGGGCGTTTCCAGCAACAAAGTATTCCAGCTACTACGGGAGCCTGCAACCCATTTACTTCCCAATAGAAAGGGCAGTGTGTTCGGGGTTGTCCTTTAACATCACTCTCACCTATGGTTTGATCTGGTTTGAAAGGTGGGGAGGCTTCAGGGCGTCAGGCCAGCAGGCACGGCACGAAACCCCCGCTGTGGGAGGAGCGCGGCAGTGCCCAGGGCCCCAGCGTGCGTGAGGGCGCTCAGGTGTGCCGGGGCCCAGAGAGGGCACGGCAGCACTTCTGGCGCGAGGCTAACCTGGGTGGAGACTCCTCTGTTTGTCATCTGATTGACCCAAGCCTGTCACGGAAATTCTCTGAACTTTGATTTCCTGGTCTGCGGCATGAAGTCAGTTACACCCACCCCCCACCCCCCGCGCCCCGGACTGTCCTAGTGTGTCACCATCTAGCAGGTGCCAACTTCCCCCTAATGCAGACCTCAGGTTTCCGGCTCTGCCTGCATGACCTGTCCAGGACAAGGCATCCTGGATCCGTAGAATAAGGGAGCACGGCCTCTCCCTCTATGGTGCCAAGCTTACTGCCGTCACACACAGAGAGCTCTGGGAGACTATAATCTGATATGTGCATCAGGTTTGCAGGTAAAAGGCAAGATTTCCGACCTTGTTTCCAGGTTTCCCCATGTACAGACGCACTCTCCTCTGAAGTGAAGGACCCAGGAGTGAAAATTCAGAAGCATTAGAATAAGGGACCCCAAAGTTTCTATAGGGATAAGAGTTTCAGAAAACCTCCATTTCAGAAGTTTAAAATGTTTATTTTGCCGTAAAGAATGAGCATCTTGTGTAATGTAATCCTTGCATTTCTACCTCACAACTAAAGGCGATCAAAGTAGGAGGGAGTTTACCCGCCTTCCCTTAACTTTTCAGAAACAGAGCATGTCTGCGTCTCTCATCACCAGGTTTAGCGTTGCCTGGGTCTTTCCATTTACAGCTTGGAGAAGTCACTAAAGAAATCACATCTTGTAAAGATATCCCAAGACAGTTAGAAGGAAAACATTAATAAAACATTTATACCTTGCAGTTGTTGAATGGAAAAGACCCGGTTCCTGGGAAGTCCCCAGCAAATCTGGGTGGTGGGTCACATTACCCACGCAGAAGCGCATTTATGTTAAAATAATAATGATCATTGTAAAAGATACTGGTATGTACCAGATGAATGCAAAGAATAAAATGTCTTTGGGGAAACAAGATCCAGGGAGCTTTACACCAAACTATGCATAGCAGCTCCCTAAGGAGGAGGGACAGACGGAAGGATGGAGCAAGGAGAACCTATTTCTTTCTGTACTGCTTCAATCTTTTACGTTGTAATAGGATTTTAAAAAAAGATTTACTTGCTTTTAGAGAGAGGGGGAGGGAGGGAGAAAGAGTGGGAGAGAAACATCAGTGTGTGAGAGATACAGTGTTCGGTCGGCCGCGAACTGGGCGCCCTAACTCGGAATGGCATCAGCAGCGTTTCAGTTCGCAGGCCGGCACTCAGTCCGCTGGGCCACGCCAGCCAGGGCTGTAAGGGGTTTTTAAAAACTAAAGAAAACTATGTCTTTCTAGGAACCCAGAAACACTATGAATGCTTTACTCGTAGAGTCTGCTTTAAAAAAATTTTTTTTAATCCTCACCCAAGGATATGTTCATTGATTTTAGAGAGAGGCGGAAGGAGGGGGAAAGAGAGGGAGGGAGGGGGAGGAGATAAAGAGAAACATTAATGTGAGAGAAATACCGATCCATAGGCTCCCACAGGCACCCTGACCAGGGGTGAACCTACAACCGTGGCATGTGCCCTGATGGGGGTGGGGGTTGAACCTGCAATCCTTTGGTGTATGGGGACAGCACTCCAACCAGCTGAGCCACCTGGCCAGGGCAGAGTCTGCTTTTTAAACACACAAGCAAGTCTGAGAAACAGAATGCTTTTCCTTAAGCAGAAGTTTTGGGGACAAAATAAAAAGCTACAGAACTGACTTCTAAGTAAATCTAAAACCTAAACCATTTCAGTGTGTGGAACTAAGGAGTCTGCACAGGGATTCCCAGCAACATAACCATTTATAGAAGCAAAGAAAGACCTGTCCCCTTCATCAGTGTTACATTCAGAGCCTCTCAGATCAGCTTCCCGTAAACACAACAGGAGCTGCTGTCCCCCCGGAGAGCTCACAGGCACACATTTATATAGGGGCTGCCTTCACTATGCATTGAATTCCCATTCACTTGGACACTGGCTTTAAGTCCCTGTCCCCTGGGAGGGGGTGAGCTCACTTACCACTTCTCTCTCCGCCTTTTCTTTCCCCATGTCCTCTGATTGTGCACTCAGGATTCCGTTGTCCAGGTTCCTTCTCTGTGGAGGGTCCGAAGCTAAACTGGCTGGCTGCTCCCTGCCGTGCCTGTAAATGTCACTTTTAGATTAACCAGCCCTTGCCGGTTTAAAAATATCCCGGGTGCACTTAACCATCAAGGCACCAAAGAGCAGCAATAACCCAGGTGAAGTGGGAAAGGATCTTGCTTGCAGCAAACCGTTTTCCACCTTTCAGTCCCACTGCTTGGCTTTATTTCAAAATGCTTAGGCACCTAAACCACAAGGTATCTAAAGTCCAAGTTGTCGTAAGCAATACAAAGTCATGCTGGCTCTCCTAGGACATGTTGAAAGTTAATGGCATACAGGTCTGTTGGTCGTTTGAGAAACAGCTTCAGGAACAAACCCTGAACAAATCCTCGGTGAATGAATGGGCTCAGGTGATTACTATCAAAAGATCACCTGGCTTCTCTCCCCCGGGAAGATTTTGGTCAAACCTTCTCTATGCAAATGTCCCTCAAGGACATGTTTCCCATTTCTGAGGTCTTGGGGGAAAACCAAACCAGCAGAGATCCATTCCCACTCGCTCTTGCTAGGGCTGGGAGCAGAGACCCAGCAGCCACAGAATGTTCTGCCATGTGGGGACGGCTGGTGGCATGTGGGACAAAGGTCACCTGCAGGTCCAAACCAGAGCAGGTGGCAGGGAAGCCAAGGCCACACAAAAGGGCACTGTGCTCCACAGAACCAGGATGAAAGCAGAAAAAACAGCAAGAGGGCTGAGTTTATGCAGAACAGAAGGGTTTACAGGACAGCTCTACCAGGTACAGCCTTTGCCCCGCTGGGGGAGCTATTTTCCAAGAAAGAAAAGTTGTCCAATAGCGGACTTCTGACTTGGGATTTTCTCCACTGGACTGTTCAGTAAGAAGTGCACTTCTTGCCTGCCCTCTGTATCCTCTTGAAGCCTTGGTGTCATCAGCTGTCACCTGGGATAGTGCCGCATCCATTTTATAGTTGAGGATGAAAGGATACAGGTCGAGCGCTTAGCACAGTGCCTTGAGTTCTTGATAATCGGGCAGGCAGCCCCTATGAGTGTGGTTAGATTATGTGTCAAGACTCCATCACTCTAGAGTAGCTCACACAATCCTCTCAAACTACAAACAGGTCCTTCTGTGTGTCCTAGAAGAGCCATCTGTGAGTCAAGGAAAAATTTTAAAACTCCATTTAAACTCCCCATGACAGCAAATTTGGATCTGCGCAGAGTGTCAACGGGGACAAGACTGCTGGGTTTTGAAATCAGGTTGGCATAGGTTTGAATCCTAGCCCTGTTACCTGTGGCTTTGGCAAATGGCCAAGTCAGTTTCCTCATCCAACTACTTTACCACATGGGTGAGGAAATTAAAGGAAACAATAGAGTGCACTTCTAGCATAGTAGCTTGCTCATGACAGGCACTTAATCAAATCTAATGAAACTCCTTACTTTTTTTTAAATATATTTTTTAAATATTTTATTTATTTATTTTTAGAGAGAGGAAGAGAGGGAAAAAGAGTGGGAAACATCAACTCACACGTCCCCTACTGGGAACCAGGCCCACAACCACAACCCAGGCATGTGCCCTGACTGGGAATCAAACCTCCGACCCTTTGGTTTGTAGGCTGGTGCTCAATCCACTGAGCCACACCAGGCAGTGCTGAAACTCTTTACTTTCAAAAAGACTAGAAATATTCCCCACTCTCCCTACACACACACACACACACACACACACACACACACACGCACACTCAGATGAAAACCTCTCTGCTGGCTCAGTTCTGCCTTGAGACTTTCTTTGAGGCAGCGGTTTTATTTATTTGTTTGTTTATTTATTTAGTATTAGAGAGAGATAAAAACCAATTTGTTTTTCTACTTATTTACACATTCGTTGGTTGATTCGTGTATGTGCCCTGAGCAGGAATCAAACCCACAACCTTTTCATATTGGTATGACACTAACCAACTGAGCTACCTGGCCAGGACAAGGCATAGGTTTCTAGAAGCCAAATGGAAGGCTCGAAACCAAAGTTATTCACAAACTTTCCCACCAAACATAAGAACATGAATAGGAAAACATATTTCTTCAAACAGATTAAGAAACTCATAGTTAAGTTGTTTACCACCCCACCCGACCCCCCCATCCCACCTCCCACCAAAAAAAAAAAATCAATCGACCACATGGTCTAAGAAAACAAACAGGGCAACTGGAAAGAAGCTGCCAGGCCTGCTGCAAACTGGACACTTTATAAATACATCACCTTTTCCTCCTCCTCCTGAGGGCCAATTAAATCAGAATTTCTGGGAGTGGGCCTGGCATTAATATTTTTTAAAGGTTCCTGGGGTGACTCTGTGGTGAGGCTTGAGGAGCATTAATTGCTTGTTTGAAGCCTCCGGACCTTCGTGTCTGTTGCTCCAAATATGGGGACACAGGAAATTCACAACTGAGGAGCAAAGAATGCAAAGCACTGACCTCCTGGTCTGCCCTATCACCATTTCCCAACATGCTTCAAAAACTTACAAACCCGTTCCAGCTGAGAAAATGAACAGGTAACTTCACCCCCAACAGGAAGAGGCCGTCTCCAGCAGGGGTCTGTTCCAGTCTTTTCTCAGCCTGAGTCACCACCAGTCAACACCCCAGGGCCCTCCAATGTGGCCCAAGGCCCACACCTCGTGCATCTCCAAAGTGTGACAAAGATAAAAAGCCACTGCCACACACAGGCACACCAAAAAGTTTGCTTCTCCAATCCCAAACCCTTTCTAACGTTTTCTATGCCAGGAGCCAACTGAAGCAGGAAAGTGAATTTTGAAAGGGAGAAAATGTTATCTTATCATAATAATGGAAAGATATTAACAACATGCTGAAGTCTATAAAAACACTTCACATCCCCCCTCCCTTGCCCTGCTGGACTCCGATCACAGATCGTGATTTCCACACAATTATTTTATAACTTGGGGTTCCCAGCATTTTGTATAACTGACTTCCTTGTGTTCCCAAAAGCCCTTGGCAGATCCCCTTCTCTTGCCTGAGATGGGGGGAGTGGGGGAGGGACAGGAATCATTGTCGGCCAGGTTCTCACCTGCTCCCATAGTGATCCACACACGACTGTGCACACAGTGCAAGGACACAGCAGCTGGGCTGTCATTGCTGGTGTCTGAGCAGGAGGCCCTAGGACAGGAGCCTGTCTGTCTGCAAACTGCACCCACGCTGCCTGTTCTCATAGGGCTCCCAAACTAAAAGTGGTTTTAAAACATTTGTTAAGTGCTTGAAAAAAGTAAAAGATTTCATGACACGTGCAAATCATTGTTACCTTCCAATTTCAGTGTCCATAAACTTTTACTGGAACACAGCCACACCTGTTTGCTCACATTCTGCATGCAGCTGCTATCTCCATAGCACAGTTGAGTTGCTTGGAGAGACGGGATGACCACAAAGATTAAATGCATACTGTCTGACCCCTTTCAGAAAAAGTATGCTGACCCCCCGCCTAAATGGCCAAGATTGCCTTTCATTTGAGTGTACCCAGTGCTGTAATCGTAACAAATCCGAAAACGTGAAAAAACTGATAACTACACAGCTAAAAGTTAACCACAATGAACCTGGTTCCTAAAACATCAGTGATTATTTTGTGGGGGGAGGGCAGGAGGGAGTCATAGACCATTGAAGATGCTCTTTGTACTGTTTAAAGCCTCACTACAAAGATTCAATCTGCTTTTGAAAATGAGTTTGCTTTTTGAATCCTTTATGATGACTCAGAGCTCACTACTTCCTCTCTCCTCACAGCACTGCATGGGGAGGGAAGCTCCAAAACCTAACTGATAACAGAAATACCAACCCTCTGGAATGCCGAGGGTCAGGGTTAGGGTTAGCACCCCCAAAGTACCAGGGGGCAAATGAAGCATGCGTCTTTGTCTCTCTTCCTTCCTGAAAGCCTGCTTGCCGATGGCAGAATGTGGGGTCACAAATCCTCCTCTTCAAACCTAAGAAATCTAAGGCTCGGAGAGAAAGCAATATTCAAGCAAAAGTAGGGCTTCCGCCTCCCTGCTTTCGAAGAGACGCCGGGGCTGCTCCAGGAGCCCTCACGTATGGCCTTCTTGCTAATCCTCTTGCATACAGGCACAGGAGTCACCGCTCCCCCCGACCCCTCTCCCTCCTTCATAGGACACCAAGGGCGTCCACCCAGCCTTTCAACCAGACGGGCCACAGCGGTGCCCCTCCAGCATCCTGGCCTCCTACTTCAGCTCGATTCCCTGGAGTCTGCAAACGCTAGTACCGGGAGGGCAGGGAAGCTGCCCTTTAACTGTCCCAGGGTTTGGCACACAGCACTGACAGGAATGCCAAGATCCCCGCAGAAACGGTTTCCGGTTTTACTGGCCCCTTTAGGGTATCAACAGACCCTGACCCAGTCTACAACCTCCCCACAGCAATCCGGGCTGGGGCGCGCCCCTCCCTGGAACCCCGCCCAGCGCTTACCGAAGCCCAGCTGAGGGGTGGGCTGCTCCATCAGGGTGGGGCGGAGGGAGGAGGGCGGGGAAAGGAGCGCGAGGGCGGGGCAGAGGCCCTTCCCGCCCACGATGGTCACAATGGCAACCAGAGCCCAAAGGCAGCCAAGGGTGTAGGCAGACGCCCGGGTTTAGGAGCTGACTGGTGAACGGGACTCAGCATTAAAGGGCACTTTGCACAAAGTGAAACTTTAAAAAAACTTTTTATTACCAAACTCTAGCAGGTTTAACTCTGGACCCAGCTAACAGCAAAACAGCATCTCTAGCAGGATCTGGGATGGAGGTGCAGACCTAAAGATCATCATTTAACCAAAGGACTTAAAAAATATATATATACATCTGCATAAGTACTTTTTAAAAAAAGCAAAATTCTCCAGTGTTGCAGAAGATATCGGAAAGTGATTTCAGTCCATATAAAACAGCACCTGGCACTATGCTGCCTTAAAAAGTAAATTCAGGATGCACCTGGGAGAAGAGTAAAATATTTCCTCTTAAAAAAAAGAAAAAAATTCCCACCTTCCCTTTCCTGTTCGACTTCCACTGCTTATTCCTAGAAACACTCAGAACAGTATAAACAAGACCCAGCCCACTTCTCTCCACCTCTGCCTGTCTGAAGGCTCACCAAGGATTGTTCCTTAAGGGTTTTGACCTCTGCTACAATCAGGAAATTGAGCCCTAATTTCTGGGAACTGGGGGGGTGGGGGGGGGGAGAAAAAAAAAAAATCCTAGTTCCTTCTGGGAGGGACCTGGCCCAGACAGAATACCAGGATATGCAAAAGAAGCCTTTCTAAATAAAAACATCGGAGACCTTATAACCTAAAGTGTATCCTATAGGTAAAAACAACTAGCAGTGTCTCACATACCAAAAAGGTGCTAATCTCTCCATCTCTACCATAAAGCAAACAGAAGGGAGGAGAGTCACCTCCTCTCCCTTGCAAGAGCTTTGATGCACAGTCTAGGCCAAAGCCACCTGTAGAGACAGACGTGTGGTCATAGGGTGCAGTCCTTGCTGGATAAAGCTGCCACTCCTGGGCAGCCTGGCCCATGGCCACTGTACCAAAACCGTCTCCCCCACATGCAGGATGCTCAAGAATCACTAGGGAAATTATTTTTTCAATTCAACCTCATCACTGACAAACTCTAGAAACTGCGTGGAGACCACCACACCCCCAGTGCAGGGTCACAGATCCTTCCAGTTGATGGGTTCCTTGCCAGACTTCTGCAGCAGCTCGTTGGTTTTAGAGAAATGTCTGCATCCAAAGAATCCTCTGTACACGGACAGGGGGGAGGGGTGGGCAGTCTGCAGCACGTGGTGACGCTTCTGAAAGAGAGTGAGAGAATGACTAAAAGGTGGCACGCTTGGCACCTGATGGCTGCTGCACTTGAACACAGCTATGCCACTCCCTTTGCCTTCTCTAAACTGTCCCGTTTTGCTAAGTGTATTCATTTGCTTTCAGCGTTCATCCCAGAACATCAGCACACTTGTTCATTCATTTGTGGAGCAGCGACCTTTGCTAGGCTCTCAGGCTGCGCCTCAGCCTCCAACCTGGCACCACCCATGACATTTTGAAGGGCCCGTATCTTATGATCCAGCAATTCCACTGCTGAGAATGTATTTGCTAAAGCACCCCATGATGCATCTGCCTACACAAAGACGAAGGTTTAAGGAGGTCCACGGTGGCACTGCTGATCCAGGTAACACCTAATGCAAATCCAGTGTTATGTAACTGGCTAAAAATATTTTTCTCAAGTTCTTACAGTGCAACGCCACATGGCTACTAGAACAAGGCCCAACTACATATGTTGATATGGGAAGACCTTCAAAATGTATCAAGTGGAAAAAAAATAGTGATAACTGCATCAAAACAAATTTTTCTTGGAAAAATACACAAAACACTACTTGTACTAGCTCTTTCAGGAAAAATACTGGAAAACGCTGATTTTTATTTTGTACCTCTCATTACTGTCTGAATTGTCTTACCACAAAAATGGAGCCCTTTTAAAATTTCAACTGTAGTTATTAACTGAGCAGGAAGATTACAGATTTTTGTTTTCTTCTTTATTCTTTCCTGTATTTAAATAAAAGCCACCTAACAAATAACTGTTTTCCATCACCCCCGCCTTCAAGTTGCCCAGTCCAGGAGGGGCCTGAACCGAAGCAGGCAGCCCGGTGTGGCAGGAGCACAGAGCCCGGGGCTGGACAGCCAGGGCTCACGTCCTGGCGCTGCCGCTCAGTTGTGTGGCCATGGGGAAGCTGCTGAGCCTTGCTCAGCGGCATTTCATTTTTATCTGTAAACCGGGAATATCAGTGGTGCTCAGCTTCTAGTTACCCCAAAAGAACAAATGGATGATCACACGTGCAGGGTATTAAAAGAAGTAACGGAGGTCAAGTGCTTATTAGCACCTTGATTGGCATGACGTACACGCCCCTTCACAAAACCGTGAGCTGTGCTGAGCTTTGAACGATGAGTCAGCCTGCCTCTGGGGAAGGAACAGGCCTCTACACTCAAGACAAAGGACGCAGGGCGCTCAAAGGCAGGCAGGGTAGCGGGGCCAGGGAACCAACCTGGGAGAGGCGGTCAGCCTGGAGGGGAGAGTGAAAAGAGGGGAGGTGGTGCTGAGAGGCAGAGCAGGGCCATGCCCATGACCTCAGCCTGCCAGCCTCAGGCAGGGCCTCCAGGGACAGGGCGCCTGAATGCTCCAGGCAACATCAGAGGAGGCCTAAAGCAAGGCAAAGGGGTTCGGGTAGGGCCGGGTTGGAGGGACGGTAAAGAGAGATCGCAGGCCGTGAATGACTGGATGTGGGGTAGGGAGGGGAGGAGAGGGAGAAGAGGGAAAAAGAGGTAGCGAGGCATGATGAATGGTATCCGATTTCCGGCTGAACAACTGGGTAGACGGTACCTTTTATCCTTGGGTAGTTCAGAGGAGTAAGTTTAGTGAGGGATGGATAAGGAAAGAAAATATCGCTTGGAAAATGCTGAATTTGATGTTGAGTTTTCCAGGACCACACTGCAAGGATTCCTAGAATTCTCTCAGCTGGTTTAATGGTTGAAAACCACATACCCTGTCGATGGCGATGCCCTTCCTCTGAGCATAAGAACCCCAGAGCAAGAAGACGAGACCATGTGAATTCTGATTTAGCCAGGATACAACTGCATCGGTAAATTGCTCCCAACCTTTCTCCTTATGAGAATTGGCCTGATGTGCCCGGACCGTGAGGACAGCGTTGAGCAGGAGAACACCTGCAAACACACACCAAAGAAACAGGTTAAAGGCAGGCTGCAACAAGTCAGCCCAACACCCAGGGGCAGCTTAACACGTGAGTAGAAATTTCTCAGGATGGAACCCAGAGCAACCGCCTGAAACTCGGTCATAGAGAAATCATTACAACAGACTGCTGGGCAGCACCTCTTGGTGCAATCAGAGGGCATTCAACTTTCACCTCTACACTTTCAACGCCTTCCAAGTTTGCAACGGTGAATGTTATTGATTTATCATCGGTCATCAGAAGGAATCAAACTATATCCTAAGTGACATTAAATAATCCCAGAAAATAACAAAAGGAGGCCAAAGTATTTCTTTGGGGGGAAAAAAAAATCTAACTGCAAGAAACCAAAGAGTAAATATTCTTTCCTTATCCTGAGTACAGATTTATTAAAGGAGAAAGTCCATAGCTGTGTATTAAACACATACAACACAACCTATGTTGAAATGGCAAAAAGTGAGGCCACCTTGTAAATGGTCAAAGTTAGGCTACATGGATAAACGTAAAATAATAATAATGAGGAACACTTTTCAAATTATGATTAAAACATGAAAGACAACATTGGCTGCAGGGTACAATGGAGATACATTTTCTGACTTAGAGCTCTCTCATTCTTCATGACTATCTTTTACAAACGTAAGTACGTGGACAGAAAAGAGAAGACCATTGAACTCCTCCCGAGACACATGTAGCAGCGGTGGTTTTACCTTGCTTGGCCCACCCAGATAAATCTCCGTGACCAGGATGAACAAAGCCATCTATGTCTGTAGACAGCTCTTTATAAATGTTTTCCAAACTGAAAGCAAGCCAGAAGGAAAAAAAAAATCTTAATTAAGCACAATTCTGAAAATTCAGTAACCTCCCCACATGTAAATTACAGCCTGAAAAGCCAGCCCAAGGGGACGAAAGCACACACACTGATTCAGGGGCAATAAGGCCATTCCGTCTGTCCGACTCCTTCATTTTGGCCTGTATTTGACTTAAGGAACAGCACTAGAGAAGGCCGAAATAAACTAGCCCAAGAATTACACCCCCCTCCCAATGGATGCTTAGTCACAGTTTCTTATCTCTACATATTTATAAAAATCCTCTAAAGCAGTGGTTCTTGACCAGGGGTGACTTCTATGCCCCAACGGACATCTGGCAATGTCCAAAGACACTTTTCATTGCCATTTTGTTAAAACTCTTTGGTTGTAGGGGGCAGTGCTGCTGGCGTCTGGTGGGTGTAGGCCATAGGTGCTGCTGAACATTGTCCAGTGCACAGGGCCAACCCTTTCCCCCCAAAAGTCCCAGCCCCCCGATGTCACCACTGCTGAGACTTGACAAATTCTGCTCCAGCCCTTCGCTGGTTCGATTCCCGGTCAGGGCACATGCCCAGGTTTTGGGTCAGATCCCCAGCTGGGGTGTGTGAGGGATGCAATCAGTTCATGTTTCTCTCACTTTCTCCCTACCTGCCTTTCTCTCTAAAAATAAATAAATAAATAAATAAATAACCCCCCCTTTTTTTTTTAAAGAGAGAAATCCTGTTCCACAAGCTAGTAAAAGCCCCCCAAATAATAGGCTTACCCGCAATATGCCAAGTACACATCTGAAACTAATTGCAATGGGACCAGAACCATCTATAAAGCAATCATACCTGGGCGGAGGTGGAACAGGTCTTTGAACACTGAAGCAAAGCCCATGAGCTTGATTGGGTCCATGATATGGATCCTGTCCCAGGATGACAACCTTTACCTGTGAACACCGAGCGGCAGATTGAACAATGCCCTAGTGTAGGCAGGGTAAACAAGCACCTGGCTGACTGAAGACCTGGCCGGGGGGCGGGAAGATAGTGAGCAGGGTAGTCTGCCCGCTGACCCAGCTAAGAACCCCCAGGGGAGAGCAGGTGAGCTGGCATCATTACCTCCCACTACCAAATCCTGCACCCAATCACCTACCACACCGTCCCCTCTCTTCTGGCACAGGCATTTTAAACAAGTTGGGGTCAACTTTGCTTTCGTCCCTTCCATTTTCCAAACGACAAAGTGAAATAGAACCGTGAAAACAAGTACAGCCATCCAGAAATATACAACGTAGTTGGTCCTCTCCCAGCTACCCTATCCCATTCTGACTCCATCAGTTTTGATCACCTATAGAATTGAGGTGATTATACTCACTACCCTACATGTTTGCGTTGCTCACATCACACATTCTGGGCTCCCTTCAAGTCAATAGAGCTCAGTCACTGATGGGCAGTCAGTTCGTTTTCCAATTTTTTCCACTATCCAAAGTTACACAGTCGACACCCTAGTACATGTATCTTTCCACACTGTTGCTTTTATTTCTATGGAATATTTATAATAGTGGAGTTGATGGTCAAAGGGTAAGTGTATTTTAAAGGCACATCCCGAACTGTTTTTCAAAGAGTTGAGCAATTCAAATTCCCCAAGAGCAGCACAGGAAGGTGCCTGCTCCCCTACATCCACTAAGGAAGGGCACCAGAAGATAAGGAGGCCAGGCCAAAGGGCCATGGGAGTAGGCCACAAGATGCAGTGACAAGTAATTAGGCCACTGTCACAGGGGTGTTAAAACACAGCTAGTCCTTTTGGTCTGGAGGCCGCCCACCTCTTCATCCTCGTGCTTCTGCTCAAGGTGCACCACCTTAGAATCTCCTTCCACAGCTAACATACACCACACCCTCCGGCGTTAGACTTTCCCCTAATCGGGAAGCTTCTGTGGGGTGGGCATTGCCATTCCTACTGCTGGGGCCCACTGTCCCCAGCATGAAGCTACCTGTCCAGGCAGGGAAGCTTTTCAATTCTGGTCCCGGATAAGGGACAACTTTGGAGAGGCCAGGTAACCTCCCATACCCTCCACGTGTTCATTTGCAAAGAAGCCATGCTGGGCCATCCGATCCTCAGTTTCATACTCTTTTCTTATTCTTCCCTATTTATGTCAGTCATTGATATTCAAAACAGGATACGTGATTCAAACAAGGTGCAAAATAGTACTGAACTTAGAAGGATTTAGTTTTCCTTTTTTAACTTCAGAAACAAGGAGCTATATCCAAAGTCCTTACTCTAAACGGAAAAGTGTGAGGTGTAGCAGCCCTCACCTATCAAGATGGCTTATTCATCTATTTCACTTCTATTTAAGTTATTTCTATTAAATCACAGGACTCCTGCTCTCCACTTACAAATAGGGGAAGAAAAGGAGCAACAACAAAATGTAAAAGCCTCCAGCATAAGCAGACACTAAATACATCTGGGGAGTTCAGAGGAGAACCAGATCACAAAGGTGGTGGGAAACAGGCTCCCGGGAGGTGCCACAGATCTAGTTGGCCTTCAAGGCCGAAGTGAGGAGGAGGTGGCCACACTGCTCAGCTCCGAGGTAAAACAACGGGAGGTGGCAGTAAGGCTGGTAAGTCAGATGTGGCCATATTCACGTCCAGCTCTCATAGTTCAGACACTGGGAAGCCACGGACAAGCTACTGAACAGGAGATTGACACGACCAGAGTGCCAAGGCAGCAGCTGTTGTGTTCAAAGAACCAGAACAAAGAGATTTAACAGGGTAGCCAAACTGTTTGGGACAGAAGAGACTGGAAGTGTCAACTATAAAAGATAGTGAGGTCAGACAGAAAGAATGCCGAGCTACAAGTCAAGGTGGGGCTGACTATACCCAGGTGAAAAGGACTTCACTGCTTCATGCCTGTTTCCTCATCACCACCACAATAATACTCAACACTGGCCTGGGGTTGGTTTCAGGATTAATAAAAATACAAGAAGTGAGAGCATATTTAGTATTTTATTTATTACTGAATTATGGACGGTGATTTAACTCAATACTATTTAATGTCCACCTCTTTTACTAAAATTCATCCACAACTTGCACTTACGTCTCTTATGTCGCACATTTGGGTCCATGTGAAGACTTGGTGTGGGGGTGGATAAACAGTGTAATGTCTTCTTTCTTCTGCAACAAATCCCATTAGCTGATTTGAAAGAGAAACAAGGTTTGAGAGGAAAGCATATGAATTCCACAGGAAAGTTAACTGAAGCATTATTTAGCTCTTCCCTATGTTTTATGTCCAAATGCATTAAAAAAACAACAAAGTTGCTCTATCTGTTTAATTCCCTCCCTTTCTTCCGTCTGGGTCAAAGTTGATTGGCCCAGGTTCTTTGATTTCCTGTTAACGCCAGCCCCGCCTTCATTCTTTCTTTTAAAGTTGGAGCCAGGATTCCTGCAGTCCGGTTTGTTTGTGATTTTACTATGCCACTCTTTCCTGGAAAGCAGACTAACTAAATGCACTGAAAGGAGACGATATCTTAGTCTTTTAGACACTTTAACTAACATAAGTGTGTGGATTCAAAACACCATGGTTTTACTTTACCCCCATAGCGTGAAAAAGACGTCAAAGGAGGGAAAACAGGAGACTTTGAAAGCAACATCTTATGCACGTGGTCTTCGCCTGCTATGCTAACAAGGCAAAGGCTTCTTGTTTACCTTTATAAAATACGGTTTTCCGAACTCTCCGCTTAGGTGCTGCTTCCAACTTTCACCGAAACCCACCGGAACGTTTCGAGCCGCGAGTCTGAGCAGGGCCGCGGCCTTGTTCTTCTGGATGCGCATCAACTGTTCGGGGCTCAGCGGCGATGAGGGCGGTGTGCCGGGTTCCTCCTGCTCCGCCCGAGCCTTCTTGGCCGGGGTAGTCTGCAAGTGGTCCCCGCAGAGACGCGTCACAAGCTTCAAGGGACATCTCCTGGGCGCCCGCAGGCTCCGCCCCCAACTCAAAGGCCCAAGACAGAGGACACCCATTCTTGGGTTTCAGCCCCACTCGAAAGGTCGGTACAAAACCGGACTCTGGAAAACCAGGCCGTTGCCCCCAGTTACGCGTTTGGTACTAAAACAGGGCGCAGAGGATCTTTTCGCGCGAGCGGAAACCCTGCAACCTGGAGCCCCCCCGCTCCCGACCCGCCACTGCGGCGTCCCCACGTTGCCTTTTCGCGGCAAAAACCCTCCTCCCGAGGGCCCACCCCGTCCTTTCTCCAATTGGACGGCGGGGCAAGAAGGGCAGCCCCCTCGCCTCTGATTGGCGCCATGGGCCCCGAAGCTCGCCCCATTGGCTGACCCCTCAGCATGGCAGCCGAGGAGCACCGTGACCGGTGTTTTGAAAGTGTGGCGGCTGCTTTTAACATGTGGCGGCTGCTTTGAACCTGGACCTCAGTTTCCCAAGTCAGGGGCATGTTTCTGCACCTCCTCCGTCGCACGGCGCCCACCGCCTCCCTCCCTCTTCCTTCCCCCTTCCCCGGCACCACAAGCAGTCCCCGCTATGCCTCACCGGGGCATCCCGGCTCTCCTCAGCTACGGCCGCCACGCCGGTCCCCGGGTCGCCCGGCTCGGGGCTGCGGACACGTCGTTTCCTGGCAGGGCTCGGGGAGAAGAAGGAATAGAGCGTCTTCTGGCCGATCATTCCGACGCCGAGAGGGAAGCGAACACACGCCGCCGGGGTACCCGCAAGGCTGGCGCAGACTGTGGCGGTCTGTAATTGGCGCCAAGATGCGCGCGCATGCTCCAACCGAAGGGGTGGACCGGGCAGGGGGCGGTGGAGGGTCTAGTGCGCATGTGCGGGAGGGGCTGCGGTGGGCAGGGTCGGTTCTCTCATTCATTTACTCTTTCATTTATTCAATCGACACACCTCTATGCCTTGGGGCAAGTCCCTGCAACTCACCACTGTAAAAAAAGATAAAAAAGTACCTGTTGTGGGAGTGAAATTAGCATCAAATAGTATTTATTGAGCTCTTAGATACTAGTTTATCTCATCCAATTTTCACAACCCATTTTACTGACAACAAACTAAGGCTAAGAACAGCGGGACATTGTGCCTTAACCTGCAGGGTGTGGGGAAAATTTGAGGTCGTAAAGGTTAAATTTCAAACTAGTCATTCTCTGAAAAGCACCACCGCATCCCCTAATACGCCTGGGATTCTTCTCTGTCCCTCCCTCCTGACATCCAAACGATCAACAGGTCCTCTTGGTTCTGTCTCCAAAATAAAATCTGAGTTCAGCCGCTCCTCTCTCTATCTCCTGGCTACAATCCCAGCTGGTTATCTCTTTCCTACCAAGTGATCAGTTTGCAATGTAAATTACATTACGATTATCCCCAGGTGAAAATCCTACAGTTTCCAAGTATGCTTAGAATAAAATGTCAGCTTCTTCGTCTGCTGGCAAAGCTGCTTCTGAAGGAAGCCCCCACTACGGTGGCATGACTGGATCTGGGTCTCAGCATTCATTCGACATAACCAGGTTGTCCCTCGTGTGGCCTTTACACCGTTGCACACATTGCCCCCCTTATCTGGGACCTTTGAAAAAGCAGTTCAGCAGTTTTTTATAAAGTAAAACAAACACTTATAAGTGCCCCTGCAATCCCACTCCTAGGTATTTACACAAGTGAAATTAAAATCTATGTTCACACGAAAGCTTCTACAGGAATGGATATAGTGAATTTATCTGAAATTGTCTGAAACTGGAAACAACCCCAATGTCCCTCAATGGGTAGAGAGCGAGGCACCAGTACAATGGAACACTACTCAACAATCAAAGGATCAACTGATACAAACAACAAGGATATATCTTAAAAACATTATGCTAAATGAAAGGGGCTAGACACAAAAGGCTATATGTTATTAATAAGGCTTTATTAATAAATTATGGAAAAGACAAAACTATAGGGACAGAAAACACATCAGTGATGGAGGGCTTGGGGGAATATTGTGGAGTGATGGAACCGTTCTGGCTCTAGATTGCGGAGGTGAACACACAACCGTGTACGTTTGTCTAAATCTGCAGAATTGTACACGAAGAAGGTTCCTAAGAAAGCCCCAGCTTCACAGAGCTTTCATTCCACTGGAGGAGACAGACAGAATTAGGAGTAGCAATAGAATCTGACTTTTGGAACATGAAAGCACTCTACACACGTCCTCTCGTTTAATCCTCACGGTGCTCTCATGGCACAGGTTTTATAGTCCCCGCTATACTGATGAGGCCATTCAAGCCCAGAGACAGCAGTAACCTATAGGAGCCACACAACTAGAGCGGAGGGGACAGACATGGAAGTCACGGGATTGGACTGCAAGACTCGTGCTTCTACCTGCGACAGTATGCTGGTGACGCATCTCCCAAGGAGAGGTGCACCGAACAGCAGCTCCCCAACCACAGATAATCCTCACCAGTTGCAGAGCAAATACCAAACTCAAAACACGGTAGTGCTTGCAACACAGCCAGTAGGCCAGGAGGTGGCACCCGAGGGCCGCCCACGGCCTTGTTTCGCAGATTTGCCTCCATTTCCCAGCCTGCTGCGGGAGTCTACCCGGAAGCAGTGCCGCGGTCCGGGTGAGTGGCCTCTTTCCCGCCCCCGCCTTTCTACTGTGTTTGCGGGATTCGAACTACGCAGGTGCTGAGATTTTAAACAGAACCCTGGCTATCCCCACCCCACGCGCGTGTTACAGTTCTTATTCTCTATCAGAATTCCCCTTGCTTGCCGATGGATCACGTTTAACTGTTTTACACGTAGATTCAGAGTCATATCCATTTGAGTATCACTATAGCTCTTACTCGTTTTAATAATGGGGGCAGTGTGTGTGGTGGGGGTGAGAGTGGGGGGTGGAATGGGACAGTTAGCTATGAGTGAAAGGGAGATAGACACTCTGCTTCCAGGGCTGACTTCGGCAAGCCCCCCCTACCTTCTCCTGGTCAGTTTCCCCTGTAAAGTGAGGGTTTGGATTGTGGTTTCCAAATTTGCCTGTGGTGTGTGAATTCGAAGGGGGAAAGGAGGATAGGAGGGGTTTCTTTACAAATTCAGGTGCTTGGAGGTGGAGTGCAGGCCTTTGGGCTTTTGCAAGCTAATCAGCTGATTCTAGTATAGCCAGGTATGTGGGAGGCACTGAGCTGGACCAGGTCAACCCAAGGGACCATTATTCCAACATTAATCCTCTACTTCCTTTCCAGGACATGAAATGGAAACTTGAAAACAATAAGGAGGAACCCTGCTGTGAATCACTTTGCCATAGAGCAAATTTTTGTACCTGGGACAGGGCCTGGGCAATGTCTGTCTCTTTGCCCCACCACTGACTCCCAGGTCTTTGCTCTGCGGAGACAGGATGGACAGATTCCTGGTGAAGAGGGCTGGAGGGGACCTTTTGGGAAAGAGGGAGCAAGAGCAGACAGGAAAAGGCCCAGTGGGGTTGGGAGAAGACGAGGAAAGCACCAGGAAGAGGCCCAGGAGAGACACCGTGGGGAAGGGTGCCAACGTGGCAGGCCCCAGCTGGCGACACATTCGGTCCGAGGGCCTGGACTGTGATTACACAGTCCTGTTTGGCAAAGCCGAAGCGGATGAGATTTTCCGGGAGTTGGAGCAAGAAGTAGACTATTTCACAGGTAAGCAGACGACTGCAGGGTTCGTGTTGAAGGCTTGTTCGATAAAACTAGCTTATGTTTAGAGAAATCGGAACTCAGAAACCATTAATTACTAACGGATTCGTCAATTGATTCAACACATTCTCTGGGTCCCTGTGGGCCAAGACCCTTGCTCGGCGCTTGCGATACAAACTTTAAAAAAGGCAGGATTGCCTACCCAGTGGGAGCAGACAGATGACTAGAGTAAATCTTCACTGGGAGAATCATCTGGGAAAGTTAAAAAAAAAAAAAGAAAAAAAGATGCTGAGCTCTGACTGAGATCCACTGGCAGGGAACAGCTGAGAGGGGCAGCCTGGGCATCAGTGGGTTTAGTAAGCTTCCAGGTGGTTCGAATATGCAGGCAGGGCCAAGAGCCCCTGGTCCAGTAGGAGAGACAGCGAATGACCAGGTAATTCTGCACTTTGTTCTCAGCATCACCTGGAGGACTTTGTTGCTCCTGTTAACTCGGATTGCTGGGCCCCACCCCCACAGTTCAATGTCCACATTTGCAGGTCATACTGATGCTGCCAGGAACCACACACTGAGAACCACTGCAAGCTGGCAGAGCACTGGGAGGCACAGAAAAGCCCAAGGAGACCCCAACCTATAGGCTAGCTGTGTTAGTCCCATCTTTCATGGGGCCCTATGCACTCAGTCCCCACAGTTGGCAAAAAGCACCCTAGTATGTCACCTAACTTTATCTTGCTCACATTTCAGCCTCTTTATTCTGTTCCTATTGTAGTTAAGGCAATTAAGTTATGGTGTTTAAAAAAAAAAAACATGGACTAGGACCATGTTTTTCTAAAAACAGGGTAAGAATCACTGTTCTTACATGAAAATGTTGGGCAAGGCGCACTGACTTTTGAGGCAGGGTCCTTGGCCAGGTTATTAAGTTATTGCTGCCTTGGCTGCTGTGGCTCAGAGGGTTGAAGCGTCATCCTCTGGCCAAAGGGTTGTGGGTTCAATTCCCAGCCAGGGCCCATACCTGCATTTTCAGTTTGATCCCTGATCTGGGCACGTACAGGAAGGCAACCAATTGGTCCTTCTCCCTCGCATCGATGTTTCTCTCCCTTTCTCTCTCCCTAAAAGCAATGAAAAAATGTTCTTGGGTGAGAATAAAAAGATTTTTAAGTTATTCCTTTTTTACTTCCCTTTCGATCCTGAATACTCAGGGAGTGAGTGTGCCTGGTTTTCTGAGTTGCCATGTTTCATCTGCACAGGTGCACTGGCCAAGGTGCAGGTGTTTGGGAAGTGGCACAGTGTGCCAAGGAAGCAGGCGACGTATGGCGACGCTGGGCTGACCTACACGTTTTCAGGCCTTACTCTGTCTCCAAAGCCCTGGATCCCAGTTCTAGAGCGAGTCCGGGATCGTGTGTCTTTGGTGACTGGACAGACCTTCAACTTTGTGCTCGTTAACAGGTGATATTCTGCTTTTTTTACTTTTTTTTTTTTTTTAGGCCACTGCACTGAATTTTATCGCTTTTGCCTCTTCCAAAAGGGAGAGTTTAGGATTCCACTGTATTTTATTCATTTGCCCAGCAAATAACCCTCTAGGACACCAGGGCCATCGAAGTGGAGCAGCACGAAGGGTCAGTCTTCATGCTCTTCCCACAGTGGGAAGTGAGGGGTGACTGACCGACGAGCAGTCGAACGCGATGATTTCGGACGTTGATAAGGGTGTGTCTCGCTGATTTGACCGAGAATGGCCGGGCGGAGGAGTCTGGGTTTAGGGCAGGGTTTCTCAGAAGTGGCACTAGTGATGTTTGGGGCCAGGTAACTGTGGTCAGGGCTGTTCTGGGCATTGTAGGATGCTGAGCAGTATCACTGGCCTCTACGCTCTAGATGCCAGTAGCAACCCCTCCCCCATCGTAGCAACCAAAACATCTCCAGACATCGCCTGGTCCCGGAGTGGGGCAGAATCGTGCTGCTGAGAACCCTGGGTTCAGGGGATGGTGGTCAGGGGAGAGCTCATGGAGGTGCTGGCGCGCGAACTGGTGACTAAATGGATAGAGCGAGCATGAGCCGCACAGCCTTTGGGAGGAGGAGCAGAAGGACCTTGGAGCGTCTTTAGAGTGAAGCCCCACTGAGATTGCGGGAAAGCAGTGGTTGAGGGAAAGCAGGTATGAGATGGACTCAGCGGTGGGCAAGGCCCAGACTGTGCAAGGAATAGGGGTTTATTCTAGGTGTAGGGAGGGACCTTTTCGTGACAAAGGTTTACATACGGGAACTGGGAGAACGAGCAGACACGTTTTTCAGCTTCTGTTGGTGGCTGAGTTTTCAAGCACGTGATCAACTAGGACCGGACAACAAAGTGAAAAGGCTTCAGGCTTGCTCACCTGCAGACCAGGTCAGGCCCCCCAGCCTTGTTGGAGCCCGGGCTGCTCGGAGCGGCGCTTCACGCCGTGCGAAAGCGCGGCTGCTGCGGCATGGGCTCGTTTCAGGAGAGGGCTGTTCGGTGAACTGGGCTTGCTTTCTCACTGCAGGTACAAAGACGGCTGTGACCACATTGGGGAACACCGCGACGACGAAAGAGAACTGGCGCCCGGGAGCCCCATCGCCTCCGTCTCCTTTGGGGCCTGCAGAGACTTCTTCTTCCGGCATAAAGACGCCCGAGGGAAGAACCCCGTCCGGAGGGTGGAGGTGGTCAGGCTGCAGCTGGCCCACGGGAGTTTACTTATGATGAACCCCCCGACCAACTCGCACTGGTATCACAGTCTCCCCGTCCGCAGGAAGATTCTGGCTCCGCGCATCAATCTGACGTTTCGTAAAATTCTGCCTACTAGAAAGTAAAAATGTTTTCAGTTAGCACTTCTGTTTTCTCCTCCTCTCTCTACTAGAAGACGGATGTGGCATTTCCTTTACCAATGGGGAAAGAAAAGGTGTAACATTACACAACAGAATTCAGAAAGAGGATGTTTATATCAAATCAGTGAATGATGGAAGAATACCGGTTGACTGTTTTTCCTAGCAAAATGATTCTTTTATTGCTATAATACACAGCAGATACAAAAGGTGCCTTTACCAAGTACATAAATCAGCAGTTATTATGGCACAAACTACTACTTTAACTTAGAATTTTGCAAACAGAAACTATTTTGTAAATAACTTAAAGCTAGAAATAAGATTATTTGGCTGCTACTTAATGCCTAATAATTTACAAAATGAGGGCATCAGCTTTAAGTCAGGTTAAGGGACTCTCCGCGCAGATATCATTCACATTTACAAGCCGGGCCTCTGACGAACCCCACCTGCTTAACGTGTTCAAAGGATCAGCCCCGCCCATGCCCGACCTCTCTTTAATGGCAGATTTCAAAGAGTGAGCAGTGGCAGAGCAGCAGTTACAAAAAACTACAACTTTGAGGTGCAGTTTAAGGTCACACAATTGGGTGTTTGTTCCACCAGACGCAGGTAAACCAGGTGCGCTTAGTTCAACATCAAAGCCAGGGTCTGCGATGGAAGCGGGAAGGGAGCGGCAATGAATGGATCAGATGCTTCAAGCTACTCCTTGCACCCTGCTGTTCAGGGCCTGGAGAACCTTCACAGTGTGTTCTACTGGTAGCCAGTTCATGAGTCCTCAGGATGCACGCTGGGCGTGGCAGAATGGCAGGCACCTGGGCTTCTTGTGCTTTTAGCTGACATGGAGACATTGTCTACAAGTGTCCACCGGCTCACCCTCCACCGGAGGAAGCAAGGGTCTTAGCCTTACCTCAGGTGGCCTTTTGAGTAGGTCTGATTCCAAATCTTATCTCGAAAGAGTCCACGTGAATTTGATATCTTTTTTTTTTTTTTAATACAAAAGTCTAGCTAAAGCATAGGTAACTCCTGTGTCATCAAAATGCCTTCTGCCCTGGGCTGCCTTCATGAGACTTACCTGAAGAGGGAAGAGAATGCTCACTATAGGCTTTTTGCATTAGGCGACTGGGAACGAATACATTGAGAGTAGGAACCGATAACCAAATGTCAGTACTAGGTGTCGGCTACAGTTACATATTTAAAAAATAATTTAAACATTTTGTGGAAAAGCCTGGCCTTTGGTGGTCTTCGGCTCTAACCCTTCACTTTACAAATGAGGAAACTGAGGTCCAGAGCAGCTGCAGCCCCTGGTTGGTGCCCTTCCTTCTGACTCAAGCTTTCAAATCAGGGCAGGGCGTCCTCTTACGGAGCCCTGCCCCACCTGTGAATCTTAAGAGCTCTGAATGAGCAATGAATAAATAGTTGAGAAAAGGCGTCCGAAAGGGATGTTTGTGAAAGGAAGGGTTTCCTACAGAGCAGAGGGGTGGGGGCGGGGGCAGGGGGTGGTGGTGTACAACTCTGGCTATTCACATGGATTTATGCTATAATCGCAACTCTTAGTCCGATATACAAAAGGTAAGAGCAACAAGTGAGCAGTTCATTAGAACTGAGGAAGTAGTGAAAGAATTTCCCCAAGGGGCAGATTTGGCAGATGAGCTTTCACTATATATAAAGAATTGAAAGATTAGAAAAAGACATACAAAAAGGGAAGGTGAGTGTTCCTTAGGCATCTTTAAACTGTTCTTTTGCTATCCATTGAGAAACCTAGAAGAGGGCTTTTCAAAAATTATTTCTAAGACTCTTAGAGAATGTGTATTTTCCAGAATGGATGTGCTACAAAAGCAATCAAAAGTGAAAGGCACTTTTTCTTCTAAATTGTTGCCTTTAATAATTTCACTAATTCTTGTCAACAATTTTTATGTGGGCCTGCTTATTAAAAATAAAAGATCTATGCTGGAACATCAGAGGATATGACAAAGGTAACTCCCCTTTAAGAACATTTAGCATATTAGAATATAAAAAAAGTGGCTTCTGCAGTCTGATTTCTTTTAATTACCTGTAGCAGGTGAGTAAGAAGATGCTCTAGACATACTGAATGCTTTCCTAACACGACAATGACACCTTCCAGTGCGTACTAGCAGAGCTGTTCAGGGAGCCTGATTTGGTTTGAATCGGGGCCACTGGCTCTCTGGGGAGCCTGCTCTTAGAACACACCAGAAGCTAAAGGACTCTAGCGGGCTGCTCGCACGCACACGCACACGCACACGTGCACACACACAGTCTGATTTTGTCTTTTTCCTGGGCAGTTTGGACAGGGCCACCAAGCCTAGCTTTGGGGATGGGGCACAGTCACTCTTCAGATGTGTACTCCCGACTCTGGCGCTGCACCTTGGAAAGAACACGTTCGTAGAAGAGCAGGTAGGCGCTGGAGGACAGGACCTCCTGCAGGCTGGCCCTGCGGACTGTGTCGTCGGAAATCCACAGCCACTGGTTGCTGGTTGAGAGAGGGTTCTTAGCAGAAGGTGGGGACCGTCGGTAAGTCACGAAGTGTCCAGAGTGCATGTCTCCATGGTGGACGACAACTGCCATCAACCGGAAGAGGTACGTTGAGGAGCTGAATGGTAGAAACACATGCCAGTAGTTTACAAATGCAACAAAGTTTTATAGGCAAAAGCAGAAAGTAACATGATCCTAGGGTGTTGATAACCGGTACATCTGTACCAGTGAACACTACACAACTATTAAAAGATCTATGTTTACTGGTACGATGTCCATTCTATGAGTTACATGTATGTGTGCACAAGCACACAAACTTTATAGAGTGGAAGACCTTAAAGATTTAACTGATGATCCCTAGGGGGTATCCTAAGAAATTAAAAATTTTTTGCTTTATACTTTTTTCTACATACATTCATACATATATGTATACATGTACACATAATACACAGACATTTGAATTTCCTGCACTTTGTAATTCTTATATTTAAAATGACTTCCATTTTGGACAAAAATAAACAGGAATGCATAATAGTGAGTTCCACCTTAAATGAAAGAAAGCTATCCCTACATTGTCATTCACTTCTGTGAAAAGCTGATTTTGGAAACCAAGAGGAGCGGCTCACCTGTAGTCAGGAACCACCGGGAGGGGGAAGGGCACTGGGGCTGGCAGCGCAGGCACCACAGACGGCGAGCAGGCACCGTTCATAAAAACCTGGGGCTTGGGGCCCCCTGGATGGTTCAGAACTGCAAGAGGTAAGGCATGAAAGGTAGCCATGGCTTTGGGTAAACAAAGAATGGCTTTGATTTCCCTGAACTTTAACTACCCAATAATGCTACAAGTATTTCTTTTTGTTATGCTGTGAAATTTCCTACCTTTCTCTTCTGTTTTAATCTCCCATAGGAAAAGTGTATCGAGCTCCTGGTCCGCTGTCCACTCGGACAGCTTCATCAATCTTTGAGATTCCTATCCCTGTTCGCTAAAGACCCCTGTCAGAGGTAAGCAGTGGCTAATTCACTGGCATTTTGACCTAAATCTGGTCTCAACCTTGACATGACTGACATCCGGGGGAGATAATGCTTTGCTGTGGGGGCTCTCCTATGCAATGTAGGGCATTTAACCTCATCTCTGGCCTCTACCTACTACTAAATACCAGTGACACCCCTCTCCCAGTTGTGACGGCCAGAAACGTCACTGCCCAATGTCGCCTGGGAGGCAAAACTCCCCGTTGCAAACCACTGAGCTGAACATTCTCTTTTTTAATTGTGAGCTTCTAAGGAATTACCAACATGTAACAGTGTTAATAAATGTTTATGGGTGTAGATAAAACAATTACAGAGATATTTACAACTCTTAAGTGTCACATGCGGGGGCTTTAGGTACCACGTTGCTCGCTGGTGGCCGCCCTCACGGCAGCCGCCCCACTCGGGACACAGGCAGCCCTGCGCTGCAGGCCCAGCGAGGACGGCGCTGGGGGGAGCGGGTCTCGGCCTGAAGTCGGCCCAGGACTGGGCCCTCGCCCCACAAAATACAGTCTCCCGTGAGAGGTGTCCTGCCAGGCCACGCACATGTGGACACAGAAAAGAATGAAGTGGTAAGAGACCCTAAAGCGGGAAAATCTGGGGCACAGGGAAGACAGCCATGTCTTGCTTGAGTGGGAGCAGCACGAGGTGCGAGGTCGGGCCTGGTGCCCGCAAAGTCAGTGAGGTTTCCTCATCTACAATCAAAAGAGCTCAACATAGTATATAATATACTTTTATACAAGTGCCCAACACTGCCTTCTAGTGCCCGTTCTCCCATTTGCTGTTTACTCATGGACCAATCATTTAACCTCTTGAAGCCCTGTAAAACTGAGAGTAGTAATACCTGCTCTACTGGAACCCAATTCAACCAGTGACCTCAAGGGAGGACAGTAATGGAATTAGATAATAAATCAGTAAAGGAGAAGCATCAGCTCCAATAAGCGTTCCGCGATCTCTAGCCAGGACATTGCCTGCCCCCACTTTCTGTATAAATGAGATGACTGTACTGGGGGAAAAACAGAAGAAATTCACTGGAATAATATGATGTGAGCCAATTATTGCTTAGTCAAAAGACCAGATAGAAATCTGAAGCTCTTCTTCCTGTATTTTTTCAACTGTTACAGTTTTTAAAACCATACATTTCAGGACTATATAATTTTAGCCTCTTCTAAGAAATCTTACCCTCCCTCCCCCAGTCCTATTCTCAAGAAGTTCAGCAAGCACTGGACAAGCCCCCATGGCACAAGGGCCCCAGAAGCCGGCAAGGCCAGATTCCTTTCCTCTGTGCTGCCAGCTCCTGAGGCGTCAGCGCCTCGGGCACACACCTGATCTGGGGGCTGCCGGCCCATCCTGCAGTTCCAGCGCAGGCCCTGCCTTCTCCTTCACTTTAGGGCTGTGTCGACCAGGTTTGTGTCCAAGGAGGCGATACTTGTAGATGTCCATCATCAGGAATTCATTGAACTGCACATGCTCATGCCGCTTTAGGGGCGTGCCGTGGCTGGACCAGCTCAGCCGCTGGAGGTGGATGCACAGGCACTGAGGAAGCTGTGGGCGGGGGGAGAAACCAGAAGCGCTCAGCGCTGGGAGTAGCCACCGGGAGTCCTCGAAAGCAGAGCTGATAAGGTGTGTGGTGTGGGCTCACCTTCCCTAGTTTTAACTGCTTAACAAAAGTGGTCCTCTGGTGTTCCACCTTTTCCCCATTCAAGGTCCCTTTGGCTTCATTCTGAATAAAAGAAAACATTTCTCTGCTAGAATTCTTGAAAGGATGTCTGTGGAGAGTTGCGCATCAGGTTGGTGTTATTTATACCTGTATTTAACTGGCCCTTGACTTCCACCTGCTGAAATGAACTGAGCGGCCCAATTTTTTGTGGGCTGCTTTTACTATTTCATTTTTATGTAATAGTGAGAGTGGAGGAAATAGAAATGAAGAAGCTCTGACACTGGCATATAATCCACTCTGTTGGGTCTTCAAAAATTATGTTCCACACAGTCCCTCTGAATTCAGAGGGTTAAATTCAGTCGCTTAGGAAGTAGGCAGGTAGCACAGGTCAGGTGGGGAGTGAGGCAAGTGGGAACGGAGGGGACCGTAGCAAACTGGAGAGGGCATGCCCAATCTCAAGGCATGGTACTCAGATTTCTTTAAACATTTGGTGGATGAAACAAAACGCGTCAGGGAAAGGGAGCTGGTCCATGGGCTGCCAATTTCCCAACCAGTTTGGCAGAAATGACTGTGGCTGAACAGATCCTCTGGGAAGAGTCAGAAGAGCTCAGGGCCAAAGGTCGGAGAGGCGCTGCATCGGGGCGCACAGGCCGTGGGGCAGATGGCATGGGGGCGGGGGGTGGTAAGGCATACCTTTGTGCAGTTGTCACACACAACATCCCGCACGGATTCTGATGAGACGAAGTGGTGAAGGCAGTGGTCCAGGGTCAGCGGATGACCCTGAGGCAGGGGCAGAAGAAAACGCATCACTACAACTCAAAGGGGAACTACACTGCAGTGATGAACAAGTGGCAGCAGGAACCCCGGCGCTTTACCTTTGCTAACGTAGGCAAAGAGGCGTCACAGACACAGCTGGCTGCCTCCTGAACTGACATGGCGCTCAAGGCGCCCTCGACTTGCTACTGTGATGGAATCGAGGATATGAGGACAGAATACCGCAGACAATTATGGACTTTTGCACCGTTTTAAATATTTTTGAATTTGGTATTAATATGTGTGTGTGAATTTGTGTATTCAAAAAAGCCAAAATTTCTGCAGCGAGAGAAAAACAGCCTACCTCCTCTCCCCTTGAACTGGGCCATGGCACCATACGCTAAAACTAAGGTGGGTCAGCCAACCCCCAGGTCTGAGTTAACACGTGGCCCCTGAGCTACACAAAATGCCTCAAAGCCCTTTCAGATTTGAATGCCTCTGAAACAGACCCCAAATAAACCGCAGATCAATACATACCCATGTGGCCGCTGGAATACTTAGTGAAAGGCTATCAAAGGTATCAAATCGAACGGGACTCTGAAACAAATATTGCAGAAAATCCAGAAAGGACTGAAGTTTGATTCAAAACTTTACAGATGGGAAGATACATGCTTATTAAAGTTTAATATTTAGATACCCAACATTAACATAATGAAACATAATATACTTACCTAGAAGCAAATTCTATGAAAAACAACCTTGTAAACATAAGAGGTACAATAACACTGAAGAACAGCTGGGAAAACTTCACATGACACAGCTGACCCAGCAATTCTGGGACTGTATCCCAAGGAAAAAAACCTGGACGTAGCTATAAGGATGTTCATCGCACCATAATTTATAACAGCAAAATGTGAATACCTGAGATTTTATTATATAAATTATATTATGTCCACAGAACTAAATGCTATGTGAAAAACAGTGCAGTAGAAGAATGCATGATTATGTGGAAAGCTGTGCATGTTACATTATTAATTGCAAAAAAACAATATAAAACAGGGTAAGAGTTCCTGCTTTGGGTGATGGCAGAGGAGCCTGGCTAAACTAACTCTCCTTGAGAAAACAATTGTAAAATATGGACCAAAATAAAACTATTTGAATGACTGGAGAACTACCAAAAGCAGGCAGAAGTTGAAAAGAAGTCAACTCTTGGAGAAACAGGAGCTTCATGGGTGAGATGTGCATTGTGTAGCTTTTTATCTGAAGGTTCTCCCCAAAACAATGTACAAATTTGGTGAAAAACATAAATGTACAGAGTTAAAAAATTCAGCAAACTCCAAGAAAATACAAAAAACTTATGCACTGCACGGACAAACTGCTGAAGCCCCAAAGTAGAGAGACTCTTGTAAGTATCCAGAGGAACAAAATGATACTCGACATACACAGGGCTGAAGTGAATGGTGCTGACTACGCTCTAGAAATGACGCGGCCAAGACAACGAACAACCCCAGTGAAGTGACGAACTGAAAAGAAACCAAACGAAACCAAAGCAGCAACGGCCCTGTCAACCCAAAATTCTATATTCAGCAACACTATTCTTTAAGAAAAGGGAAAACAAAAACATTTTCATATAGGTTAAATCCAAGTGAGTTTGTTGCCAACAGAACTGCAAGATGAAGGGTTAAAGGGATGTTTTTAGGCTGAATGGAAAAACCGTCAAATGGACTTGGCTCTACAGAAAGGACTGAAAGCAGCAAATATAAAATTTTCTTTTTATTTCTTTTAAACACATTTAACCGTTGAAAGCAAAAATTATGAGTGTTATGGGGTCTGTAGTGTATGTGGATATAAACACATGACAAAAATAACACAAAGGATGGGGTAACAGAACTATGCTTTTGTAAGTTACCTGTATTTCACATAGAATGTCACATTAATTCTAAAAGGGCCATGGTTAAAACTGCGTAATTTTATCATGCTCCCCCCTCCCCGAATTTAAAACAGTATAGCTAAAAGCCAACAGAGAGATCATAACAAAATACTAAAACGTATTGTAATGAATCAACAAAAAAACTTCTGGAACCAATAAATTAATTTTTTTAAGATCTCAAGATACAAGGTCAATATACAAACAATTGTATTTCTATACACTAGAAAAAATTTTAAATTCCACTTATAATAGCATCAAAATACAAATAAAATTCAAGGAAAAATAAAAGAGATAAATGGGCAAGTTATAGATGAAAATATATTTAAGACATATGAATTATAAACCATGGGCCTTATTTATTAAAAAGGAAGCCATAATGATACCACTTCACGCACATTAGGATGGCTATAAATAAAAAGTCAGATAATATTTAAGTATCAGTGAGGATATAGAAAACTTGGAAACCTCATTCGCTGCTGATGAGGATGCAAAATGGTGCAGCCACTTTGGAAAACACTCTGGTAATTCCCCAAAAGGATAAACATAGAGTTACCAGAAATTCTACTCCTAGGGACTTACCCTAGAGAAACAAAAACAAATGCCCACACAAAAACTTGTATATAAATATGCACAGCAGCATTATGCATAATAGCCAAAAGGTAGAAACCACCCAAATGGCCATCAAGTGATGAATGGATAAACAAAATGCGGTCTAGCCACACAATGGAACGTCATTTGGTAAGAAACAGGAAAGAAGCACTGACACAATACTATAGCACGGGTGAACCTTGAAAACACTGTGCTGAGTAAAAGAATCTCGTCCTAAAGGACCGCATTTGTCCATTTACATGAATGTCCGGAGTAGGCCAGTCTGTTCAGAGAGAAACAGTCAGCGGTCGCCCGCGGGCTGGGAGTGTGCGTGTGCGGCATGGGGGTGGGGGGCGAGGAGGACCCGCTAAAGGGCGCAGGTGTTTTGGGGAGGTGATAAAAATATCCTAAAAATTGTTTGAGGTGATGGTTGTACAGTTCTCTATTTTTGTATCATGTTGGAAATTTTCCAAATAAAAAACTATTTTAAACCCTCAAAAGCGAAACACAGAAAACAAAAAAACCAGTCCTAGAATCTGTTGTGTCCACCATTGGTAGAGACCCAACTTAGGACACAAATTCTTGCCAACACGCAGTGGGTCTGCTGCTCTTGGCATAGAAGATGCCACTGGGGATCAGGTGACGTCTTAGAACTGACCACAGGGGACAGTCTGTCGACCAAGCACAGGGGCCAGGCAATCACAAATGCCATATGCCAATGTCAGTCCACATTCTCTTGATCCTTCATGAATCTTAACTTAAATGAAAACCTCACAAGAAAACAGAAAGCCTCGGTATAGGATTTACCTGGTGTTCACAGTGTTTGCAGACCATATTACTGGTAAGTCTTCCATGAAAAGGATGCTGAGATTTCCAGTGATTGGACGTGGGATGAGGTGCCCCTGGAACACAAAACATCTTTTGATCTGCCATGTCCAGCCCCCTGGCACCAGCTTCAAAAGTCCCCCTCCTCTTTAGCATGTCCTAACTACTCTCTCTTTAGGAAAAAAAAAAATGGCCCTAAAAATTAAATTGAAATTGCTTTTCTTCCTGATGTACATCGAAGAGACAAGCCACTCGCTTCACAGGAGAACTTGAATGTGGTTTCCGTGTAACGGGTACAGCCACATTTACAAAAGGAATTTGTGTTTAGCAATGTCTTCTTAGAAACCTACACTTAAAATGTTTGAGATGTCAAAAGAAGGATACTCTAAGTGAACAGTTCATAAGGTACAATAAACTTCTGAAATATCATCAGAGTAAGCAAGTCCTGAAAAATGTTTTGGCTTTTTTTTGGATAGGATGGGGGTTAGTGGAATAAGCACAGTGTGGCATGGTGCTTAGAAACACAGGCCCTGGAGTCAGGTGGCCCTGGGCTTGGTCCTGGCTTGGCTGCTTATTAGCTATGGGACCTGAGAAGTCACTTCACCTCTGATGTAAGCCTTGGTTTGCTGGAAATGGGGATAATTGCTGTCCCATTATCCCCAGTACCATCAACTTTATGGAGTTGTTGTGAGACTTAAATGGGACATTACAGCGCCTGGCACACGGTACGGGCTCCAAAGATAATTGTTCTTGTTACTACTAATGCACAAAGGAATTGATGTCTTTTTTAAGAAGTTTTTTAAGTCTTGAGAAAACAATGATTTCTTTCTAAAGAGGGCTGTGATCATTTGCAGTACACGGTGGCCAAAGTGGAAATGCCAAGAACATGAGCTTCAGCTTATTAAGTTCCTGACGGGATCATTTCAAGAACGAAAAAGTAAGCCCTTGTTTGTAGCAGAAATAAGTCCGTTCGGAGGAAACCGAGAAGGGCTAAGGTGTGAGGGAACAACTCGAGACATTCACCGAAGGAACAATGTAAAGCTGTTTCCAAAACACAAATTCCTTTGCAAATACACACAGTTCAAGCCGGGTTAGATGTCACCAAAAAAGAAATAAACAAGCAAATTACTGCCATAGATAAAAAGTACCCATCTTATATGTTACAGGTCAATGGAAAATGACTACCTCGTGTGCGGCAGGTTATCTGTTTGGGAGTGATTTCTTGCTGCTGCTGTAGGGAAGAAAGAAACAGGCTGAGAAAGAACCCCACTGCAGCCCGCTCCGTGCACTCGCCCCGCTCCTAACCTCACAAGTTTCTGTGCTCACTGCCTCACAAAACCGACCTTTAACAAAGGTTTCTAAAAGTAGCTTGAATCGCCCTCCCTGGTTGGTTACTGTGCCTGTTCCTTCACCGAATGCAATCAAAACACATTTGCTCTCCCTGGAATTTTACCCCCGCCTTACTAGTTAACTTTTATCAGCTTTTATAACATTCCAGGGAAATGAGGATTCATTCGGCATTCCCAGGGCTCTGTGTTCCCCAGTATTAAATAGAGGGGGAAATATATTCTTTCTTTTTCAAGCCAGCACAAATTGCAGCAATGAATCATTCTGAGGAGTCTTTCAAGCCACCACCTGCAAAGACGCAGTTTAACACCCTCCCCCAGCCCTACTCCCAATGCTGATTGGTACTGAGGCTGATCTGTGAGTTTAAAGTTGTGCAAAGATTGTACCTGTGGTCCCTACACCTATTAAATGTGCATAAACTGCATGAAATGTATTGGAAATATGAATGGTTTACCTCTAGGGAATGCACATCAAACAAATGTGTGACCCGGGGCTGGCGGTCCCGCTCATCTTCCAATGACGAGGTGATGACGTGGAATAGTTCGTGAGCATCCTGCCAAGGCAAAGCATCCTTCAGAGAGGCCCGAGGAGCCCCGGGCAGCATCAGGACCACCCGGGTGTGGACCACTGGACAGCCACCCTCCCCTGATGCGGGCAGGGTTCGCCTTCCGCCTCCTCGGGGCCCAGATCCTTAAAGGGATGTGGTTCAGTCCTAGCCATTTTCCCTCGACTGGGAACCCCAAGAGGAGAGAGAAGGAAAGGAAGTCGGTGGGGTGCCTTCGCACAGGCTTCTCTGAGCCCGTTTTAGCTTTATCAAGACGGCTCTGACCTCCACGCAATCTGACTACCCTTGTTTTCATTGTGGTAAAACACATGTAACACAAATTTCACCTTTTTAACCACTTTTAAGTATGCAGTTGTGTAGTGTTAAGTACATCACATTGTTGTGCTACCACAGGCCCCATCCACCTTCAGAATTTTTTTATCTTCCCAACTAACTCCGTGCCCATTAAACTCCTCGTGTCCTCCTCCTGCCTCCAGCCCCTGGCCACCGCCATTACACTCTCTGTCTCTGTGAACCCGGCTGTCCTCGGAACCGCATGTTCGTGGAATCATGCAGTCTGTCCTTTTGCGACTGGTTCATTGCACTTAGCATAATGTCTAGGTTCATTGATGTTACAGAATCTCCGTTTTAAGGTTGAATGATATTCTGTTACATATGTATATGTATATTCCATTGCGTGTATGTAGATAAATATATTCGTATCTGTGTGTATACACACATATACACACCACGTTTTGTTCATCCGTTCATCTGTTGATGGAGAGACATGTGAATTACTTCTGCCTTTTGGCTTATACAAATAGTATTGCTGTGAACACAGTGTACAAATATCTGTTCAAGAAATATCTCTGCTTTCAATTCTTTTCGGTTTATATCCAGACGTAGAATTGCTGTATCATACGGCAGGGGGTCTCTTTAAGGATCAATTCAACGCCCCTCTCCCAAAAAAGCCAAAGCCTCCCCTCACTCTTCCGGGAGGGGCAGGTCTCTCCTTCCTGCATTTTAATGTCACTGATCCTCACCGGGCCTTCAGCTTTGGCTCTCAGTCTGCCGCCACACAGTCCCCAAAGTGATCTTTTACAAGGCAAATAAATGACTTCATTCTTCTGCTTCCAAACTCCCAATGGCTTTTGCTCCTAGAGTAAGCCCCGCCCCCTTCTTAGCCCGCCTACAAAGCCTGACTGGTCCAGCCCCTAGGACTCGGTCTCTCACTCACTATGTGCTAAGCCCCTTTCTCCTTTTCTTTAAATTGAGGTAACACTGATTTATAACACCAAATGAGTATTAGGTGTGCAACATTGTAATTCAACATTGGTGCACTACAGCGTGCCCACCACCAAAGGTCCTGGGGAGATCGGCCCTCAGCAGCGCTGATCACCCAACTTAACCCCACCCCTAGCCAATTCCAAAGCACACCCTAAGTATCTCCATCGCCCTTGCCCTAACGCTGAGCCATTCCATCCCTGGCCTGGATACCTGTGGCAGCAGCCTCCCCACCTTCCTCCCTACTTCCGTCTTGTTCCCTGGGGTCCCTCCTCTACACAGCGACCAGCGCGGTCCCGTTCTAACATAAATGGGATCCCTGTTCAAAGCTCCTCGTGGCTGCCCACCGCACACAGGACAGGAGTCCAACTCCTGCCACGGCCTCCCGGGCCCTGCACCGTCCGCGCCCTGACAGCGTGGGCAGCCCCTCTCCTCCACTGCTCTCCAGCCCCAGCCCCAGCCTCGTGGGTCCTCTCACTCCCCTCCAAACACTGCATCCTTGCCGCTGTCTCCAGGCTTCCCCCCGCTCATGCCTCCGTCTGGGACACTCTATGCCCACACCTTCACGGGTTGCACTTCTTTTTAGACTTCAGGCCTCAGCAAAGACCCCACATCTCCAAAAGAGCCTTCCCCAAGGGGTGGCCTCTGATCCCAGCTCCCAGGCCCCCACACTCACACTTTGTCACATCACGGGGTTTTTTTTTTCTTGTTAGCACATCCTGAAGCTATCTGATTACTGTCTACAGCCCCCTAACCCCCACTAGATGAGAGCTCCATCAGAATAGGGGCCTGCAAGTCGAGTTTGCCGCTACAACCCCAGCTCCTCCACAGGCGCTGCCTGAGAAAGGCACTGAATAAATATTTGTCACATGTATAAATGTATCCCCTCCTAGGCTATGACCGGCCGTTACAAGAGCGTGATGGAGATTCGAGAATAAGGCAAGGCTCTTGCCCTCAAGGGACTCACAATGCAAGCACATGTGTGACAGCCCAGCTATTACCTAGCAGCACAATGCTACTGTTAGGACTGATGAGCCACAGGGGACAGAGGGAGAATCAGCTCTTCCCAGGGGTTTGGGGAACCTTCAAAACAGGAATCTGGGCCAACCCATGAAGTATGAGCAGGGGTTCACAAGTGAGAAAAATCCCGAGACAGGAGAGAGCAGGATCCAAGCCCGACTCTGTCACAGGCGGCCATGGAGCCGCTTGAGTACTGCAGAAGAGGACGGAGCTTAAGTGTGTACTTTAGCCCCAGATAGGCTCTGCCACTGAAAGAAGAGCTGTGTGGCTTTGGGCAAGTTACTTCACTTCTCTGGACCTCAGTGTCCCCATCTGTGAAATGGGAATCATCACAGTGACTCTTTACAGGGTTTTTGTGAGAATTATGTATAATTCACATGAAGCAAGCACTGAGCCCAACGCATCCCCTGTAGCTCTCCTGCAGACACTGAAAAGCGGCTGAGAGTGGGAGTCTGCTGTTGGGTGACTAGGTTCATAACAATGAAGATGCGGACAAGGCCCTGTGCCAGCTGCCCTGGATGCCTTCAAAACAGGAAGACGGACACACTCGGCTCTGTCCCACGCACACCACACACAACCTGGCTCAGGGAGCCAGGGTGTGGCCCCAACAAGGGTCTTTCCCGAACCTCTTGAGCTCCTAAGGTGAAGCCACCTGCATCCAAAGGATCCAGCTGCCCTGTCATCCACTGAAGTGCAAACGCACTCAAGGTCTAAAGCAATTTTTGCTCTTTGGCAACTGTACTCATGCCCTGTCCTGCTAACCATCCTTCCATCCGTCAGGTGAAAAGGCTGTATCTCCCCTCTGATCATGAGAGCAGGAACAAAGCTCATCACCTAGCCCGGAACACGAAGGCTGGCTAAAGGGTCACGGAAGTGACGCTCAGGCCAGGCAACTGCAAGGTCAATGCTGACATTCGTTCTTCCCGCTGCCGCAGTACAGTGTTTCCGGCCACCACTGTGCGCCCAGGCCCCAGTTCAGCAGTGGGAAGGACTTTCTAGCAAACCTGTTTTGAATGTTGTGTTCACCTGTTCTTCAAATGAAGAGATCTGCCATCTGTACATTCTTAAGACATCCAACAAGCAGCTTGCATCCAAGACCTCGTCATCAGTAACTTCTTGGCAGGATAAAGCTGGAAACAAGGTAACACAATTGTTAAATTCACCAGCATAACCACTAACCAGGAAACCTGCACAGTACAACATATCACAGCTAATTAAGAATTTAAGAACTGTACAATCCACCTTGGAATTGTATCTCCATCATTCTTCCTTGTCACCTTAGTACGCTACTAAGCACTTTGTGTTTATTGAATGAATGTAATTTTTCATAAGGCTGCATCATTTAAATAAAGCAACTGATTTTCAGTTACTTGGGCTGTCATCAACATAAATTTATTGTTGCAAGATTCTTACTGAATACGATGATCTTAACTCACAACTCCTGGGGGGGACCCTTAAACACTCACCTAGTCCGACCCCCGACTCAGCACTTAACTCCTCTCCACAGGAGAGGCCTCTGCCTGTAGTTAGTTGTCTGCATGTGAGTTTCCGATCATCACAGCAAAGCATTGAGCTACACAGGGCAGCCTAAATGGGTCTGCTGAGTTGTTAACTTTTCAATCGTAAGTAGAAGCAAGCCTAATAAACAAAAATAAAAGTCTGATGGGCTTGCAGGCCAGAAGGGATTGGCACAAAATATTCACAGTGATGAAAAGCGAGGCCCTACAATCAAGATTACTTTAGCCAGCAAGGCTATCATTCAGAATCGAAGGAGATCAAGAGCCTCCCAGACAAGAAAAAGCTAACGGAGTCCACCACCTCCAAACCAGTGTTACAAGGAGTGGTAAAGGACTTAGGGGGAGGAGGAGGGGATAAGGAGGAGGAGAAAAAATTTAAAATATGTATAATAAAACGGCAATAACTATGTACCTACCAATAATGACCTTGAATGTAAATTGATTAAATGTGCTAATCGAAAGACATAGGGTAGCTGAATGGATAAGAAAACAAGACCCACACACATGCTGCCTACAAGAGACCTGCTTCAGACAGAAAGACAGAGACAGACTGAAAGTAAAGGGATGGAAAAGATACTTCGTGCAAATGGAAACAAAAAAAGCGGTGGGTGAGTAATACTTCTATCAGAGAAAATAGATGTTAAAACAAAGGCTATTAACAAGAGACAAAGAAGGACCCAGCAATTCCACTTCTGGGTATTTATCCAAAGAAATTCGTGACACTAAGTCAAAAGAAATATGCATCCCTATGTTCATTGCAGCATTATTTACAGGAGCCAAGATATGGAAGCAACCTAAGTGTTCATCAATGGATGAATGGCTAAAAAGGAAGTGGGATATATATACACACACACACATATATATATATGTGTGTGTGTATATATATATACACAATGGCATACGACTTGGCCATAAGAAAGAGTGAAATCTTGCCATTTGTGACAACACGGACGGACCTGGAGGGTATCATGCTAAGTAAAATAAGCCAGACGGAGAAAAACAAATACCATACAATTTCACTTATATGTGGAATCTAAAACACAAATGAATGAAACAGAGTTACAGAGAACTGATGGTTGCCAAGTGGGAGGGGGGTTAAACGGTTGAGTGACAAAAGAGGAAGGGATTAAGAAGTACAAACAGGCAGTTACAAAACAGTCACGAGGATGTAAAGTACAGCATAGGGAGTGTAGTCAGTACTGTAGTAACTGTGTATGGCATTGGGGGTACTAGAATTATCAGGCGGATTACTCTGGAAGTTATAAAAGTGTCTAACCACTATGCATACACCTGAAATTAATATATTAAACATCAGCTGTAATTGAAAAACTTACAAAAAAATTTTGAAATTCCTATGCAACTCCAAAAAAATGTTTGATGAGCTTATGAATTTGTATTATAATTACAACTAGATCAGGAGTTGGTAAACATTCCAGGCTTCATGGGACTCTGCAGCAGCTACTCAACTCTGTCAATACAGCACAAAAGCAGCCGCAGACAATACAAAACAAATGGGCCTGGCTGCATTTCAATAAAACTTTATTTACAAAAACAGGCAGTGGGTCAGATCTGGCACATGGGCTATAGTCTGCTGATTCCTAATCTTGAGCGGTTCCCATCCCACAGTGTATGGCACTGGACCAGAGTGTGGGGGATAAAACTATAGGGACCTGTCATCTCAGTGCCGTTTCTGGGAGTTCAATGACCCCCCCAGATAAACGAAGTCAGCCTGTTTCTTCTCTTTGACTTGCAGCCAGTGAATGGGAAAGATTCCTTTGAATACTTCAGGCTCTGGACCCTGGAGGTTCTGAACACTGCCACCCACACGCCTGCCTGAACACGGTCCTGACTTCGTGAGTGGGGACCCGTGGAGAAGCAGCAGCCCTGGCAGCCAGAGCTGAGAAGTCCTGAGGCTTGCCTTATCCACGCAAATGTCACCCTGACGTGTGACCTTGACCTCCAGGACAAAGGAAGCACATTAGGGAAGGAACTGTACCTTCTTTCTTCCTCCTACACGCATCAAGCAGCCCTTCAGTTAGCTTCTCCCCTCCCAAGGTTAATTTTAAAAGTCCCTGTTAGCTCAATTTTGCCTAAAACGCTGTGGAACAATTCGGCAATGTCTACGAATTTTCATGCCCTACTATCCAGCAATTTCACTTTCTCAGGATCTACCCTTGGGAAATGTGTTTATGTACATGCCTGACATGTACAAGGGTGTTCCATACAACCTATTTATCAGGATCAGGCACTTGAGGCAAGTGGCTAAATACACTGGGGTGTCTCAACATTATAAATGCTGTGCAACTGTGAAAGTGGTTTGCAAATAACATGCCTGACAGGGGACTGACGGTCAGAATATATAAAGAACTCTTGAAACTCAACAACAACAAAATACAGACAATTCAAAAATGGACAAAAGACTTGAACAGACAGTTCTCAAAAAAAAAAAAAAAAAGAAGACATACAAATAGCCAATAAACACATGAAAAGATGCTTAACATCATTTATCACTAGGGAAATGCGAATCAAATCCACAATTAGATTCTACTTCACACCCATTGGGATGGCTATTATCGAAAAAAACAAACCATAACAAATGCCGGTGAGGACGAGGAGAACTGGGGCCCTTGTAGGTGGGAATGCAAAACGGCACAGCCACTACGGAAAACAGTATGGTGGTTTCTCATAAGACACAATTATCATTTGACTCATATACTTCTGGGTGTATGCCCAAAATAATGAAAAGCACAGACCTGAATAGAATTCACAATAGCCAAGAGGTAGAAACTTGACTTATGAATGGATAAACAAAATGAAATGTTATTCATATTCAGCCTTAAAAAGGAATGAAATTATAACACGTTACAAGTGGACGACCTTGGAGATGTTATGCTAAGTGAAATAAGCCAGATGCAAGGACAAATATTGCATGATTCCACTTAAATGATGTACGCAGTCAAATTCAGAGACAGGGAGAACAGGGGTCACCTGGGCCTGGGAGCCGCAGAGCGCGGAGAGCTGCTTACTGAGTACAGGGGTTCGATACGGAAGGATGAAGAGCTCTAGAGACGGTCAGCAGGTATGGCCACACACTAACGTCAACGTACTCAGTGCTACAGAACTGAACTGTCAATCTAAAAATGATTAAAGTGGTAAATTCTATGTTCTGAATGTTTTATCACAATTTTTAAAAATGGGCAAAGGATACGCACAAGCAATTCACAGAAGACAACAAACATAAGGCCAATAAACTCACACAAAAAAGCTGCACTGAATGAGGGAGAGCTTACATGTATTGAAATGGACGTTCCTCTAATGCATATGTTATTTGGTTACAAAAAATAAACAAACAACACGTAACTCCTATGGGCACTTAGAAATACGTTTACATGCCCAGGGAATGGTGTAGAAGTATACACCTGTATCTTACTTGGGGGAAGGAAGGCGGGAAGCAGGACCGGGGTCAGGATAAACGGGACTCCAGCCTTACCTGCAGTCCTTACATTTTTTACAAGGGGAATTTATTCATGCATTACTTGTATACTTAAATTTTTTTCTAAAAGTCAAAATAAAAGATACTGAAAAGCAAAAGCAGAAACAGGAGCACATATTCCGGGCGCAGCTGGCCCGGCATGGCGCTGGCTTCCAGCGGCGGGCCACGTGCTGCGTTCATGGTGAGGACAACCCCCCAGCCCTGCATCAGAGCACCTCTGTGGACAGTTCAGCTTTTCACAGTCTTCGGAATAGTTTGTATTTTTTTATTTTTTTTTTTAAGAACTTGCTTCATAAAGATTTCTGTGTCAAACGGAGATCACATGGGAAAATACCTCAGTGAAACAATATAACTGAGTGCTTTTTCAATCCAATTTTTTCCTGACTGTGAGAATAAAAAATGCTTACTGTTGAAAGTTTTTAAAATATAGCTTAAAAAAAAAAAGTTTTCAAAATATCAACTACACAATACCAAAGTGGCCATGGCTAACACTGATTTTTTTCTGCCCAGTCTTCGTAGAAGTTTTTGCTTCACTGAAATCAAATTGTATCCTATTTGGTACCCTGTTCTTTTAGACTTAATGTTATAGCTTATACCATCTCCCAAATTAGAAAAAAGACTTCATAAAGATGATTCTGAATAGGTATGTACTATTCCATTGATTGCTTAATCATTCTACTCAACTTAATATTATAGCTTATGCCATCTCCCAAATTAGAAATAAACAAAAAAAGACTTCATAAAGATGATTCTGGATGGCTATGTTTTGGGTTGACCAAAAAGTTCATTTAGTTTTTTCCATACAACAGCTCTAGTAGTGCTTAGTTGTCTTTAACTTCATTAGAAACAACTTTGTCAGGCTGTAGTGTGATAGCTGTCATATCAGCATGCATTAAAAAAACTTATCAAAATTGAAGAACTTTTGTACAGCCATTTTAACATTGAAGATGGAAGAAAATATGCAAAATTTGGGGGGGGTATTATACTTTATTGTTTCAAGAAAGGTAAAAATGCAACTGAAATGCAAAAAAAGATTTGCGCTGTGTATGGAGAAGGTGCTGTGACTGATCAAATGTGTCAAAGGTGGTTTGCAACATTTCCTGGTACTACTGACATTTTGGCCACATAATTCTTCGCTGTGGGGCTGTCTTATGCACTGGAAGATGGTTAGCAGCAGCCCTGGCCTCTATACGCTAGAAGCCAATAGCGGGAGAGAGCCGGCAGACTCAAAATATCCAAGGCAATAATGGTATTGGTAAAAATGAAAAACGTGTCTCTTATTTTATGGGAAAAATGTAACAGGCTTTTTGGCCAACTCAATACTATGCCACTGATCGCTTAATCATTCTAGTGTTGGACAACCACATGCTCTCCCTTCTTTTCCCCACTGTGACTAGGTGCTGGAGATCTTTGTGCGCATAACAGCATTTCCCAAATTATGTTCTGTTGAATGTCCTCAAGATGTTAAGAGATGTTAATATGGTGGGAAGGGGTAGGGGGACAGTTCCGAAGTCAAAAACGGTGGTTTAAAAATGAAATTAGATCGGTAACTTAAAATCCGATATATATTGTGACTCTCCACGCTCAGGGCCAGAGCCGAGCCATTCCCAAACTCTTAGAACTCCACTTCAGGCTACTGTAAATCACGGTCCGCCTTTCTACTTCCAGAAAGACAGACTTCCAGACAAGGCATTACTAAGTCAAAAGGTACTGAACATCTGGCAAGCTATTACTGTGCACTGTTACTAAGTCAAATGGCGTTCCTGAAAGTTATACCCCGACCAGTGCGTATGAACACGTCACCCAACAGCTGGTAATGGTTGTGGATTTGTTTTTCAATCCTTGCTGACAGGCAAAAAAACATAGTGCCTATTATTTTATTTCTGTTTCTTTGATAATGGTTAAGTTCAATATTTGAGTGTCTGTTATATACACTTTGTATGAAATACAATTTGTATTATTCCTCTTGCAGATTACCTTCCTTCCTAGGTTGAGATGCTTAAAAAAAAACTTCAATGTGTTTTGAGACCAGAGTATTCTATGATCAAAATGGTTACCACCTGTAGTGGATTTTCTTTTTCCATAGAAATCTGTTACTCAACTGATAATTTTTAAGTAGATGGTCATATATTTTATTGTTTTTAAAGTAGCTGTTGGTATCTAGTGGGCTTTTAGTGTTTTTTCCATAATGATTGGCATGATCTTTTTCTACACAGAGGCTACTAACCCTTTGCCTGTCATCTGGGCCGCGACTATGAAAACGCACACAGTCCCCGTTCAGTTCCCAGCGAGATACCTTTCAGGAGGTGCAACAGTGTTAAGGACAAATACTGGTGTGTGGGGGGCTCCGTCTGATCCCTGGTGTACTGGGTGGTGAACTCTTCCAGCCACTTGATGAAAGCGGGGCAGGCGGATAAGCCTTGCAGCAGGGAGTTCATGAAGCAGGTGTTCCCCAAGTTGACAAGGCCAGGCACGAGCCCTAGAAAAAGGGGGGTGGGAAAGCGAACAGCACATCATGTTGACCGGCCTTTTATTCTCTCCCATTTCCCACCCAGAGCTTCTGCACTGTGGCCTTGACTGTGAAATCGAATGGGAGGAAGCCTTTATCCACAGAGACCTGGAGCCGGGCACTCTGTCCGTGCTGAGGCCCTGTCCAAGCTCTGCTCCTTCAGGACACTAGCGACAGAAGGACAGGTCTCCTCGTGTATTACTTTTGAACCCCACCACAGTGTGGCAGTTTGGTTTACACTGAATGTACAAAAAGATACAGTAACATCTCTCGCTTTCCCTTCCTCATTCTCTTTCCCTCCCTCATTCTCTCTCTCTCTCTCTCTCTCTCTCCTTTGAGAAGAAAACAATGTTTCTCAGAGCAGAAGAAAACAATTGTTCTGTTGTTGCTCCCCAGGACAATGATTTTGTTCTTATAATCAGTGGGAAAGACACTACAGGGATTCTGATCAATCTTTCTGCAAAGAGATCGACAAAATCTGACATACTCCCCTCCTCTGTTGAAATTTTTAAAAAACTTTTGATTATGAACATTCTCAAACATGCATAAAACAGAGAATATATAATAAACTCTAATTATAACCATCCTCATATTTAACAATGATCAACATTTTGCTACATCTACCCTCCACCCCGAGGCTGATTTTTAATCAAAGTAAGTAGAGCAACATTTACAAAGGGCGCATTTTAAAAAATAGGGAAATAGATTTTTGCATTAATGAAGAAACAACTTGAAACATTTACCAGTGACTAGAAGCTAGTCAGAGCATCAAAAGCATCACACAATTAGTCAGTGGTACTACTAAAAAAAGTCATTGCCATATTAATAGGAACACTACACAATTAAACCACTTACAATTTTTCATTACAAAGCATGTTTCAAACTCAGGACTTGACGGGAGGTGAAATATAAACCTTTTACTACACGGTATAAAATAATGAGTCATTAAAATAAACTTCTGGTAAAAGAAAGTACTGTTCAAAAGCTCGCCTTTTGGTACCGTTTTTGGGTAAGAAGGGTTTGGGTCAAGTCTACAGACATGATGCCAGGGTCTCACTCTTACCTTTTCTACGCTTCTTTCTTTCTGTGATGGGACCCCAAATAACATATATTCCTGCTGCAAGGGCAGCGGCGAGTCCACCTATGACACCCCAGTTCTTCATGACTTTATATCTAAAAAAGAACATCAGTTTACTGTCTTCCCTCATCCCAAATACGTTATGTGTATAAACAGGTAGAGGAAAAAATAACATTTCATCAAAATAGTCCACTGGCCCACCAAATACCTTTAACTTGAAAGTACAGGACTATGTCTCAAAACTCAGCACATTTCAACATGAGGATTTAAAACCTAAGGCAGAGCACAACCTTCCAAAAGTCCCATCTCACTCTGAGGAGAAGCTTTCCTGCCCCTCCGCCTTTCACCCCGCTGCCACCCTGTCCCTCGCCCCCGACGTGGGGCCTCTGCAATACCGCTCCCTCTGCCTGGCCCCCTCCTTTACCTCCTCTTCACATCCACCAAACCATGTCAGAACCTGTCCTCCTGAGCCCTTTTACCCAGTTTTACTTTTTCTTTCCACTTTTTAACAAAAATTCCACTCAGCCACTCTGTTTGTCTACCTCCCTCAAATGGAATGCAAAGTGCCCGGGGGCAGGAATCTTTGTCTATTTACTCTCTGACATATCCCAAGTTTCTAGAACAGACATTTTCAACCTTTTTCATCCCATGGCACACATAAACTAATTACTAAAATTCTGCGGCACACCAAAAAAAAATAGGTATAAGTTTGATCCCTTCACACTGAATGGCTATTGTTGTGTTGGCTGCTGTCATTTTTTTTATTTGACAATCTAAGGGAAAATAGGTATTGGATGTTTTAAAAATTCTTGCAGCACACCAGTGTGAGCATGGCATACCAGCTGAACACTGCTGATCTAGATCATAGTTGACCCATAGTAGGTTCTCAATAATATTTACTGAATGCTTGGGTATTTAGGGAAATACCGAAATGGATGTATTTTTTAGAGTACTAATGAAGAGGAGGTACAATAGTATATAAGATCTTCTAAGTACTTATTAAAGATTCTTCATTTTAAGCTTGTCTTGAACACGTAAGTTATTCTTTTATTACATATGTGGAAATTTCACCAGCAATTTAAAACACTGTTTTTATACAAAGTTATGCCTTTTCACTGCCTAAAGCAAACCATGTGTGTATGTAAATATGTTTGTGCAATATATACCTATATATAGGTATTAGATATGTTTGTATATAGGTGTTTGTGTATAGTCTTCTCCCAATATCTGGATCATGTAAATATTGTTTTGATCTCAGCTACTGGTGATACTAGGGACTCCATCCCACAACTACTAACATTTTCCTAGTGTCATAATTGATATGATGCAAAACTTATAACTGAATTCCAAATAAACATTTGTTTTCCCAAGCAGAGTCAGTACTACACAGAATTTGGTTAAGAGTGTGGAACTGTACTATTTTAGTGAGCTGCCGTAGGCACACTGGCGTGCTATATTTCAAAACACACAATACCTGACTATTTTCATCAAGGCCACTGACTTCTCTTCCCTTAGATTATCAAATATAAAAACGACAACAGCCAACACAATAGCCATTTGGTGTGAATGAATCAAAATTATAACTATTTTTTGTCAGATCTGCATAAAATATATTTTTTGGTGTGCTGCAGAAGTTTAGTAATTAGTTTATGTGTGCCATGGGATGAAAAAGGTTGAAAATCGCTGCGCTAGGGTATCATTTCACCAAGCTTCCTAATCTGTAAAATGGGGATGGTCATGAGACCTACTTCATAGGCTCCTTGTGAGGATAAAATAAGCGCTAATGCATAGGGTAGAAAGATCTTAGTAAATTTTAGCTGCTATGATTATTAAGCATAATTTCAGTTTATTTATGAAAGTTATTCCTAAAGTCTCCTAATGCATCACTGTGCTGACTTTTCCACAACAGGGATATTCACGTAAGTGCCTGGAAGGATTACAAAGGACCATCACTGAAATGGTAACGCACTTACCCGTAGGCTGTCAAATCCCCCACTGAAACATTAACATTTCAGGGTGCATACTCTATGTCAGGCACTGTGATAATCTTAGCTTATCCTCGAAACAATCCCAAGGAGCAGGCTGCATTAGCACCTCCATTTTTATAGATGAGGAAACAAAGAGGTGGAGCCAACTTGGTCAAAGTGGGTGAGGCGGTGTGGATCTGAACGTTTGCCTGTCAGGCTGCCAAGTGTGTGCTTAAACCCACAAAGCTCATGAGGGAAACTGAGGGACGACAGAGTGTTGAAGGGGTGGCAAAGAGAACTTGCTCGCGCCCTTAGCAGGGCATGGACAAAACCCCCGGGGCCAGTAGTGACTCTGGAAATGCCATTCCTCTGCGGAAGGAGAACATGAGGAGAACAGGAGCCCTGGGAGTGGAAGATCTGGCCTGTCCCCGCAGCTCTGGAGCAGGTCGGCTGTAGGACAATAGACACATTCCCCATCTACAGAATGGGGGCGCTGGACAGGACAGCCACTGATGGCTTCCAGGTAGGATAGTAAGTTCTTTAGACCTGCTCCAGTTCCCGAGGAAGGAAGCTGACCTAAACAACACGTCTCAGTCATTTAGGGACAGTGATGAAGGTCCAGCGCTCAATTCGGAAGCCTGGAGCCCATGGAGGGTGAATAAGAGGAGGGAAATAGGGGTCCTGACAATTGGGGGCCATACTGCTGGGGAGGGGACCCCTAGCAGGAATAGAGGGCCTTAGCAGGGCAGGGAGCGTGAGCAGGTAAAGGGGTCCTGACTGGTTTAGGGGCCCTTGCAAGATGAGTTACTAGTAAGACTGGGGACTCGGAATAGGGGATCCCTGGCATAGCTGGGAGGGGGACTGAGAGGAAGAGGGGGCGCTAGCAGGCCCCGCCACTTTACAGGATTGGGACCCATGGCAGCACTGGCGAACTTGACAAGCCTGGGAACCCCAGCAGGCCAGGAACTGACAGGGCTGGGATAAGGGCTGGGGATATCCTGAAAGGACTGGGGGGTCCTGGGAGGCCTGCGAGGCACTGGGAGACCCAAGGAGCATTGGCAGAATCCGAGGCCCTGACAAGCCTGAGGGTTCCTAGAAGTTCTGAGGACAAAGACAGGGCTGGAGGAGGCACTGGCATGCCGGGGTGGGGGCACTGGTAAAACTGGGGAGTGCACACAGAATTGGCGTTGCTGAGGACTTGGAAGCCCTAGAGACCCATCGCGTCGCCCACCTCAGGGCCCGGTCCTCTAACCCTGCAGGACGCAGAAGCCTCCATAACGCTCGCTCTGGCCCTGGGGAACCTGACAAGGACGTAAAAAGACCTCCAGAGACCCAAGGTAGGGTCTCAGGTCCCGGCTTCTCCAGCCGCCCCGCCCCCCACAAAGCTCACCTGACGGCCGCTCCAGTCCGTAGGAAGCGCTGGATGGCCCTGTCGGCCGCGCTCATCGCCGCCTGGGCCCGGGAGCTCAGCATCGTGGCCACGCGGAAGGCCCGCTGCCGTCCCCGCCGCCCTCGCCGCCCCCTGCCACTACCGCCACTGACGGACAGAAGTCTCTGAAGGTTCCCGAGGCGGCGGAACCTGCGGTTAAGTCCCAGCTCTTCAGGGGAAGGGAGGCTGAAGGACAGGCTCCCGAGAGGACCGGAAACAGCCGCCACCGGAGAGGAAAAGCCAGAGGACCACATCCTGTTTTTCTTTTTCTTTTTTTTCCCCCCTAGCAATGAGCCCTGGCGTCGGTTGCTAAGAGAAGCCCTGCGGCCACAGGCGGCGGTTTGCAGGTTCTGCCAGAGCTCTGTTCATGAATAGAGATATCCCACTTCCAAGAGGGAACCTGTGCCATTTCAATTTTTTAGTGTGAAGAGGACGGCTCTTGCTCGAAAGCGTGATCAGGCCTCGGACAGCATTAGTTATTACTGTCGTCATAGTAGAAATAGGTCGCAGAGGAAAGGCCTTTAATGAGCACATGGTCTATCCCTGATGGCATCAACAGAGAACCGAGGCCTTTAATGATAGCCATGAAACTTAATTTTTACTTAGGTACATTGCTAAGCACGTCACATGCATTATTCATTCACATTCAACCTTCATGCCAACCTTAACATTATCTACATTTTATATTCATGAAACCCCAAAACACAAGAGAAATAATGCCCTTTGACATAGCCTGTAATTGGTAAAAACAAGATTAGCAGTCAAGAATAGCGCTGTTCAATAGAAATATAATGTAGGCCACATTTTAAATTTTCTAGTAGCCATGTTAAAGTAAACAACAGAGGAAATTAACCGGATCTTTTACTTGACCCAATATATCCCAAATATTGTCATCTCTACATAAAAATTATTAATGAGATATGCTACTTTTTTAAAATCTAGTACATTTCAATTTGGATCAGCTGCTTTTCATGTACTCAGTAGCCACATGTGGCCAGGAGCTACCACATTGGACAGCACAACTTATAAAGCATTAGAGCTACAGAGCATCTGCCCTGTCACATTCCCCAACTCCAGAGCAAGCAACTGCAACTGCTTTAGTAAAAAAATCAATCCTTTAGTTCAGTGATTCTCAAAAGTTTTTGGTCTAAGAATCCCATGGTATGCTTACGCTTGCAGAGCTTTTTTTTTTTTTAATGTGGGTCATATCTAATTATATTTATACTATTAGAAATTAAAATTAAGACATAACTTTTGGGATCTTTTTAAATTGAAGTACAGTTTACGCAGTAAAATTCACCTAGCTTTAGTGTATAGTTCTATGAATTTTGGCAAATGCATAGTCATGTAACCACTATCATAATTAAGATACAGAATCATTATAATACCTCCTACCCTCCAAATTACTCCCTCTTCATTGTAGTCAAATCCTCCACCCACCTTCAGCCCCTGGAAACCACTTAAGACTGAGAAAAAAACAAATAAAACCCAAGAATACCAAGGCAGACACTCCATTAGACATCAGAGCCATGACTTGACCACATATTGTGTAGTCTGTGGAAAATCCCAGGATACAACCATGAGTGAATGAGACTGGGGAAGGCAAATAATGTCTAAGTGTTATTATGAAAATAGTTTTGACTTCAATAAACCACCGAAGGGGGCCCCAAACAGGGGTCCTGCAGTACACTTTAAGAACACCTACTTTAGCCTCTTGAGTGAATACCCTGCCATCCCAACACAGATCTACTTAGAACTCTACATTCCAGACTAGTTTAAATAATTGGCATTTATAGAGTATCAATACTTAATCAATTCAGAAGCATTTTTTTAGCACATTCCATACCTTGTTTTGATTTAATTCTTGCAACAGCCACATGAGTAATAACAGTACATCACATTTCATGAAGGTAACAATGTCTTCTCCATCCTGGCTCTCCCTGCTCCTCTAACAAGTAGGGGTATGGCCGTCCTTGACTAAGAGATGTTCTGATCCGTAAGAGTATATTACTCATTATAATAATTAATGCCACAACCCAGAACCAGCAGGACCTGCTCTAACATCCATCTGGTGGATCACAGGTTTGCAGCACCTTTGGCAGTCAGACAGTTACCATTCAGAGTCTTAGAGATCTTTCAGCTGCTGGGATTGTTCTACAGGTAACTGATTTATTCAGGACCCTCAATTCCTGAGGATTATAAACCAAAAGCAGCATTTTTTTCCCAACTGCCCCCCCCCCATGTACTAAGTTGGACCTCTCCCTTTCATCACGAAGTAGGTCCCTTAATAATGAAACTTCGCATTTATTTTCAGAGATTCAGCTCCCTTCAATATATAAATTGGTGTCTTTCTTTTTAATCTAAAACTCAGATGTGATTCAAAAGTCTTCTCCCTGATTCCAGAAGAGTGAGTGGCCTAGAGAGAGAGAGAAGTGTAGGTCTGGAGGCCTTCCTCACTCCTCTTCAGGCTCTCCTGTGTCTAAGGAGAAAGGGCTCAGAAACTGTGACCACACTGTCACATAAAGCCACAAGAAATATCTAGAATCCAATTGGGTATCTTTTTAAGATTTTTTTTTAGAAACTTTATTTTCTGTCAACTTTATTCCCCTTCCGTTCACAGTTTGTGGAAGACCAGTTTCAGGCCACTCCGTGGTTGTTGCTCCCACTCAGTGGCCTGAGCAGTGGAGGCTGCAGACCGGTCTTCAGTAGGAAAGTGCTGAATAGGCCCAGAGGGCATCTGCGCCTTCAGACCAGCCAGCCGCCTCAGGCTGAGCAGCAGTGAACTTGGGAGCCAGAGTAGTGCGTTCACCCTAAAATGCGTCCTTGGCCTCAGCTTTTTCAGCACTGGCCTGCTCTTCCTCCTCAATCTCTTCAGAATCTCTCACGAAGTGGAGATCAGGCATGACCTCCCATGGATGTTCACGGAAGATGGTGCCACGCACGCACAGAACTTCCTGGGCCGGCATGCACCATATCAGACCCACTGGGTGAGCCCCTTGTTGTTGCCAGGGGTGGCAATGTCCACGTGGTGCAGAGGAGAGTCTGTGTTACACAGAGCGGTGGTAGGCAGGTTGACATAAGACGCCTTGGGGGGACGCTGGTGGTCAGCGCTGGGATCAGCCACCACCAGAAGTCTCAGCTCCCGGAAGGCTGCCTGGAATTGGCTAGTGAAGTTCCCAGGAGTGAAGCAGCCAGCAATAGGAGTGGCTCCAGTGGCAGCGGCAAACTTAGCCCAGCTCACTGGCCAGTGTTCCTGGACAATGTGACAGTGACAGCAGCAGGGTTTTCAACGGCAACAATGGTATGAGCTGCCAGCAGAAGCTTCTCCCAGGTTCTCTTCAGGTTTATGACGCAGATGCCATCACTCTTCGTTTTGCAGATGTATTGTCCCATTTGGAAGTCAAGGTTGGTGCCCTTTAAGTGGGTTCCTGCTGCAAGGAATTTGAGGACATCCTCTTCCTTCATTTGCAGGATATCAAGGGCTCCGGACATGGTGAAAGTTTCCCTCTATGGGGGAACCAAGAACAATGCCATAGGGGCCCCTCTCTGGGTGGCACAGAAAGTCTTTTTATGATTTTAAAAAGTTATTGCTTTATATTTTCCTCCACATAAGTAGGCATCCCAATAGTAGGGGATATGAAGAGCTCCCAGGTTAGCAACACCAGGAGAGCGACACACCCCAACTCCATGCGGAAAGAAGCTCCTGCACACTGAGGACCCTGCCAGACCTGACACTATGTATCTCTTCAATTGGCTGTTCATCTGTATGATATGACATTTCCCTGAATAACTCTAGCAAATTAATCAAACTTGAAGAGAAAGTCATGGGAATCCCTAATTTGTAGCCAAATCAGGCATAAGTTGTGGGTAACATGGTGAACGACTACTTGCAATTGGCATCTGAAGTGCAGTAGGAGCAGTCTTGTGAAATTGAGCCCTTGACCTATAAGATATGACAGGTAAAGGTAGATAGTGTCAGAATTGACTTACATTGGTAAGACACCTAGCTAGTGCCACAGAGAATTGTTGGGTGAGGGTAAAACCCCACACAGCTGGTATCAGAAGTGTTGTGAGTGTGGTATTAGTCTGAAAGTAAGAGAGAAATACAGTTGGAGAAGTGGGTTTTTCACTACTCAGGAACACTGGTAAAGGAACTAAAGGAAAGAGTGAGAACAATGTCTCATATGTCAAATAGAAGATATTTATAAAGAAATAGAAATCATAACAAAAACGAAATCTGGAGTTGAAAAGGATAATTGAAATTAAAAAATTATTAGAGAGTCTTGACAACAGACTTGAATAGGCAGAAGGAAGAATAATGAACTTTAACATAGATCAACTGAGATTATTCATTTTAGGAACAGAATGAAAAAGAATGAATAAAAATGAACAGAGCCTCAGAGACCTGTGGGACACCATATGCACAATGGGAGTCTCAGAAGAGAAAAGAAAAAAAGAAGCAGAAAAAATATTTGAAAAAACAAAGGCTAAAAACTTTCAAAATTTGATGTGAAACGATAATCTACACATCCAAGAAACTCAGTAAACTCCAAGCAGGATAAATTCAAAGAAAGTCACACCTAGATCCTTTAAAATAAACAGCCAAGAAACAAAGAGAACTTTGAAGTCAGAGAGAGGTGGCTCTCACACAAAAGGAATATGATTAACAGCTGATATATGATCAGAAACCACAGGGGTAATAATGTAACATTTCAAGTTCTTATTTTATTAAAAAAAATTGTCAATCAAGAATTCTATACCCAGCAAAACTCTTCTTTAAAAATGAAGGCGAAATTAAGACATTCCCAGATAAGCAAATACTATGTTTGTCACTAGCAGACTTTCCTTACAAAAAATACTAAAGGGAATCCTTCAGACTGAAATGAAAGTCAGCATACTAGAGAGTAATTATTGTCATTACATTAGACAGTAATTCAAACCCACATGAAGAAATAAAGAGCATCAATAAAGGCATCTATACAGGCAAGTATAGAATATAGAAACACGTATTTTTTAAAAACTGCATAAAGCAGTAATTATAAATCTATGTTCATGGGCACACAATGCATAGAGATGTAATTTGTAACAATAAAAGCTTAAAAGGAGGAGAAATGGAAATATGTAAAGTTTTTAAAATAAAATTTTAAATTTTATTTTTATATAAATTTTTTTAAAGTAAAGTTTTTAGTATACTACTGAAACTAAGTTGGTATTAATGCAAACTGATTGTTATAAATTGAGATATTAATGGTAATCTACAGGGTAACCACTTAGAAAATAACTAAAAATATGTATTAAAAGAAATGACAAGGGAATTTAAATAGTACAGTAGAAAATATATATTTAACACAAGAGAAGGAAATAAGGAAGAATTGAGCAACAAAACAGACATTGAAAATAAATAGTACAACAGCAATGTAAATTCTACATGAGCTGTGGCCACATTAAATTCAAATTAACTAAACTCACCAATTAAAAGCCAGAGATTTGCAGAAGGGCTAAAACAACACGATCAAACTACATGTCTACAAAAGCCCCAGTTTAGATTCAAAGACATAAACAGGTTGAAAGTAAAAGGATGGGAGAAATGTTGTCATGCAAACAGTAATCAAAAGAGAGCAGGAATGACTATACTACTATCAGACAAAAGAGACTTTAAGTCAAAAATTGTTATTAGAGACAAATAAGGACGTTTTATAATGACAAAAGAGTCAATCCACCAAGGAGATATAAAACGGTAAGCATACATGCACTTAGAACAGAGTCCCAAAATACATGAAGAAAAATAGGACAGAAATGAAGGGAGAAACAGACAATTCAAGAATAATAGTTAGGCCCTGGCTGGTGTGGCTCAGTGGGTTGAGTGCCAGCCTGTGAACCCAAAGGTTGCCAGTTTGATTCTCTGTCAGGGCACATGCCTGGGTTGTAGACTGTGTCTCCAGCTGGGGGTGTGCAAGAGTCAACTGACTGATGCTTCTCTCACACATTGATGTTTCTCTCTCATTCTTTCTCCCTCCCCTACCTTCTCACTGATAATAAATAAAATAAAATAAAAAGAATAATAGTTGGAGACTTCAGTATCCCACTTTCAATAAGGGATAGAGCAACTAGACAGAAAATCAGCAAGGAAAGAGAAGACTTGAGTAACACTGTAAACCAAGTAGATATAATTTTCTTCTCAAGTGGAAGTGAAATGTTCCCCAAGATAGAACATATGTTACACCATAAAACAAGTCTCAATAAACTTAAAAAGATTGAAGTACCAAGTATGTTCTCTGACCACATGGAATAAAATTAGAAATCAATAACAGAAGGAAGTTTGGAAAATTCATAAATATGCAGAAATTACACAACACAGTCTTGAATAATCAAAGGATCAATGAAGAATTAACAAGAGAAATTTTAAATACTTTGAATGAATGAAAGTGAAAACACAAGACAATACTGTGGAGAGAAGATCATTTCTTCAATGACTATTCAGACATCTTGAACTGCTTCTGTTTGACAGTCTCTTTACTACATCTCAACAGGTTTACTGGCCGCAGATTCACCTCAACCTTTTGCTTAATGGGAAACCTCGACACCATACACACAATGGGAGTCCTAGAAGAGGGATGTTTTGCATCCCTCCCAAACACACTGGTTGAGCGATCATAGTTTTATTAGGAGAGTTTCAGAGTTGGTCTTTCGAGCCAGTTGCACTGATGTTCTCTCTGTCCTCTCTGGACCTCTCTACTTATAGATTAGACGTCTTGTATTTTATGGCTGAATGGGACATGTGACCAAAAGACTCTTTGAAGTTGCATGCCTTGACATTTTTAAACAAGGGCTCAACCTCCTAGCCAAGCCTCCCCTTTCTGCTGGCTCCTGTGGCAAAGTCAGGAGGTACCTGCACCTCCCGGCACAATCCCAGGGACCTGGAGGGACTCCAGTTTTAGTTTTCCCTTTTGGTTTTTATCCAGTGTCAGCAGCCCCACCAAAATGGACAAATGTCTATGAGCTTATATCCATGGGCTCAGTTTTTAAAATTAAGTACCATTTTTATAACTAATAGAATATTGTCTTTATAAAAATTAGGTTTTAAAACTCAGCCTATTGGAGAGCCGCTTATACATAGCACATGCTTTTTATATTCAGTATTTCAGGCTATTGGGCAGATTGTCAGTCTCTATTCTAGCCTCTATTTTTAAATATTCCCCTTTTAAAAAAGAATATGAGGGGAGCCCTGGCCAGGTAGCTCAACTGGCTAGAGCATCGTCTTGATATGCTAAGGTTGTATAAATAAGTGGAATAACAAATCAATGTCTCTCTCTCTCTCTCTCTCTCTGTCCCCCTCTTCCCCTCTCTCTCTAAAATCAATAAATAAAAATTTAAAAAAGAATACGAGGGGGGAAAATCCTGGTGAGTTGCTCTGATGTGAAATAAAACCCATCTGGCTTTTGGCATGCCCCCATTTCCCAGAGAGATGGATAATGTGGTTAGCTGGAGGCAACTGCCTTGTAATATTTTTACCTGCCCAAGGATGTCTCAAAGGTCAGAGGTATAAAAATACGAGCTGTATTTTTCTTGGCTGATAATATCATCCAGCTTTAACTTCAGAACAGGGATTTTCAATTCTCAGCAGCACCAGGATCACCTGAGAGCAGGTCAGAAATGCAAACTCAGGCCTCGCCCCAGACCTGCTGAATTAGAAACCGTGGGAGTGGGGCCAGCTATCTGTGTGTTAACGAACCCTCTGGGGGATGCTGACCCACATGCAGAGGTGGAAAACCACTGCTTTAGAAAAATATAACCACTTTCTTTGAAAGAAGAGAAAATGTGACATATTATAAATTAATTAAAACATTACATATTAATTTAATTCTCTAAGATTTTTTTTCAGTGCCTATTATGCACTAAGTACTGTTCTCCAAGTTTTCAGCACCTCGAACATCTGCAGGGAGCAGGCAGGAAATGTGCATGTGCGAAGCTTGCCAGGGCCTGGCTGCAGCCTGGACAGCGTGAGGCAGGCTGTTTTGAGACCCTGGTTGCTAGTAGCCAGAGAAAAAGGAAGACCCGGTGGAAAAATGCTGTCTCCCCTTTTCCCAAGAAGCTAACAACCGTATTATAGAAAATCTCTCTATTTAAATGTTGGAAAAATTGGAAACCTATTTTAAAAGTAATTTTAAAAAATAAAACGAACAGCTTCATTGAGATACAATTCACATGGCATACAACTCACCCTTAAGTGTACATTTTGAAGTTTTTTTAATATAATTATTATATGTGATTGTTACCACATCTGATTTGGGAACATTTTTGTCCCCTGTAACAGACATCTCACATGCATTAGTAGTCACTCCCCATTGAACTAGATGGGCAGAATATTGAAGGCAGGGATTCGGTTTGATTAAGCTTTGATTTCCCAGAGTCAGGGCTGTAGAAATCACTTAATACTGCTTGTTGGATGAATGAACGAGAGCTCTTTGCCCTTTTCATACTTACCTTACATTTTTTTCTTGATTCATTTCACTAGACCTTCAGCTGCGCGATGGCAAGGACATGTCTGATTTGTTCTGTCACATGCCTAGTGCCTGGTACACCGTAGGTGCTCAATAAACAGTACTTGAATGCACGACTACATTTAACATTTGTTTTCATTCTCTGCATTCGTTATAGCAGCCTGAGTTCCAAGAATATTATACCTATCGCAACATTAATGAATCCCTACAGATAAACATTTAGAGAGGCGTCGTCAACCAATGAGTGCTCATTGGTACCTCGACAGCCATTTCACAGGCTGGTGCGCCCTGTGAGAACCCCAGTAAAACACCACCAGCCCCAGAGAGCTTGTAAATTCTTCTAACCAGAAGGGCTCTCCCCGCCCCCTCTCCCCGCACAGCCGGCTCTGCCCTCCGCCGCCTCCTCTCCGCCCACTCTCGCCGCGGTCTCCTGGCGGCGGCGGCTTTGTCTCGTGGGCTGGTCCCTGGCGGCTTCCTCCCCCGAGCAGCTGCCGCCAGAGGGAGGAAGCGGCGCGGGAGCTGTCCGGCACCTCGGTGCTGAAACCCCGAGCGCCGGTCATCCACCACCACCATGTAAGGGCCATGAAAAGGGCTCGTCCTGGCGCAGCGCGGACATGGAGGAAGACTTATTCCAGCTAAGGCAGCTGCCGTGAGTACCACGGGGGAGAGTGAGAGGCAGACAGGCTTTCCTTTAAAAAAAAAAAAAAAGGAAACCCTGCAGGGGGGCATCGCTGCATGGCGTCTGGGATTCAGAGGGGACTGTTTCAAAGGAAAGAATTAGGCCTGGAGGAGAAAAGCCATTTTCCTACCCCAGGAGACCAGTCTCTGTATCTTTGATTCAGTTCGATTTTTCAGATCCTTCAGAATCTTAGGGGTACCTACAGGGTGTTATGTTCTCCCTTTTAATTGCAATCAATACTAAAGGGATTTTGAGGTCTGTGTTTTAAGAAAGCATTAGCTGCTGTTTGGAAATGTGGACTGAATTTATGAGTCCGTGCAATGACATCGGTTATTTCCAGCCTTTCTCCTGTGCTGTGAAATTCCTCATTTTTCTGCAAGGTCTTTTCGAAGGGGATGATAATTGATGTTGCAAACTGATTTCTAAAAAGCTAAGATGCCTTCCTAGAGGGGAAGCTTGGGCAAAGTCCGGTTGTTTATGAAGTGTGTGAATGAGAGGGCTGAGCATCCTCACTGAAACCTCTTGCCTTCTTCTGAATGGAAGGTTTTTATAACAGCTAGAGTGAGACTCACTGTCAACAGCTATCCTTGGGAGCATTAGGAATACACTGCTTAGAGGATGGGCATTTTAAAGTGATACCAAATTTGTTCTAAGAATCTTGAGGGAATACAACCAAGCAATGGAAAGGACAGGGGCCTTTCAAAGGGGCTTAGGAATCTCTCCTACCACAAGCTGATGGTGATTTGCTAAGCAAATTCCAAGAGTATGGGATGGGACATTAAAAAGAACATTAAGAGACACTGTTGTTTTAATTTTTAGAAGCACTAGCCATTTGGATGACAGTAGACACCATTTGGATTTGTTGGGAAGGCAATAATATTGTTAGTATGTATTTTCTTGACTTGAAATTTTTTTCTCTCTCTAAGCCACTGAAGAATTCTCCCAAGTGACTTTTAGTGTGACTGATACAGCTCTCTGAGGCTCTGAATACCAAAGGATACTGTAATATTTACTTCTTAATCAGTGTAAAATTAATTTTCATTTAAAATTTTAATTAATTCAAATTTTAAGCTCTTATTAATTGATCCACAAGTAACATGTCTTATGTAATACAATATTATTTCACAATTGCTCAAAGATGCTCAGTTATTGATGTTTGAATATATAAAAATGGACATATCTGTGTGCAAATTTCTCAAGGGAAACACACTGCTTTCATTGAAAATAAATATCATGTTCAAAAACCAACATATTATCTCAAAATAAAAAATAACTTAGAAACTAAAATATGAATTTGGTACTCAGAATAGCATACAATTCATATTGGAACTGCAGTTTTACTAGGATAAATTTTCAAATAATGTCAGAGCACATGAACTTTGCTAATTACTCACAGGTTCATGTATATTTAATTTACTAATATATAGACATGACACTGTTGTGACAATTCGTTTCTTAATTAAAAAGGTAAAATAATAAGAGGTTTTTATTTAAATTTAAAAATTAATTTATTTTCTATTATATAAGATAATGTACTATATCATCTATATAGGGTAAAGTTCAGAAATAAGCACAAAAATAAAAAAAATAAGTTTCTCTCTACGTAAACCCCACTTTTATGTTTCTTGTTTATTCTTTCTGATATTTATGCACATAAATATATAAAATATCTGTTAGAGAGGCCAAATTGTGTACTGGTTGAGAGCATTGGTCCTTGAGTAAGACAAGCTTGGGTTTGGATCCTGACTCTGCCACTTCCTGGTTATGTGACTTTGAGCAAGTGACTTCACCTTTCTAAGACTCAGCTCCCCTAGCATAAAATGAAGGTCAAAATAGTTCTTGGTTCATGGGGTTATTGTGAAGCTCAAGTGAACTGATGTGTACTACATACCTGACAGATAGAAAGCTCTCAACACATAGTTATTATTATTATTACATCTGAAAGATCATTTATAAAAACAAAATATATTGGCTACTTATGTTGGATTTCCAAAAATTGTAACCTGCAAACACCAAACTATATGAGGTCAAAATTAGCCCTGAAATGTGCTGACCTCAATTTATTTATTTATTTTTTAAAAAGAGTAAAGTAAAAGGAATAGCTGTGAGAATCTGAGTGGGTTACAAATCATGACTTAGATGGTTTTAAACCACACCCCGTATATGTTATGCACAGATTTCAGGCAGCAGATTTCCTGAGAGCAATATGGTTTTAAAAAATCAGAATGCCTTGTAGAGAGTTGGCAAGCATGAGGTTTGGAACAGGTTCAGTCCCATGGGAGGCCAAGTGTTAATAGATTATAAGCCACTAAGTAGTTTGCAGGGTCAGGGTTTGGGGAAAAGAGGTGGAGGATGTCTAAGAAAACAACTCTTCCTTGTATGTGGGGGCTCCTTAGCGTAGCTCTAGGATGGCTCATTTGAGACCATGGACAATCTCTGCTTTTCACCTTCTATACACTCAGGCACAGCCCAATGTACAGGAGATTCAGGGGGCTGAGATGGTATATCTAGCCATGCCTTTGTGTGACCTTCTGCAAGCTAGACTTTTCTGGGTCTCTCCTTTCCAGGATGATTTCTTGAAAGCAGGTTCACAGACTTCATTCATTCGTTCACTCATTCATTCATTTTACTGGGGTGCCATCCTTGACACAAGAGATTCTACAACAGAGTAAGACTGACATTGTCCTTGCCCTCGAGATGCTTGTAACCTAGCACTGCAGTGTTTGATACAGTAGTCACTAGCTACCATGTGACTACTTAAATTTAAACCTAAGTCATGTAATTTGTATGTGAAATAACCTTTACAGTATAATATATAGTATAAATAAAATTTATAAATAAAATATGCAAAATTTGAAAAATAAGCCCCTCGGTAGCACTAACCACATTTCAAGTGCTCAATAGCTACATGTGGCCAGTGGCTGCTGTATGCACAGCTGAGGTCAGACACATTCCCTCAACTGCAGAAAGGTTTACTGGACAGCGCTGGTCTGGTGGGACAGGCGGACACTGAACTCGTAATTGCACAATAATTGGGAGAATGGTCTTATGGGCCACAAAAGGACAAGTTCAGGGTGCAATAAGGCTAGTTCTAGAAGGGGGAGTGAGAGGATCAGAAAAGACTTCCTTGAGGAAGTGACACTGGAGCTGAGTCCCCAGAGATGTGTAGGAGTCATCCAGGAAAAGCGATGGGATGAGGGCACTCATGACAAAGGGCAATCCAGACAAAGGGCACTCTGTGGGGGGAAAGCTCAAAGTCAGGCGAATGGGGCACTTTGAACAAGTGGTTTGAGGGAAAGCTGCAGAGGACAGCAGGGACCAGACCATACTGGGCCCTGTAGGTTGTGACAAGGAGTTAGAACTTCATCTTATATTTGCTCAATCCACTTCCTTTCTTTTTTTACAGTCCTTGTCTTTCAAGATTGAGCTTACATCCATTACTTTGATGAATCTCCCCCTGACTTCTCCTAGTCTTAAATAGCAGCAGAGGTAAAAGATCTGGGTTCAAATTCTGACTTTGACACTTATTATCTGGGGGGCCTTGGGGCCATGACTTCATCTCCCCAAGGCTGGGAGCTCATCTTTAAAGTCAGGATAATGACAGTCTCTGCATGGTAGGAAGATCACCATTGGGGAGCTCTTGGCCCAGTTCCTGGCTCCAAGTAAGGGTTCAACCAATGGCACAGATATTATTTGTCTTCTTCCACTCTGGATTTGTTTCTCTTATCCTTCAACTTGTTCAGGTAGTAAAGCACCAGGAAGCTGTGGTCTTCTTTTTAGAACACTAAGAAAATGTCCTACTGGAAGCTAATGAAAGTACATGTCCAAACTTGAACTCCTGATCTTTCCTCTACCTTGCCCCTACTCTAGCCTCAGCCATCTCAGTTGATAGCAACTCCATCATGCCATTTGGGCCCGAAACTTTGAAGTCAAACTTGACTCTTCTTTCTCTTGTATTTCACTTCAATCCATCCAGAAATCCCTTTGGTCTTGCCTTTAAGCCATCTCCAGATTCCAACCACTTTTCTCTACCTTTACTGCTGTTTTCTGGTCCAAAACCCCATCATCTCTCATGTGGATGTATTGCAATGGACACCTTACTGGTTTCCTGCTCTCAGCCTTGTCTCCCTACAGTCCCTTCTCAATACAGCATCCAGAGGGATTCCTTAAAAGTCAAATCATGTCCTCCCCCAGCTCAGAACCTCCCATGGCTCTGCATCTCACCTGTCTCTTCCCCTCTCCCACCAACTCGTTCTGCCGCAGCCACTCTGGTCATCTTGGTGTTTCTCAAACCTTCCAGGTAGGCTCCTACCTCAGGACGCCACTGCTCTCTCTCTAGAAAGCTTTTCCCCAAAGTATCTGCTTCACCTTTGTCAAGTCTCGAATGCTACCATCTCACCAAAGCCTACTTTGATCACCCTCTTTAAGACTGGAGCCCTCTCTCACAACTATTAGCATGGCTACTATCAAAAAATAAAAATAAGTGTTGGCCAGGATGTGGAGAAATTGAAATTCTTTTGTGCTGTTAGTGGGAATGAAAAATGGTGCAGACTCTACGGAAAACAAGAGGGCGGTGTCTTTAAAACTTAAAAACAAAGCATACAATCCAGCAGTCTCGCTTCTGGATATAAACCCATAAAAGAATCAAAAGCATAATCCTGAAGAGGTATGTGTACAACCCTGTTCATAGCGACATTAATTGAAATAGCCAAAAACGTGGAAGCAGCCCAAGCATCTCTTTATGGATGAGTGGATAAACAAGTGTGGTCTATCCATGCAATGGAATATTATTCAGCTTCGAAAAGGAAGGAAATTCTGACACATGCTACAGCATGGATAAACCTTGAGGACATTATGCTCAGTGAAGTAAGCCAGTCATGAATAGACAACTACTGTATGATTCCACTTACATGAGGCACTTAGAGTAGTCAAGTTCACAGAGACAGAAAGTAGAATAACAGTTGCCAGGGGCTACAGGAGAAGGGGGTGGAGAGATGTTTAATGTGTACAGAATTACAGTTTTGCAAAATAAAAAGATTCTTATGGATAGAAGGCAGTAATGGCTGCACAACATTATGAATGTACTTAATGCCACTGAACTGTATTCTTAAAAATAGTTAAATGGAAACTTTAATCTTATGTGTATTTTACCACAAATGAAAACAATGCAGCCTTCTTTCCCCATCCTCCAGAACCATGTTCTACTTTTTCCTTTTTCATTGTGCTTATCACCTTGTAACCTACCATAAAATGTACTTATTTATTGCTTAGTGTATGGCTTCCCCCCCAGTGAGATTGCCAGCTTCACATGGCAGGGGTCTCATGTATCCGAGTACCTGGGACATCACCTAGATTCCATCTGATACTGGATTCCTGTGTAGATCAGCATACCAGTATATGTGGGCCAAGAGACTTTTAAAAACTTTTTTAACGAAAACCCAGAAAAACCTGCTCATCGCCTTGATCGTTCTCCTTAACAGTGGTGGCTACACAGCTGAGTCCTCCTGATAGGAAAGATCAGACATAGCCTTGTTTCATCTTACTCATCTGCCTGCTTCCCCATCCCCTTCTTAAGTCAGGGAAGTTGGGAGAATGCAGTTTGACTTACTGATTACATGATTATCTTTTTGATATTGTCCCAGGCAAACTCTATTGGCTCATGGGAAGGACTCATTTTTGAATTCTAGAGAAGGACCCAGAAGCAGATTTTGTTTCCTCTAAGTGAGGAGACCTCTGCATGATGCTTTCTCTCTGTTGACTCCATGACTTTCATCTCCATGGCAACGCTGTGAAATAAAAATTTTCATCTCCATTCTACCAGGCAGGAAACAGATTCAGAGAGGTAAAGTAACCTACCCAGGGTCCCATAGCTACTGAATGCCATAGGTATGGGATCGAAACCCAGGTCGGTTTGTATGGCACAGCTGGGCTCTCTTCTTCCCTACAGCAGACCACCATCCTTCACACAAGACTTTCAGTAGCACTCTGAGCTAATCACAATTAGGTTTAAGCTTTCTTTCCTGTCTGACAGATTCAGGAACTCAGGTAATAAAGATCCAGCAACTCAGGCGAAAAGAGAAAAAGAATCTTTTTTTTATCTAAAATACCCAAATCAAGTTTCAGACCCTAACTTAAGGGATGAGTTCAATGAATTTCATGACACAAACAAGATCTTTACATTGACAGCTATTTCCTCAAGCTCCTCTCTTCTTTAAATAGCGAAATTATGTAAAATAAATGTTCCCAGCTATTTTCGTGAATTATATGCTATCTATACCCAACAAATGCTAAGGAGTTGTGAGCCAGCCTGTTTTGAAGTCCTCATATATTTAACATATGCCACTGCTATTTTCTTTCATATTTCCCCCCTCCCCTTGGGAAATCTTGGCTTGTGTAGTTGATACATACTTTTAGAAACGCAGCCGATTCAAAATGTAGCTTGGCTTTCTTAGTCTAATTTAATGTCAAAGGTCTCCTTTTATGTCTGTCTTAAAACAAGCATTCTTAAATAAAGGTGCCCTGGCTTCTTGTGGTTTGCCAGAGAAGGAATATGAACAGATCCTGGTTTAAACTGCAGGGAGCTAAGCCACTTTCTCAAAGTCATATTTCACAAAGGTCACTGTACTCCATGCTCAAGGCAGAAAGGTGACTTCGGTGAAGCCAGGTGGGAGGGAAGCAAATATTTACTCAATGCCCGCAACTGGCCCATTCATCAAGCTCGGCTAATCTTCCCGGCGGTCCTGCAAGCCCCGTCATCGTCCCTATTTCACAGATGTGACAGGCTTAGCAGATGCTACCTGATCAACAAGAGCTCCGTAAATAGTCATTATTGTTGTGTGTATTGGTTATTAGATGCTCAGGTTAAAAACTGCAAATGTTACAGAAAGGTCCAAAATAAAAAGTAAAAAAATTTCCTTTTTCTCAAAACACCTCGCTTCTAGGCAGTCCTCCTCCTCAGAAGCAACCGGCCATCAGCTCCTCTGTATCCTTCCAGAATGTCGAGGCTCTAGAACCATAAATAATCTATGGCAGCACTTCTCAGACTTACTTGGACTGCACACATTGTCTGGGGACCTGGTTAAAATGCAGATGCTGATTTAGTAGGTCTGGGTCAGGGCCTAAGACTGCATGTCTAACAAGCCCCCAGGGGACGCCAGGCCTCTGGTTGGAGACCACGTGTTAAGCCTTAGTGGCAAGGACCTAGATCACATGATCACATTCTAGCCTATTTAATAGTGAGCCCCAACAATTTTTTCCTGTTGGCTCTTACACATTAACATGTGCATGTATTTATGTATGTGTGTTTATTATGGTAGAATACGCATCACGTACAATTTACCGTTTTGATCATTTAAAGGGTATAGTTGGTGGCATTAAGTACGTTCACATTGTGCAACCATCACGACTATCTATTTGCAGAACCATTTCATCTTCCCAACTGAAATTCCATACCTATTACACACTAACTCCTCATTCTCCCCTCCCTCCAGCACCTACATTCTGCCTGCGACTTTGACTACATTGGGCCCCCTCATATAGGTGGACAATATCTGTCCTTTGTGTGAGGCTTATTTCACTTAGCGTAATGTCTTCAAAGTTCATCCATGTTGTAGCATGGGTCATAATTTCCTTCCGTTTTAAGGCAGAATAATATTCCATTGTACAGATAGACCACACTTTGTTTATCCATTCACCCCTTCAGCCACTGACGGACACTTGGATTGTTTCCCTCTTTGGCTGTCGTGACACAGATCAACTTAAAAACATTTTTAAAAAAAAATTTTCTCAAGTGGCTGTGCCACAATGTATTTCATTACTTTTTTCCTGATGATTGTTTCTAGTTTTGTTAACACTTATCACATTTAGTTAACAATTATCACATGCAAAGCTGCAAATAGCCTACTAGCACCGGAGGAGAGGAGCAGAGTGGCTAGGAGTGGGGACTCTGGGAAGTCGGGTGGCTTTGCCAGCATCTGGCGTAGACACCCACTGTGTGACCTTGAACAAGCTCCCGGCCCCTCTGCTGTTGAATGGTCTCATCTGGAACATGGGGATAGTGAAAGTGAAGTATAAATAAGATAATCGATGAAAGCGCAAACCTGGAGCCGACTCACGGCAAGCTAACAGTCCCTATCAGCTGTTATTTGTGTGGTAAACCCTTGCCTGCTTGTGTCTATCCCTACAATGGATTGCCAGCGTGACCAATCTGGGCGGGCTTGCAAAGCATTTCAAATTTTGAAAGAAATCACCAGTTACCTTCCAAAAAGGCCTCAGTGGTTGCTATTAGTCACAGAAAGAAGTACGGAGTCCTGGAGAGCCCTTCAGGAGAGGATGCGATAAAAGTAGTAGTCAGGGGAGATTATCAGGCCTCAGGATCATTTCCTTCTCTTGATGCCACCCTCAGAGTTGAGGGTGATCCATGGCCCTTTCCTTCATCCCTGAAAATGAAGTGATAATGTGTGATAATGTGAGTAAATGTTCATGTCCTTTCTTTGCCTAATATTTATCTATGTTTTTATCTTGTTCAAATACCTTGGGGGGACTGTTTATGTTTTTCAATTTGAGGACATCTTGGGGACAGCGAGTTCCTTCCTGGAACCCATTTCACACCACCCCTTACTCAGTGGGTTGCAGAGTTGAAATGTCCCATCTGCAGGGACCACAGGGCTCAATCTAGCCATACTATGCCCTTAGAAGAATGTGGGCCCCAGATGGCTGGATATTCTACTTTTTAAGAGACATCAGAAGTCTCATTTTTATGTAAATTCTTTCAATTAAAAAAAATCCACTGGCATCCACTTAAAAAAATACCATACAGGCAACTTTTTGTGGGCATAATGTAACCTTTAGGTGACCAAATTGTTATATCTAGTAGAGAGATGAGTCTAAATTCTGAAACACACATGCTTCCAAACAGTAGTCTAGACTAAAGACATCCTCATTCCCACAGCCTACCATGTGAACAGGGTTTCTTTGACGTTGTGCAGTGCCCAGCCTGTGCACCTGTATGTGACAGCCTTGATTGATACACAACCTTTGAAGTTGCCACTTTGTCACTCCCTACAGTCCAACTCAATGGAAATGCCAACCTCCTACCCATTCAACTCGCCCGACCGTGAAATAAAGCCTTTCACCTGTCTTGGGCACAAGAGCTGTGCCGCAAGGCCGGGGAGGGGGAGCTCTAGCCTTCATGACCGGATTTGCTCTGTCCTCTAGGGTGGTGAAATTTCGTCGCACGGGCGAGAGTGCCAGGTCAGAGGATGACGCGGCTTCGGGAGAGCATGAGGTCCAGATTGAAGGGGTTCGCACGGGCCTAGAGGCGGTGGAGCTAGATGATGGAGCAGCTGTGCCCAAGGAGTTTGCCAATCCCACCGATGGTGAGGGGACCCTGCAGCTGAGACATCAGCTCAGGTCACAGTCAGGGGCTCTGAGATGCCAGGGTTGCCTCCCCAGGTGGCACTTTCAGAGGGACCATGTGAAGCGGCAAGTAGGAGGGCCCAGAGGGCCCAGGGATGATACTGGAAGTGTGAGCTGAACCCCCATGGCTTACTCCAGCCGGCAGGGTTACATCACAATCCCTGCCATCAGCATCACTGCCAACACTTGGCTGAGGACAGCATGATGATGATGACGACGACCACAGCTATGGCGATAATGATGAGGGTGGTGATGATGATGATGATGGTGATATGATGGTGGTGGTGATGCGGACACGGTGGTGGTGACGACAGTGATGATGGTGGTGATGACGGTGATGATGATGACGGTGATGACAATGGTGGTGGTGATAATGGTGGTGGTGATGACGGTGAGAACTGTAACAGTGACGATAACAGCGGTGATGATGATGGTGGCGGTGAATGTGATGGCGAGGATGATAACGGTGATGGGAACAGCGGACATTAACTGAAGATTTACTCTGTGCCAGGCACTGTTCTAAGCAGCGTACACATGTTACCCATTTAATCTTCACAACATTTCTAATTGGAACCATTACGATCACCTTCCCCAGTTTGCAGAAGAGGAAACTGAAGTACAGAAAGGTTAAGCATCTTGCCCAGTTACCCAGCTAGAAAGCAGCCAAGCTGGATTTACACCCAGGCGATCTGACCTCGGAATCCGCATTCTTACCCATGACCTTGTGCTGTGTCTGAGTAGAGCTGGTCAAATGAAGAGACCGGAGGTGGTGCTGTGGGACCTGGTCTCCCCTCATCACATGATGCTGATGGGTGAACACATTCCATGCATTCCTGAAAGGCCCCAGATTCCCAACAGGAGGGAGGGTTAATGACTGGAACCCAAGGCCTGCTATGGAGTCAGAGCTACAGAGGCAATGACTGGGGAGAGAGGTGGCCGTGGCCAGGGGCAGTGGCTTTATGGTCAGGCTAGTCTGGGCTCAACTCCCAGATCTCTGGCGTGTCAGCTGCGTGACACTGGGAAAGGCCACTTCCCCCTCTGTAAATGGGGTTAAGTCTGGGCCTTCATGAAGTTGTGACAGAGACTAAATGAGATATAATGCACATCAAGCTCTTAGGGCAGTGCCTGGCACGTGTGAACACTCAGCAGTGCACCATAATGTCATGACTACTCTTCATATCATTGACAACGTTATAGGGCTCACTCTGCGTTCTCCTCAAAATTTTTGCTGGAAATAAAACAGAACCAGCTCACTCTTTTGGAGAACATTATGACTGATGTTAGAAGTTCAGGATTGAAATTCCAAAAAGATGACAGGTAACAGAAGTTATGTTGAAACCATTTTACATTTATAGAAAAGTTGCAAAGCTACTACCAAGATTTCTCATATGCCTTGTGTTAACACCTTAACAGCCAATGGACATTTGTCACAACTAAGAGATGAACTCTGGTGCAATACTTTTTAACTAAACCCCAGATTTTTTTTTTTTAATTTCACCAGTTTTTCCAGCAGTGATGTTGCAGGACACAACGCAGCACACCACATTGTAGTTAGTCTTTTAGTGGCTTTCAAAACACTTATTAGCTTATAAATTGTCTTTATTTTTTGAGCATGCCCATAGCATGTGTATATTGGAAAGCATTCAGACACTTTAGAAATGTGCACAGTAGGTAAGCGAGTGCTGTCCTCAAAGATGATCCTGTGGACACTCAGTCTTCCCTCCCCTGCATGGTATGCACACACACATCTAATTTTATCTCAAAGACAGGTCTTACGGCACATATCTCCCCACAAGTTGTCTTTCACTTAACAATAGAGTGTGGACACCTTTCCATTTGAGTACAGATGAAATTCTACTTTTACAAAGTATTTCTTTCCTGACTCTACAAGTAATACATTATAAAAGGAAGAAAGCTGAAGTTGCAAATGATTTCTCCCTTCCCCCCTTCAAAGGCAACAAAAATAAAACCATAATGTGAGTTTTGTCTATATTCTTTGCATAGTCACATATACTATAAACCCACACATGCATCCATTTCAAAGAAGAGAACCGTACTAAATATTTTGTTGTTTATCTTGCTTTGTTTTTAAAAATTAATTAACAATAATGCATGCCTCTTTCTACATCTGCACCTTCTTTTTAACAGTTGGGTCATATTTTATAATGTGGATATATAAACGTATAAAATTATAATATATGCCATCCTTTATCTGACCAACTCCTGTTGATAGACATTCTGCATTTTCCAGTTTTTCTTTTTGTAAACAATGTTGCAGTGGATTCTATAGCAAGGTATCTTTTCACACTTGCTGGAATGTTTTCTTAGGAAAAGTTCTAGAAGGAGCATGCGCTGCCTTTCATGAGTTTGCCTGAGAACTCCCCCTAGACCCTCCCCTACTAGGACAACTGCAAGATGCCCTGACTCCCTCCTCCCCTCCCCCTTTCTCCTTCCCAGATACTTTCATGGTGGAAGATGCGGTGGAAGCCATTGGGTTTGGAAAATTTCAATGGAAGCTGTCGGTTCTCACCGGCTTGGCTTGGGCAAGTATTTCTGGGGCAGATACCTCGCGTTCACTCTCCAAGAGACCCTTACCTATGCTGCTCCGCTGGGTTTCCGTGATCTGCATGGAAGGACGCAGTCCTTTGCACATAGAGCCTTGGCTTGAATCAGTGAGGCTTATGCTGAGTGAGGCAGGTAAAAATGCAGGTCAGCGCCTGGGGGGAGCTGGGTAATGCTGGCAATTGCCCACAAGGCGGAGTTGGAGCTTCTGGCTAATGAAATGGTTCTCAATCCTTGGGGGCTGGGGCCACTCTGAGATGATGAAGGCACCTGTGGAGCTCACCTTAGAGAAACACGCACCGACAAAAGTAAGCGCTTTGCTTCACCAGGCTCACGATTGCTTGTTAAAATCCCTGCGTAGGCCTATTGCAGATCGTGTCTCGAGTACAACTGAAATTCATTTTTGAAACTATTTTTCCAAATAGATCTTTAATTTCCCCATGTCATTTTCCCACTAATTCAAAAGGCTACCTGGATCGTCCACACATTCCCACGGCCACATGGGGCTGCTTCTGAACTCTCATTTCTGTCCCATAGTTCTATCTAGTCCTGTAAAAGACATTTTGTTCAGTTACCGGGGATTCCGAGTATGTTTTAATATATTAAAAGTTCACACTTGTTAAATATACTGAGAATACTACATGAACAATGACCTCTGAACCAAAAACCAACTAATCTTTAATTGAACTAACAAGAAAAGATCCTTGTCTATCAGTATAAAAAACGTTTTTCTTAGATTTTTGAAATGAGATGTTTTCCCACTTTATTCAGGAAGTGTCCCTATTTTTTTAAATACGGAAAATCACACACATAAAAAAAAAAGTTTAATATCTAGTTGTCAATTCCTGCATGGTACCACGCTGTTTTAATTACCAGAGATTCTCACATGCTTTGATGTGTGGTAGGGCGCTCAGCAGGCAGTAGAAGAGGGGCTTCCCTATGCTCTCTTAGGGGTCACTGAGTGAAGGGTCAGCCGTCCAGGCACAGGGCAACATCCTGGCCTCATGACCTTTGCTTGCCCCCTGCAGATGGCGGACGCCATGGAAATGATGATCCTGAGCATCCTCGCGCCCCAGCTGCACTGTGAGTGGCGGCTCCCCAGCTGGCAGGTGGCGCTGCTGACCTCGGTAGGCCACAGTTGCACACAGTCCTGCCCCCCTGGGGTGGTCTGCAGGGCGTCCTCCTCCTCCTGCAGCTGCCAGAGGCTCAGCAGAAAAGGAAGAAACTGCATGGGGACACCATGACCACAGCTTCCTTCACTCCCCAGTAGGTCGGCAACCAGTGGGACCGCGGCCCCCAGGGGACTCCCTGGGGGCTCCAGGCATCCTGCTCCATTGCTAGGAAGTTGGAAGCTGCCTGGGCATGTCACTTAGACCTTACATACCTCACTCATCCAAAAAGGAGATGCCAATACTTCCTAACCTCCTGTTTCCTGTTTTCATACTCTCCAAACTCTACCTTGCAACCTTTGATATTTTCCTAGCAACAGGACAAGGCATTTCTTTGGTATCGAATTTACTAATTTACTAGAAATCAGTAAAATGCTAGCTCTGCAGCCATGCTGCCTGATTCCAGCCCAGGCTGCCCCACTTACAGATGTGTGACCCCAGCCAAGTGACCTCCCCTCTCTGAGTCTCAGTTTCCTCATCTGTAAAGTGGGGACAATAAGGACACCCACTCCCTAGGATTGCTGTGAGGTTTCGGCAGTAACACGAAGCATGCAGAATAGTGTTTGCACCTCAGCGGGATCTCAGTGAATGTTGGCTCCTGATTATGGCTAGAGTGTGATGTCACAGGTTCACTGTGTTCTTCCCTTTCTCTGCGATGCTCCGTGTCACGGTCTAACAGGAACCCTCTTTCCACCCACAGGTAGTCTTTGTCGGCATGATGTCCAGCTCCACCCTCTGGGGAAACATCTCAGACCAGTATGGCAGGAAAACAGTAAGGCCACCTCTCCTAAGCACATGTCCCCTGGGTTATCTCCATGGTGATGGTGACAAGTAGCAAAACTTATGTTGGCCCCATGGACGAGTGAATGTTTGAACCGTGCCGTACAGGAAGCAGACTCCAGCTGCAGCCCCTCCTTCTGCGACTGGACAGGAAACACGTGGGCCAGCAGACACCAGGGAGATGTTGACTAATAAAACCCCCAGGAAGCGGCTGCGGCAGGGCCAGAGGCGCGAGGTTGGGGAACTAGCTGTAGCCTTTGGAGCCCAGGGGATCTTGGGTGGTTTTAGGGGCTAGAGAAGTTCGTTGGGAAGACCTCTCCAGACATCCTAGAGAGAGAAGAAGCTGGATTGCTGTGGTCTGCCAGGCAGGGCTTTCTAGGCTCTGCCTCCATCCACCCTCCCACCCATTTCCTGTTTCCAGAGGGTGTGAGTCACTACTTTAGTGATTTTCTGGTTGGATGATAGAGCAGAACGAGATCTGGAGAGAGGGAGGGAGGGAGAAGGGAGAGGAGAAGAAAGAAGATAGATTGAGGAAGGAAGGGAAGGAGGGAGGGAGCGAGGGAGGGAGGGGAAGGGAAGGAAAGAGAAGAACCTTTCAATATCAAATAGAGCCATTGCTGTGATGGAGCTGGGCTTCAAGAGCTATAAGCCTGGGCCGTCTGCTGCTGGACCTAACGTTAACCTTCAGGCCTGGGCCATAATGAAAGGAAAAAGCTCTTTTAAGGTCTTAACATGGCTTCCTCCTGAGCAGGCTGCATGTGGGGACAAACGACTCATTCCTCTGTCTCTGGCTAAAAACATTTTTTATTTACTTGTTCTTGAGGCAAACATGCACATGCACAGAAAAGTCCAGGAACTTGTCATGAGGAATTTTACTGTGCCCCAAATTCTGCCATCCAGATGCTCAGTACTGAAGTCATGAAGACTAAAGGGGGAAAAGGGTAAAATACCTTAATTTGGGGGCTGAATTTGCCACTGGGTGACTAAAGCAAGTCACTTCTCCATCTCAGGCCACAGTTTCCTTATTTATCTTAAAACAGGTTGGATTAGATAATAGCTGATATTTACAGCTACGATTTATTGAATTCCCCAAACTAAAGAGCAAATGGGTTTTTGTCCCTTCGGCCTGTTCTAATCATTCAGCAGGGGATGTGGGGAACACGGATTTGAAGAGTCAGAAGCCTCGGTGGATAGTGCTGTGATTGATTAGTGATGTCTGCCATGGGCACAGAGCAGGAAGATGGATAGGTAAGTTCAGTGAACTGTCCGAGGAAAGAGGCAGTGCTCTGTTGTCCACAGAGGTGGCCCCAGTGCCTGGCGCAGCACCTGGCTCCTAGCAGGCTCTCAGTAGATACTTCCTGAGTAACTGAACTGGATGGATGGGAATCAGATCTTGTTTCTATTTTCTGCCATCTCTCCTCTCCAGACCAGCAATGGACTTCATGGATGAATTGTCTTTGTTTACCCAAAAAGTGCACGAAGGTCACCATAGCTTAGGATCCTGGCTTAGTTTGGAACAGTGTGCTTATCCTGCTGCCAAGGGCAGTGACTCATACTCTGTTCCCAGGAGGAAGCCCTCTAGAACATAGATGCCTTTGTGTTTACGATGAGCCTCAGAAGTGAAAGCTCTAAGCCTGGATTTGAAAAGGTTTCATAGAAGGGTTTTCAGTAATGCCATTTACTGAATCTTGTGACTTCGAAACACATTTTGGCACCTTCTAGGACAGTGGTTCTTAGAGAGGGGGGTGAATTTTGCCTCCCCCCCCCCACTTAGCAAGGTCTTCAGGTGTTTTTGGTTGTCACAACTGAGGGGAGGGGTGCTTCGGCACCTAGTGAGTAGACGTCAGAGATTCCGTGTGAAATCCCCCAGTGCTCAGCACAGTCCCCACCGCAGAGAGTTACCAGGGCCAAAGTGTGAATGGTGCCAAGCGTGAGAAAGCAGGCACTGAGAGGGAATGTGCAGAGAGTGCCAAGTGGCCTTCTCGGGAAGAGCTGGTTCTCCATCATCTCACTGTATCACCTGGGAACCATTCAACCCTCATCTCAATATTTGCTCATTTGCTCAATAAGGGGCTCGTTTGGACAAATGAAAGATTGACATAGCAGCATCATGACAAGCATGGGCTCTGAGACCGAGCTGCTGAGGTTCAAATCCCAGCTCCTCCCATGATAGGCTGCATGACCTCCGGCAAGTTCCTCAACCTTTCTGTGCCTCGGTTTCCTCATCTGTAAATGGGATAATGAGAGTCTCTCCCTTTGGGCTGCTGTGAAGAGTAACTGGGCCCTTGTACAGAGAGCTCTTGCCTGAAAGGAAGCATTTCAAAAATGTCCATTATTATTCCCATCATTTGCCAAGCTCATGGTGCCAATAAATGGTAGTGCCAGTGTTAAAATGCAGGTGTGTCTGGCTCCAGAGCTGACATCCTTCCCCCTGGCCATGGCTGCTGGGAGACATGACTGAATTGTCCCCAGAATTCAGTCGATTGGTAGGACATTCATTCATCTCAAATAAATAAAGCTTAGGGGGCAGCCTGGAGTGTTTTTCCAGGTTTGCTGAGCAGCTTGCTAAATTCCACAGCCCATGCAAAGCTGGCTTGACCAGAGACAGAGGAAAGAAAGCACCCTGAGACTTCAGGGCCCCCTGGTCCCCTGCATGGAGTTCCGGCCCCACCTCAGGGAGGATGGATCAGGCTCTAATTATAAACCTTCCCCAGAACTCCTCCAGGAACAGCGGGTGAGCTGGGCAGCTGGCAAGCTTTGGTGAGTGCTGAAAATCTCTTAGCTCCTTCGTCTGCCTCCGCCCAGCTGGGAGGTTTCTATGAGGGTGTCCGCTGCGTGACTTTGCAAGGGAGTCACATATGGGATGGGGACTCAGTGGGCCACTTCAGTTCCTGTAGAAGTTTCTGCAGCTTGGGGGCTTGGGGCAGCCACTGAAAGGCAGGGCAAATATGGGTGTGCAGACTCGAAGGGATGTAAATAGACAAACCCAGGTTCATATCCTCATGAACCTGGAGCAAGTTGCTTCACCTCTCTGAGCCTCAGTTTCCCCTTCTGCAAAACCGGGGTGACAACAGTGAGAGCTCATCATGCTGTTTAAAGAAGGCAATGTAGGTGAGGCACTTGGAACCATGTTTACTGGTGCATGGTTAGCCTGTGATCATTCGTAACTGTTATTGGTTGGAACTCAAGGAAAAACCATTGCAGAGTATGATCAGGTCACTTTCTAGTTCAATGCCTACAGGTCCATGTGTTCTCTCAGGAGGGAAAGGAGGCGGCTGGCAGGCACTAGGCCTTTCGTTTCAGTGTTTTGGAGATTCCCTAGGTTTCCTTGCCCTTTGACTCCTCATCCTTGCACCCGAGCATGGATGGCGAATACCTGAGTTGGGGGCTTCCGTTGAGAGAGCCCGGCAGGTGACAGAGCAAGCTCCTCTTGGGGGTGATGGGCCTGCCACCCTAATGGTAGCGAGACTTTTAGCTCCTTGGAGCGGGAGCCGGAAACTTTTCCAAGCTCCAGGTTGCAAACTGATGAGCCATGGGCCAAATATGGCCCACAGATGTGCTTTCTTTATCCCATACAAGGCTTCATAGGATTTCGGGTCCGTTGCCTCTATTTCATAGATGACATAATTTGCATAAATATAGAGTTATGGGGATTTTTGTTTTTGAAAATTGGCCTATCTGGCAGCCCTATTCCATGATGGTAACTTTTGATTTTAGAGACAGAGAGGAAGGGGGAGAAGGGGAGAGAGCGAGAGTCATCATTTTGTTGTTACCATAATTTATACATTCATTGGTTGATTCTTGCATGTGTCCTGACTGGGGATTGAACCCGCAACCTTGGCATATTGGAATGATGCTCTAACTAACCAACTGAGCTACCTGGCCAGGGCCCATGATGGTGACTTTTGGCCAGAGCTGAGCAGAGGCTGATAGGGCAGGTCAAGTTCTCTTTCATTCACTCAGACTCACCTGTCCTTGCTGCATTACACCTGTATGGTGCAGGTATGTTCTCTGCCAGAGGTAATGGGGAGCCATCTAAGGCCCTGGAGGAGGGGAGCGACTCGTTCACGGTACAGCATTTGGGGCTGGAAATCCTGGCTCCAGTTTTGACTCTGCTGACCTTAAACAAATCACTCCATGGTCAATACTTTGACCATTGCTGTGCTAATTTGGAAATGAAAATAACCTTTTTCCAAAAGTGACTGTGAGGATCTGTGCAAATGAAAGTTCCATGAAGTCAGAGGCCCTGGCTGTCGTGTTCCCTGCCGTAGCCCAGGGCAAAGTCCACTGACTGGCATTCAATACGTGCATAGTTAATGGATGAATGAACAAATAATAGTGCTTTGACTGCCAGGCACACAACAGGTGCTCAATACCTGCTTAGTGAACAAATGAGTGAGTGAATGAATGAATGAAGGATACATATCAGTACCTCTAGTGCAGAGCACACAGGTGTTCAATACATATTTTTTGAATAAACAATATATATCAGTACTCTAGTGTCTGGCATACAACAGGCACTCGATACCTGCTTATTATTGAATAAATAATTGAACGAGCAAATTAATGAATCTATAATGTCTATGCATCTATTTCTAGAGCCTGGCATACAGGGGACTCTCAATAAATAAATATGGAACAAAGGAAGGAGGGAGGGAAGGAAGGGAGGGAGGGGAAGAAGAAGGGAGGAAAGGAGGGGCTCACAACCTGAAAGACAGGACTGATGTTAGGCAGAGTGACAAGTGTAGTTGATGAGAAGCCCAAAGGACATTTCTACAGAATCCCCAAGCAGCGCTTGGTGGGGGCTGGCTGGCGGCACCCGCGGCTTCTCAATAGGCGTGGCGCTACTCACGAACGGTCGCTGAGTCCTCATTTTCTGGGCAGCTGGGAAGCCCTGGCAGCAGCAGGCAAATGCAGAGCCAGGAGTGACCTGCTGTGACCCGACAGGGCGGGTCAGCCTGCCTGTCTGTGGTGCCTGGCATGCGGGTCCCCAGTGAGGTCAATTGGGTGACACAGGCAGCCAGGGAGGGAGGCTTGGCCCCCGTGCCCGGCCCTGGCGCCCTCGTCCCTTCCTTTCCCTTGTGTCCTGCTGCATTTTCCTTTTTTTCTTTTCTCTGCTGCTAATGGTGTCCTGTTTCTGATTCAAGACTTGGGTTCCAGGGAAAAAAGTCTTTATTGAGTTAGTTTAAGCCAAAAGAAAGGAATTAAATATATATATATATATGTGGCAGGTACCTGTTTCATAGTCATGGGCTTAGGGGTGCGTAAACATTGCTTTATTATTATTGCAACAGATCCAGGACCTCATACTTTAATAATTCTTGTCCTACCTGTTCTCTTGTGTACACTGTATCTTTATTTGTATTAACTGTTTGTTGTTGTTTTTTTTTTTAATGAAATGAATTTTGGGGAGAAGAAACTTTACAGAGCATCTTAAATGGGAAATCAGTAACAATTGCCCTAAGGAAATATCTGCAAAAGATAAATGCAATGGAAATAAAACAATGTTATTAAGCCCTAGCTGGTTATGTTGCCCTACCGCTCTCTTTGTTAAAAAGAGAAATTAGTGGGCGGTGAAAAGGCGTTAAAGACAGACTAGCACAGCTCACGTACTTCCTTTTGGACATAATCAGGAGAATGGATATTGAAATGAAAAAAGAAACCACTTTCTTGCTAGGTTATTCAGAGTTAGTTAAAATATTTTCTCTACTACCTAAAATCATTTTCCTAAAGACCCAAAATCTGGTCGACCTCCAAATTTTCCCTGAAGTCCTTTTACTTCGGTTTACGCTTTTAAAACTAAAGTCAAAGGCTTTGCCCTTTTCTCCTGACATGTCCCCTGGGGGCTGGAGAGTGCACTCTGTGAAGCTGGGAGGGGGCTGCAGAGGGAGGCCTGCCCCGGCCTTTTAGAGCCCTCTGAGCCCCTGTAAAATTTGCGTTCTGCTCCATGACTGGGCTGATGTTGGTTGTTATGTAAAAACTGCCATTGAGGTCATGTTTACTCTCTATTCTTTCTCAACCCCTAGGAGCAGTGAACACTCCAGGAGTATACAGTTTGTCTTTCTTGTAGCATTGTGTCCCCAGGTAGATCTTAACCTTGTCAAACACAACGTTCCCTTCCTGGGAAAAACACTTATTAAAAATCTTAATAGTGTTGCCTAATTTCCAGAAATGATTTCAAAGATAAAACGAAATTGCCACTCTCATCATTTAAAAAAAAGAAATCAGCTATAACGCCCTAACTATGATATGGGGGAGAAATCTTTGCAACGGAGATACTTAATGTAAGATTTATTTCCAATATGCAAATGTTCATGGACAGTTTTGCCTTGATAGCAAAAGGAAGTGGTGAATATTTGCCCCTGATCATAAATAAGCTTGTATTTAACTGAACCTTGTTGCTGTTTTTTCTTTAGAGTTGACAGATGGAAGTAAGATTGAGATCAGTCTATTCGTAGGTACAGACCAAAGCCTTGTGAGTGGGGACCAACGCTGAAGTGTTCCCTCAGTGACTCCAACCCCCCACACAGTGTTGCCACTGGCAACACAGTTTTCTGAAATGATGAACAATTTCGTAACCTTCCAGATAAAACAAAGCACAATTTTCCTTTGATTTACCGGAAGCTGCCTTCTTGAAAAATTAAATATAGTATATTCAAATAATACCCACCCCAAATCCTGTCTATATGTAAACTGGATTGAAGATCTAGGTGTAGGTGGTCAAAAACAGAGTTTTCAGCTGCACGACGGTTGGGTGGGAAGTTTGATTCGAGCCCGTGTAGGACGCAGGACAAGTCTTTACGGGGTCTTGTGCACGGTGGGACATCTTCCGCCTCCGGGCCCTGGCTGGTAAAAGCCAATCATTGGGACGAGCAAGAATGCCCCACAGTTTTGCCCCAGACCCCCTAGAGGTTAGCAGCACCCACACAGAAAACCCTTGGTTGCGTGGGTCACCCTTTCACATGACTCTATTGGTGACTTGAAATATGTGGGGCCGTGTGACCTGGAGGTGCTGAGAAGCCCTGTGACCCGGTGTCTCCCTTCTCCGCAGGGGCTGAAGATCAGCGTGCTCTGGACCCTGTACTACGGGATCCTCAGTGCTTTCGCGCCCGTGTACAGCTGGATCCTGGTGCTCCGGGGCCTGGTGGGCTTCGGGATCGGAGGGGTCCCCCAGTCGTAAGTAAATACCCAGCCCCGGCCTTCCAGCTGGGCAGTCAGTCAATGGTGTTCACGGCCTTGAGGGGTGTGAAGATGCCGCAGCAGGGCGTCTGGTATCAGGGAGCCCTGAGGTAGCCATGTACTGATGGAACTTCTGCTGATGTTGATGTTTTACTTGGTGGGGTGACCCAGCCCCCTTGCCTGAGGTCCCTGGTGAGCGTGCCCTTCTCAGGCCATTGCTGCTGTTTGTCCACTTGCCACAAAATTTAGGCATGGGGTTACCAAGAGATGTCCAGTGTACCACCTGGGTGACAAATTGGGTAGCCCTACTGCCTCCTGATGCTCAGGATTCCTCAGACAGAATGCTCGCTCTTTCCCCTGCTTGCTCATTTCATGACACAAGGAAGCCAAAGTTATTAAATAGGTGGCAGCTGTTGTGCAAAGTCTGATGGGACTCTTACTGTGTCCCCTGTCTGGGAATCAGAACACGTTCCTCAAATTGGATCACTGGGAAGACAGCAATGACCGTCAAAATGATGATCCTTCTTCAAATCTTCGATTTCCAGAACGATGTGGTCTTTCTACATAGTACCACATAATAGTCATTGATTAAAGGGTGTCCTGTGTCCTGGAAATAGCACCCCTTCCTCACAGGGCTTCATCTCCAAGCTGATGCCTCCGTGGCACCTCGAAAAGTCTGTTCCTTCACTCTCTCAGTCCAGCAGCTTCGGGATGACCTAGCACGTGGTGGGGCCCATGGATTCCATGCTGTATGCTGCCGTGGCTGCATCTCCTTTGTTATGTATCTCTTGGTCCCATGTCCTGTTATGCAGGATCCTGGGTCAGTGGACCAAATACTCTGAAAACCCTCTGCTAACGGTGCTGGCTGAGACCCTACGGGAAAGGCAAGCCAATACGCAGAATATGTGCCAACTCCAGCCAAGATGAATCACTGGTCCTTCTGAAATGGAAGGAGCCCCACGTAAATAACTTGCCACCAAGTGACAGGGGCCAGTCCCATCCTGGGGGCTCTGCTTTGGTCTCAGCTGCTGACAGCTTGGCTCTTTGGTTGCGGTGCTAGCAAGACTGGCCTTGGTGGGTGAGGATCTGGCCCTGCACCACTGTTAACCATTCAGTGATTGGCTTCTGGGGCCTGTCAAGTGTGCCAGTTGGGATGGAGAGATGATCTAGAAGAGCAATGCTAGTGCTGACGTAGCATGGCTAGACCATGAGCTCTGCAACCAGCTTCAAATCCTGACTCTGTCCCATAATGGCTGTGTGACCTTAGGCAGGACATTAACCTTTCTACACCTCAGTTTATTCCTCTCTAAAATGGAGCTGAAAGTATACCTACATCATGAGGGCACTTAGAATATTCAATGACAATACAGGTAAAGTGCCCAGGACAGCGCCGGGCAGAACGCTCCGTAAAGGTGAGCACGCTTCTGGTCTGCTGAGGGCTTTGTTAGGAAGCTCAAGTGTCTGTGTGATGGATGGTGGAGTCACCGTGTAACTGTGAAGAGAATGAACGGGGAGGGGAGGCGATGTGACCTGATGGGTTTAACACAGGAACAAATGCCCAGACTCTTTCTGCCACTTAGAGGCTGGAGGGACGGTGAGTGGCTCTCAGTTCTCAGTCCTCCCCTCCCTCACTCATCACGGATCCCTGCAGGGCTCTGCAGAGCAGGCCTTCGACACATCCTCCTGGATCTGGGATGAGCTGAAAACCACTGGAGCTGGAAGCAGAGGCCCCTACGCCACGCCCATAAATCTGGGCTTGCGGGGGCCTGGGGCCCATGTGCTCCATTCAGGCCCAGTTCCAGGAGTTCCTTCAGACACAGCCGCCACCCCATTCATGTCCAGGGGACAGTTGTCCCCTAGTGGCTGGAAGGAACGCCCTCACAGAAGCCCACATGAAATCCCTTTCCCTGGGATGCGCAGGGCGATGTCAGCAGAAGCGGCCCCCAAACAGCCGCGTGGATTTTCTTCCCACATGAGGTAAAGGAAAGGAACGTAGTATTCTCAACGTCCAGAGCGATCTTTGTTCAAGATGGTGCAATGAGAAGCACTGGTTTCTACTTCCTCCTCCACATTTTCTGGAAATGGCATAAAAGGTATAAGAAATAGGAAAGTCATAGCCCTGGGAAGCAGGAAGAGGGTGCCAACAGCAGACTAGACATTTTGAGGAACTTCTAGAAGGCTCTAAGCAGAGAGGATCACAATGACAGAGGAACCAGAGGCGAGAGAAACCACCTCCTAAAACTGCAAATGGGAGACATCTTTGAGGAGAGAGGACAGGACACCAGGGAAATAAAATAAAGGACACAGAGCAGCTGGGAGGGCCTTTACCCCTTACCCTTACATTGTGAGGGCCCCCAACTTGCCTTCCCACTCCCTGCCCCCACACCCCAAATATCATGCCTCCCCACTGAGCTGTTCATTTCTTGAACATTACTCCAGCTTTTCTGTTTGTTTCTTGAGCTATTACTACATTGCGGGCACTGGATCATGTGTATAAAGCATTTTAAAACTCATAAAACCTCAGGACACAGATATTATTACCTCCATTTTACAGGTAAGAAAACTGGGCTTTAAAGAAGTTTAGTAACATGCCCAAGGTCACACACAGCAAGTAAACTGCAGAAGCGAGATTTAAACTTCACTTGACCCTCCCAACATATTCTCTTAACAACTCCATTCAGCAGCTCTTTTGTCTATGGGGAAAGCAAATAAAAACCACAAACAAAATTACAGAAGGAATATTTTACCACCCAAAAAAGCCACTGGCTTCCTAGTTCTTTTGCTTCAGCCATTTACATAAAAATAATCGTCTTAATCATGCAATGTTCTTATCTAGTTATAAAAATGGCTCCCCTAAGTTCATTGTTGGAAAACATTTAGTTGAAGATATTTTTATGTAATTAAATGTAACTAAGAGCTTCTGTTCACTTAGAATAGCTTTACCCAATTGCACCACCTCACAAACCAAATGAATAGGAGTTTGCTGTGCAATTTTTAAAAACCCAACAATCAGAAGTCCTTATAAGGTACTTTAAACTTTCAGTATAAATACAAATTATATTATTTACATTTTTAAATTAAAAAGTCTTCTTTCACTTTTATTGATATGTAATTGGCATGCAGCACTCTGTAAGGTTAAGGTGTACAGCATAGTGACTGGACTTACCTATTTTGCAAAATGATTACCTCATTAAGTTTAGGTAACATCCATCATCTCATATACAAATTATATTATTTATAAGGAGCCCATCCCTCTGCCCTGATCTGTGACTTTCTCTGTCCCTCCTTCTCTCCTTCTCTTTCTTCATTCCTTTCTTTCTTCCCCCAAAGCAGGTGGCACATTGGTTCTTGGTGATAACAACAATAATAACGTTAATAGTGATGATGATGATGATGATGATGATGATGATGGTGATGATGATGCTAATTGAGTGCTTACCAAGTGCTAGGCCTGTGCTAAGTGCTCTCTTCACACTACCTCCTCTTGTCCATTGAACAGTCCTATTATTTCCATTTTACAGGTGAGAAAACCGAGGCTCAGAGATCACAAGTGACTTGCTTAAGGTCAGATGGTTATTAAGCAGAGTGTGGAAGTTATTTTGCTTTGTAACAAACCATCCCTCCACTTATGGCTTAAAACAATGATTTATTTAACTCATGATCCTGCGATCGGGCAGTTTGGCGGTTCCGGTCTCAGCAGGGCTTACTTATGCGTCTTCAGTCAGCTGGTGAATTGAATGGGGACTGGCTGGGCTAACAGGGCCACAGCTGACTCCTCTGTGTGCCACAAGCCTGTCATCCTGCAGCTGGCGAGTCCAGGCACCTGGTCACATGGTACCTGGGCAGGGGTCCAAGACAAGCAAGCAGAAGCCACAAAGTTTCTTGAGGTTCAGGCTTGGAACTGACACACTATCACTTCTGCAACTTTCTATTGACCAAAAGCAAGTCACAATGCCCAGATTCAAGGGACTGGCACCTAGACTGGATGGAGGGAGCAAAGATGCAGGGAGGGAAGACTGTGGGGCAACTTTTGCAAACCATCTACTGGGTTCAGATTCAGGTTGTCTAATGCCAAAGCTCTTCCATTTGAACAAATACTAGCAAAGAGTTCTGAGCTTATGTAGTCAAGTGTCCTGGTGAATCATTAATGTCCACGGGTCCTGAGCGCTGATTTGTAGATGATTCTGGGTGGTTCTGAGCAGCTGCCACTCTCTTTAATGAAGCCAGGAAAGAGGAATCACATTTAGGAGGCAAAATACTCTTGTTTTCTGTCTGTGAAGGAGCGTTAAGGACGAAGAGACTTTAATTCAAGCAGGGGGGTTAAATGTAATTTTATTTTGATCATTACAAACAATACGTTTTTGTTGTTTTAGAAAGATTTAAAAATGCAGGTAAGCATCCTACTCCCCAAAGGATAATTGCCTCTAATTGCCCCTACCACCTCGCACACAAACAGGAATAAATACAAGATACAGGTGAGCACTCAGGCAGATCATTTCTTATTTCCAGTAGAGGGTGCTGTGTACTTCAGAAGAAGTGCCACTCACCTAAGAGGCTGGCACCTGACTTGCTTTTAGCTGCTCTTAAAAATGCTGCACAACCCCAGGTAGCTGCCCACCTGTTCTACCTAGAAACCTGCCTCAGAAGGTTCTTCAGATTGGTGCCTACAGTGAGCTTGCTCACAAACCTGCCCTTCGCACGGCTTTTTCTTCCAAAGATCAAGCAGAAATGCCAAATGGAGATCACAGCCCATTTCTTTCTAAGCCCGTGATCCAAATGGCAAATCTCTGATTGCCAAAGTACTATAAATATGATTACTTGCAGTGGGGGGTTATTTACACCAGCATCAGCTGCTTCTTGGCATTGCTGATTTTGTTGCTCGTTCTTTTATTCTGCGTAATTGTAATAATCACCATACTTTGGATGGCGATCAAACGGCTTGTTTTCATTGTAAACTGCTATGAATAATGGCCGAGCGTGGGGCACAACAATTCCCGGCAAAGATGTTTCTTGTGGCATAGGTTGCAAAAACAAGACATTGCAAACAATCTCTGTATTGATCGACAGGGCTGCAGCTGTTAAAAAATAATGCTGTAGATCTTCGTATATTAATATGGAAAGATTCCCACACTGTTTTATTGGAAGCAGATCCTGACACAGATTCAAGAACAAATACAGTTGACCTTTGAACAACGTGGGGGCTGAGGCGCCACCACTGTGCAGTCAAAAATCCGAGCATAACTTTTGACTCCCCGAAAGGTTAACTACAGTCAGCGCATCATATCCTCAGGTTTCAGATCTGCAGATTCAACCAGCCATGAATAGAAAACAGTATTTTCCATCCATGGATGAGAAAGTGCTGCTGGGAATGTGAAAATAGTTTTTGACCCAAGATGGGTGTTGGTTGAATCTGCGGATGTGAACCCGAAGGCTTTCAAAGGGCCGGAATTCACGTGTAAGTGGACCCACCTGATTCAAATTCGTGGCGTTCAAGGGCCAGCTGTAGTCATTTACTCTGGGAGACTCTGCATCATACGTCTCCAGACTTCCCTGTGCCAGAGAGGAGCTGAGGGCTGCTCCTGGGAAGTGTAAATTCTTTGGGGCTTCCAGTCTGCCACACAGGTTGGCAAAGCAACCTTTAATGTCCAGAGAGAGCACTCAGGAACGAGTTGCAGATTCTAGCAATTGGCCGTTGGAGTGGCAGGCACGGCAGTGATAAGAGGTGGGGCATGTGGATGGGTGGAACCTGGACGGTATGCGGCACATGTTAAGGAAGGAAGAGAGGCAGAGAGGAAGATAAGGAGAAAGGGAGGAAGGAGGGAAGGAAGGAAGGGAGGGAGGGAGAGTTGGAGGGGAAAGGAAGTGAAAAAAAAGAAATACCTTATTTCTTAAATGTATCTATATACATAGAGAAAGAGCTGAAAGGTTGCAAAACAAACTGCTGGTGATGTGGCTTTGGGGGAGGAGAATGGAAGAAGGGTTATGAGGAAAAAGGAAGGATCGTCACATATACCCTAATGCATCCGTGTACTACTTCAACTTAAAAAAAAAAAAAAAAGACTGCATCCTGCCCTGACTGATGTGGCTCAGTGGGTTAGGTGTCATCCGCACAAACTCAAAGGTCACTGGTTCAATCCCCAGTCAAGGCACAGGCCCAGGTTGTAGGGTTCCCAGCTGGGGTGTGTGAGAGGCAGCCAATCAGTGCTTCTCTCCCTCACTTTTTCTCTCCCTTCCTCTCTCTCTAAAAAAGAATAAATGACATCTTTAAAAAAGGACTGCATGCTATAGGTTCATTATAAAAAGAAATCCTTGGCATCTAATGCAGAACTAGCTTTGCCCTTAGAATATGCTTTCGCACAGTTTTGCATGGTTAGTAGTTTGGCTTTAATCTGGTGAGTGAAAGGTAAGTATGCTTCTCATTTTTTTATTATTTTGGATTTTAAAAATAATGTAAGCACACCTTTTGCGATTAGAATAAAATTCCAAAGATGACACTCATACTGACCACTGTAATCTTCTGCAATCACTGTTATCTTGGTCCCTGTTGTTAAGGTTGAGTTAATGAAATTCCTAATAGCTTTTGTTGAAAGAGGTACTGGTAAGTATATAAATTGGAACAACTTTTTTGGAACCACTTTGATATATACATTCCCAAAAGTCTTAATAATATGCATTCTCTTTGACTCAAATTCTACATACAGGAATCTATCTTGTGGAAACCACATAAAGACAAAGATTTCAGCCTAAAGATGTTCGTTAAAGTGTTGCTTATTATTGTGAAACCATCTAAATACGGAAATGATTGATGGGATGCACAATATAGACAGACCTTGATTAAGCTTTTGGCTCTTCCACTTACTAACTTGCTAGCCTGCTGTGTGACCCGGGCCAACTAACAACTTATCTGACAAAGATATAGATATGAAAACGGGAGTGAAAGATATGCACACACAATGAAAACTATTGTTAACTACCCTTATCGACTCTCAATGTTTATTGACTAGATAAGCCATGTAAATGAAAACATCTAGAACAGTGTAAGACCATGTTGGGCACATAGTAGTTCCTCAATAAAAAGGTAGCTATTATGCAAGCATACAATAGCATATATGTAAGAGGATTTAAAATGGCATGGAAATATTTATAAATAGAATAAAAGAGAGGTTCAGATGTCCTGAGTGTGATCTCAGCTAGGGGTTTGGAGAGACAGAGACAGAGACCGAAAAGGAGAGAGAGAGCAAACCCCAGCAGAGAGAGGGAATACACTGAAATCCACTGTGAGACAAGACTCCCAGACATTTTTCCTCACAATTTTCTCTAAAAAGAGTCTCTTTGGACCCCTCAACCCCCGGCATTTCCTCTGAGGCTCTTGAGAATTCTTCAATCTCTGGACAGAGATGCCTTTTGTCCTAATCCTAAGAAGGACTTTTACAGGTGACACAACTATTTCTAAGTCTCCATGGTATTGCTGAGGCCAACTTCTGAAAAGATAGCCGCTCTGCAGGGCAAGGTGGTGTGGGCTGGAAGCCACAGAAGCAGACAGACCAGGCAGAGACTCTCGTACAAGTGATTTCTTCAGGGAATGCTCTCAGGAGCGACAGGGACAACCTGAGGGATGGTTCTCCTGTGAAGCTGTCCATCATGCCACCGCCGATTTCCCCTCCCTCTCTCCCTGGGTTGTGGAGAGGGCTCGGTGAGGGCAATGATTAAATTTGAGAATCATTTGGGGAGTTAGTTAAAAATGCAGATGCCAGGGCCCCACCCCCGAGAGTCTGTTTCTGAAGGTCTGGGGTGGGACCTGAGGAATCTACATAGAAAGTCGTCATCCCGGGAAATTCTGATGCAAGTGGTCCATGGACCACACTCAGGAGCCTTGGCCTTGGAATTCAGTAAATGGTAGCAATCGCTCCACTCTCTCTTGACCTTGACCCCTTTTCTGTCTTTGCTTTCCCAGGGTGACGCTGTATGCTGAGTTCCTTCCCATGAAAGCCAGAGCTAAGTGTATTTTGCTGATTGAGGTAAGGACAGTGGCTGGGTTTCTGGAGAATTCTCAGTCTCTGGCATGAGGTTCTCAGGCGTCTTGAGCCACAGGACAAGGAAAAGGGAATTTAAGAAAAATATAACAGATTCAACATGCACAGACTTAAGTGGATCAGTTATGTTGGTTTTGACATGGTTGTTCTGAACATGGGGAAGTTCTTTAATTGGCAAGAAAATTCATTCCACAATCCCTTTGGGAAAAAATGGCGGCTGGCAGGTGGTATGTCCTTCTTGAACTGGAAATAGCTTTTATCTGAGAGTTAACGCTGAATGGTACAGTTTGAGAGGACCACACTCCTGCCTTCCACCCATATCATCCCACTCCGCGTCCCGCGTGTCTCGTCTGAGCTCTCCACTCGTGGCCACCTCTGTGGCCTACAGGCTGCCTTAAAACTCCCTTGATCCAGCGAGTCCCTCTCAAGCCCTCCTTCTGCCAGGGTCCCGTGATCCACTTTCCAACCATGATCTGGAAGATCTCATGGCAAATTCATTGCTGCCCAACGGCCCCTCCTCCGTGCAGTGTCAGAACGGTATATTTGTCCTTGCTGGACACTGATGTCCACAGTGATAACTGGGATGCCACTTTGACCTCCCGAGTTACCATGAACCCACTGACGATATAGATCACAATGACCCCATAGCCCGACTTAACTATCTTCACTGCACACAAGCCTGACCAATCAGGACAGAAGTCAACTGGTCCGGATGAACCAGTTGTTTAAATATTGAAATGCTGATTCTGAACCTTGATTACCTCTCATGACCGGACACCCCGTCCTCTCTTAGGAAACACTCCCCCTCCCAAGAACTCTCCATGATCCAGCAACTAAAGGGTTAACTCTTGGCATAGGCATGGCGGGGGTGGACGAGGTGTGTGACCAGTGTTCATTCTGATTGTCAGTGGGTAGTTAGACATTTTGACAGTTACCCTGGTTGTCAGCAACAGAAATGGACTGTGGCTAATTTAAGCAAAAAGAGATTCAGGAAGGCTCTTGGGGGCCCCCGAACTGTTGGGGTAGCTGAAGGAGTGGTGTGGGAGTGGACAAGAGTTGTGGAGTCAAGGTTGCAGCAGAACATAGCAGACTCAGATTAGGCACATTGGAAGAGGGTTTCACAAAAGGACTATTTCTAGTGGCCTTACAGGGGTAATATCACCCCAGGCCTGAAAGGGCAAAGGGAGGGAGTAATTGGTAGCCCGGCAGCAGGGGTAGTGGGAGAGAGAGAGAGAGAGTTGTATGGCTGAAAGTGTTGGATGGGAGCCGTGACCTTCAGCTGAGGGCTGCAGCCAGCCCATGACGGCCCTGCAGGGAGGGAGTCAGAGAAACGAGCGCCCACTCTCTCTTGCCTTCTTCCCTCCCTCCCATCCCTGTGGGCTTCCCCACTGGCTGCACCCGGTGGGGAGCCAGAGGACAGGGAGCCTGTGGCTGCCAGGTGAAAAGGATGGAGAGTGACTCGGAGAGGCAAACAGAGAACGTGCAGCCCCCCAGGAGAAGGCAGTTCTGACGGAGGGACCTGGAGCGCTGCGGGGCAGGGGGGACGGATGTCAGTGCACAAACCCCCGCTCACCCACTCCCACGCCGGCCTCCCGCAACACCGAGCGTGATGATCCCCTCAACCAGAGCTGCCACAGCGCACACTCCAGTGGGCGCCAGGCGAATATCATAGATTGCGGATGGCACTCCCAGGAGACGGGCAACGTGGTGGCTCTGGCTCACCCAAATAAACCACGGGAAAAGCGATGGCCATTCTGACCTTGCTGACCCCAAGGAGCCCTTACCCACGTTGATGACCTTGTCTACAATGGCCCTGAAATTGCTCCCTGTGTTGACCAATGCTGCCCCCATCACTGACCCCCGTTTTTCTGTGGCAGGTGTTCTGGGCCATCGGGACAGTGTTTGAGGTCATCCTGGCTGTGTTCGTGATGCCCAGCCTGGGCTGGCGTTGGCTGCTCATCCTCTCGGCTGTCCCGCTGCTCCTCTTTGCAGTCCTGTGTTTTGTAGGTATCCTTTAAGAGGTTTCGACCTTTGCTACATGACCTTCTGTTGTTCACCATATTTTGATGGGCAGGCAGTAGAGAAGGGCACCAAAGTTACCTTATAAGATTATTTTTTAAAATCAGGAAATGAAGCAAAGGAATGAGGCCTGGGGTAGGCTCAGTAAGCGGTATTGGGTTTCCTCTAGATAAACACTGCTGGAATGTTCTTTAGGGAGATAACAGAGGAAGGGGGAGGGGTACCTAGGCCCTACCACTGCAAGATCTGCACTTAAGGTGACTGTATTAGAATAGTTGGGACTCTTAAGTTGCAAGTGACAGAAACCCAACTCAAACTGGCTTCAGTAAAAGAGAGAGACCGACACATGACAAAGGATTAAATATCCGCATGGCTGGGTCCAGAAGCTCAAATGATCTCTCTATCCAGCTCTGCATAACATATACCCCTCCATGAGGTCATGCCATACACTTTATCATTTCATGTGTAAACTGCATGCATGAAGCACTTTCAAGACAGTGGGCCCCCAAATAAGCCTTTAGGTGGAGAGGTCTCATCTACGGTAAATAGTATAGTAACTCCTGGTAATGACAATAGGTATGAATAATTACTAAGCGTAACTAAGTAGCAGGCTCTTTACATGCATTATTGTATTTATTCCTCCCAATAACCATGGGAGGTGGAACTGTGATGAAAACCTGTGTTAGTTAGGATAATACTAGCTGCTGTAACACATAAAGCTCACAACTTTATGTGTTACGTAAACTCAACACAACAGTTTCTCACTCACTCAGCAGTCCAATATGGGTGCTCCTGTTTGGCAAGTGTGATTCCCAGTCCAGGTTCCTTCTAGCTTGTAGCTCTGTCACCCTCTAGGGCTTTAGAATCATCTACATGCAGACCCGGGAAGGGCAGGTGGAGACACACACTCATTTCTTAAGTACCTTTGCCAGGAATATTCTGCTCATAAGCCATTGGTTGAAAGTATGGCTTCACCTAGAAGCAAGGGTGGGAGTGCTGGGAAATGTAGTTCCTGGCTGGGCAGCCATATCCAAGGACAACTCCATACTATTGGAAAAGGAAGCATGGATTTTAATAGACGTTAGCAATCGCTGCTACATTGTCATTTTCCTGATGAGAAAACTGAGGCCCAGAGAGGGTGACCGACTTGTCAAAAGGCACACAGCAAATAAACAACAGAACTAAGTCAAACCAGATCTTCTGACTGCAAATCTCACACTCCCTCATTTCACAAATTGCTGTTGCTTCCTTTTACACAAATATATTTCTCTAGTCACTTGGAGATTGGACTGTATTAGGCCTAAAGGTCCTTCCGGCTTCTTTCTGTGTCTCAGACTGAGTTTATGGTGAACAGAGGGGAGGTATAATTTCTTGCGAGTTGGGGATGATGACAGTGGCGGTGAGAGTGGAAGTCTTTTTTGTTTCCTTCCTTCCTTCCTTCCTTCCTTCCTTCCTTCCTTCCTTCCTTCCTTCCTTCCTTCCTTCCTCCCTCCCTCCCTCCCTCCCTCCCAGTCTTGTCTTAGTTCAGCCTTCCCCCGGGACTCGGACAGAGGCACCAAGTAACAGGAATAGGAACAGCAACAATAGCTACCTCAGCCCATTCCAGGCACTGGGCTAAGTAAGCACTTTGCCTGGTCCTCCTGTTTAATCCTCTCAACAGCCCTAAGAGGTGGGATCTATTATTAGCCCCATTTTAGGGATGAGGAAAGGGAGGGACAGAGAGGTCCAATAATTCCTCGAGGGCACACAACTGATAAACTCAATGGCAGAGCCACGATTTGAAGCCAGTCCTCTGGGTCCAGAGTCCCCATGCGTAAAGTCTCCCCACACAGATGAGTGTGAGGCAGGAGGAACCACCCTCACCTGCCACACCCGGGTCTCCTGTGCCTGCAGTGGCTGCCAGAGAGTGCAAGGTATGACGTGCTGTCCGGGAACCAGGAAAAGGCCATCGCCACCCTCAAGAGGATAGCGACAGAAAACGGAGCCCCCATGCCGCTGGGGAAACTCATCATTTCCAGGCAGGTCAGTTCCTGATCCGCTGACCCTGTGACTGTCGTGTCCCTATGCGGGCAGGGTGCACGTGTGTGTACACGGGTGGGGCACGTGCGTGTGTGATCGCGGGTGTACGTGGAGAGGTGGGGGTGCCGTGGGCAAAGCCTGCAAGGGGAATCTGGCCACTCCAATCGCTGTATTTTCACTGCCAAGTCCTAAAAGTGCCACCTGGAGAATTTAGCCAGTGATTCGAGAAATGTAACGAGGGGGCCCTAATGGATCCCGGAACTGCTCCTGCTTCTGTTTCACCTTTCAGCGCCGATGAAGTCTGATTAGCAAATGTGATTCATCGTCAAAGGCTGGACAATAAAACCCCATTAGAAAGTGTCGTGATAGGCTCACAGCCAGAGCGCCAAGCTGTGCTTGGAAGACATCCTTAATGGATGGTGCAGAGCTCCGGCGGCGACACCATCGGCAGGGGGCGGGGGGGGGGGGCAGGGGACGAGGGGGGTAACACCAGTCAGAATTTCTGAGCACCTTCTGTGTGCGGATGCGCCGGAGCACCAACCACGTGGGGGGAAGGCAATCAGATTAAAGGCTGCGGTCCCTGCCCTTGTCCTCGCCAAATACCCTTTGGCTAACGACAGACCCTAGAAGGAAATTATCTTTTAAAATAAAATTTTATTTCTGGTTGTATTTGTATTATGCAAAAAGAACGGGATGGAATCTCACGAGATTGAGAGGGGGTGTTTTTGCATGGTCTGACGATGCTGGGCAGGAGGCACCCCCAAATCCTCTTCCGGCAGCACGATGGTCCAGGAAGGCTCCGAGGAGGTGGTTAATTTTGAGAGGAGAAAAAAGAGAGAAGGGCTTTCCGGAGGCAGATGTTTTCCAAAAGCAAGTTTTCCTGAATTAACCTGCCAGTGTATCAGTTTACCAAAAGTGTGTTTTGAAGATTATTCTTTTAAAATATATTCAGTAAATAGTGTATTTTCTCTTTGTACATATTAACACGTTATTTATCAATATATTCTCTCTAAATATTGCTAAATATAGTCAATAAATATACTCTCATATATATTCAATAAGCATATTTAATGAATGCTGTCTTTTTGTTGAAGAATGTTACAAAAATATTTTTATTCATGAAGGCAATACTCATAGATTAACCCTCCTATGTCTTGTAATTATTTTTCACTCTTAGTGTGTTTAAATAAGTAAACATTTCTGAAACTGCTACTAAGAAAAATGTGGTCATTATATCTAAGAAGAATATAATCATAGCATATATTTTTAAAAGAATATTGTAAGACAAAGATTTGACAAATTAGCAAATTATATGAAGTTGATAAATGGGTCCTTTAGCTAAACTATATTTTGGCAAGTGACTTTTAAGTGACTTGATTGTCACATTAATTTCTGTCACCTTGGGGGCGAGACATGACACAGTCGGATGCCCGTTGGACTGGGTTTCTGCTCCCTGGGTCCACGGAATTACCTGGGAGGTGTCAGCGGGCCTAAGGCCGAGGGGCCTGCTTCCCAGCTCCAGGGTTCCAGGTTGGGGTCGGAGGTTCAGAATGTCTCCGTCCTTCAGAATCCAGCCTCTGGAAGTTGCAGGGTCCTGGAGCAGGCGTCCAATTTGGCTGTGCTGGGCTGGGGACTGGAGTTCTAGGTTCTTGGAGCCTGAGTGTCCAGCCCAGAAGAAACCTCTCTCTCAGCCATAGGTGCCCACCAGCCAGTACCCACACGTCTGCACGTTTTTGTCTTGAAACAGGAAGACCGAGGCAAAATGAGGGACCTTTTCACGCCCCATTTTAGATGGACAACCTTGTTGCTGTGGTTTATATGGTAAGAGCCGTTTCTTGATGCTTTGATCCCGTTCATCTGTGCCCTGTTTGGGGGCTTTGTTTTCAAACAAAGCACAGAGAACTTTTTGATCTCAGGCAGCATTTGCAAAATTTAGTAGTTTGAGCATTCCTTTACTGACCTCTGTCTTATCCAGATATCAAGTGTACTATTATTTCCCTAGTTGGTTTTTTTTTTCTTTAACTTGACTCACTTTTTACTCTGATAAATGCTTTTGAAGAGGAAACTTTATATGTCTTCTTTAAAGAATAAAACCTTAATTTCAGGCCATAGATAGAAGGTGCTCTTAAGGATAAATACAGCAAAAAAGTTGCCAGGTTGCTGGTCTGCCAGGGCACTGAGTGGCTGTGTTTAAGAGACGGAGAAATGGACAGAGAGCGGAGATGCTCAGGACTCATCAACCTGAGTAACTCATCACTTAAGTACGACTGGGATACAATCAAAAGCATTGGAAGGAAGCTTAGAAGGACATTTTTTCTCCATGAGATGTCATATTTATGCCGTGTCCGTTCCCCGCTCCACCCATGTTGCCTTGAGTCCCCACAGTGGCACAGGGCCCATATTTTGGGAGCCTCTGACTTGGTCAACACGGGCATTATTCCAACTTTCGGTTTTGATCATGTTCTACTTTTCTTAAATAACAGCCATTGGCAGAGGCTGGAGGGGAGGCCTTTATCTTCACAACTAGTCAAATTTCAGCTGTTCTTTCAACTCTCGACCAAATCGCGTACACGGCATTAACAGTGCACACAGCTGGCCTGGGTAAGGTTTCGTGCTCTGTTTTGTGGAACCGGCTCCCACTGTTCCTATTCGCCTTGGAGCAGAGGTGCTGATTCGTGGGGGAGTGTCAGTGAAAGCCGTCGATGGCGGAGGAGAGGCTTTGATAATGTGCAGAACTGGGCTCCATTTACAGAACTCCATACAGGAACTCTGCCCCCGCATTCCTGAGAGCTGAACCAGCTCCCCAAGCATTTATTAAACACCTACTGTGTGGCCAGTGTAAAGGTGGAGGCTGTAGGATTTTTAAAAAGGCGTGTGGGGGGTACAGAATTGAGGGTATCTATCTTTGAGTGCATGTGCTTCTGTTGGGCTGACACTATTCAAATACAGCAGCAATTATTATATAGTGTGCTAATTTTAGCACACCATAGAAGTCAGTTAATTTCCTAGCACATGTTGTGACCCCAGGAAATTAATCATTAGTCTATGATTGTGACTGAGTTCCCACATACTGCACTATACTGGATGAGAATGTTCTAGTCCTGCAGACTTGAATATTCTGCTTTCTGGGACAGTCAGGAATTAATTAACTGTGTTATTCTGATCTGAAATTCTGGTGAAGTCTGCAGACTCCACACTTTTACTGGACACACAACAGGTGTTTAATAAATGCTTGGCGTGTTGATTTAGCTCTCGGGAATATGAGGAAAGGAGCCCAGTTCTGTTTATCATTAAAGCTCCCCCGGCCATTTCCTATCTAAGTTGACCAGACCAGCTCCACCCAGAAGCTGCGACAGGTATCAATACTGTGCTTTCTTCCAATTTTGGTCCCCCCAATTCTTCCCCTATTGCCAGGTGGGTAAACAGCTTTGGGGGAGGCATGTCTGTGACATAATACAGTTCTCGTCTTTCAAAGGACACAGGATTAATTCTCTTCATCACATCATTGTGGTTTGTCCCTGCCACCTACCTGCTCCAGGGCCCCAGGAAAGCCCCCAGAGGCCCAGCTCTTTACCTTTCTCGCTTCCTTCCTGGCAGGTTTTCCAATGCGTTTTCTTACTATGGATTAGTTCTGCTCACCACAGAGCTCTTCCAGGCAGGAGATGTCTGCAGCAGTGAGTACCGCGGCCTTGTGTACCAGTTGGCGCCCCTTCCCCCCGCCCCAGCACATGCTGTCACACGCACGCTGTCACGCTCACACACTCCCGCCCCAGGTCTGCCCTCACGGGGCCTTTCCACAGATCCCAGTGACTTTACTCCCCAAACTCCAGGGAGGAAGTTTCTGCAGAATCGGAGCATAGAAGATCTGGGCTGTAGGCTTCAAAGGGCTCCATAGACACCTGGACAATTGTCATTATAGAAGTGACATGACAGCAGAGGCACATTTTTTTTTTCCAATTTTTATTTATTGATTTTTAGTTGGGGGGAAAAAGAGAGAGAGAGAAACATTGATTTGTTGTTCCACTTCAGTATGCATTCATCAGCTGGTTCTCGTACGTGTCCTGACCAGGGATCCAACAGCAAACTCGGCCTATAGGGATGACATGCTAACCTACTGAGCTCCCCGGCCAGGGCTACAGTCCCCACTCACAGAGCTCCGTGAAGTGCAGCGCTGAGTTTGACGGAGATGACCCTGTGCAGCAATTAAGCCTGGGAACCAGGTTGGACCTCAATTGTGACCACACAACAGCATCACTTGGGGGAGCTTTTAAACACAGCCAGTGCTGGTTAAACCACGCCCAGACCACTTTAATCAGCATCCCTCGGGGGAGCCCGGGCATGAGTGGGCTTTGAAAGCTCCCCAGGTGATTCTATTGTGCCGCTGGAGGTAGGAACCACTGGACAAAAGGAACGAATAAAAAGCAAAGTCTATGTGGCAATGCCTGGGCTTTCAAATCATTCCGTCTTTAAGAGAATACTAACTTCCTAGCATTGAGCCCAGGAGGGGGCAATAAAGGGATCAGGTTCTTGCCTGTCTGCAGGATTTGCCCAATTGTCTTTTTTGTATGGAGCCTCTTTAATCTTAGTTAATAGTTTTGCTTTGTGGTGTAAGTGAGATGGGGGAGCCAGTCTCCCTAGGGAGGGCGGGGGTGGGGGTGGGGGGAGGGGGGAGTCTAAATTAACTGCTCTGAGGAAGCAGATCGGCTGTAGATTTGGGGTTTGGTATTGATAGAGCATAAATTGCATGCGTCTCACAGTGGGCCTGCTGAGGCAAAGCCGGGGGTCAGTGGAATGCTATAAAGTGGGGTTGGCGACGTTTTCTGTAGAGGGCCAGAGAGTAAACATGTTAGGCTTTGGGAGCCTTACAGCCCAGACGTTGTCGCAGAGGAGCGGCGGAGGCAACGTGTAAACAAAAAGCATTGCTTGTGTTCTGATAAAACCTTACTTGTGAACACAGGTTTGAATCTCATATTTTTATGCCATGAAGTGGTATTCTTCTTTTGGTTTTTAAAAATCATTTAAAAATGTGAAAACCACTCCAAACCCGCAGACCAGGCAGATACAGGCAGGAGATCAGGTTTGGCCTGCAGTGTTAGTTTGCCAGCCCCACCAAGAAGCTCTCTCTTAACTCTGGTTGGGAGGGTAATTCTGTGGAATGAGCCCACAGCCAGAAGGCGGGGAACCTGAGTTCTAGCGCCAAGTAGCTGTGGGACCTTGGGCGAGTCGTTCATCCATTCGGTATTTTCTTAGGACGTGCCAGGTGTTAGGATATGTCAATGAATACAAAAGACAAACACGCCTGCTCTGTGGGCTTCCATTTTGGTGTAGAGAGAGGAAAAAGACTAGCTTAAAGCAAATGACGTAGTGTATTGGAAGGTGATAGATGTGTTGAAGGAAAAATGTTAAAGAAAAGGTAGAATTGAAGCTGGAAAACTCGGTGTTTGTGCTGCCTGTCACCACCAGAACCAATAAGCAGAGACAAGGTGGAATGTTCATGGGCGCTTTATTCAGATGCCAGAGATCTGAGAAGGCAGCAGGTTCGATACCCCAAACACTGTCTCCTCATGCTCCTTCCACGGCACCCCAGCCAATCGTGCTCAGAGGAGAAGCTGTGGAGAGCAGGAGGCTGTGATTCGGCGCTCTGTACATGGCTCGTCCTCTCTCTCCGTCTCTCCCACCTCCCAGTTTCCAGCCGGAAGAAGGCGGTAGAGGCCAAGTGCAGCCTGGCCTGTGAGTACCTGAGTGAGGAGGATTACATGGACCTGCTGTGGACCACCCTCTCTGAGTTCCCAGGTGAGGGGCGTGTGGGGAGTGGAAATGGGGCAAGTCGCTTTCCTGGCGCCACCTGGAAGCAAATCCCATTTCCAGGGGAGCAGGGGGATTAGTTTCTCAACTGCGAGCTATAAATTGTGAAGAACTGTGAAGGGGCTGATATTTTACTCTGCTTGAAGGCCAACAAGTTAAGCTGCCCAGTTTCATGCACGCTGGCCGAAGACATGAGACTTCTGGGTCAGACAAAAGACGCATGGCACAGCAAACAGCGTGAGGAGCGTATTAGTGTCAGCTGCCCTTGCCCCACATCCCGTGGGGATGATGAGGAAGGAGCCAGGTAGATACTACAGTGCCATGGATTTGCAACACACCTGCGGAATCTCAAGCTTCAGGAAGCAAAATCTTTTATAATAGGCTGCCAGAAACCTGTCTAGCCTTCATCCCGGAAAGAGACGTTCTCTTGTATTGGACAGTAGACAGACATGCCTTTTGCTCTAGAAGGAGACTGTATCTCTATCTCCCAAGGCTATTTCTATAAAAAACCTTGAAATGATAGTCTGGAACAAAAGAACAGCTAGTACTTCTCACAAGATGTACAGAAATACAAGAGGCCAACAGAGAATTGTTACCTAACACCAGTCACATTGGCAAGGATCAGTGAGATGTCAAAAACCCAAACCTGTACATAAAGCGACAGTGATCTTTTTCCTTTAGAGGAAATAATGATTATTGTAATAATATCTAGTGGTTTGTGGTTTTTTCTTTGAGTGTTTACTGTATACCAGGCACTGCACTAAATGTTTTACAGGTAAGTTCTCATGTAATCTTGGGAAGTTGTATAATCATTCCCATTTTATGACTGGAGAAACCCAGCCTTGGAGAGGGGTAGGAGAAACTGCCCTTGCAACTTGCTGCTGCCGGTACTCGCATCTCTGTGCCCAGGAGCTGCCTCTGGAGGAATGGAAGCCTAACAGCCAGCAAAGTGGCCAGCAGTGCCGGGGAATTAACACCTGGGAACAGCCTTCAACCGATAGCTGTAGGGGTTGATTTACCAGTGCCCCAGCTTCCTCGCCCATCAGGGTGCTCGGGAGAAGTCTAAGGTGCATGTTTCCCCTGGCTCCCAGAGTCCTCCAGTGGAATTCAACAGTTTCAGCAGCAATCGCCCGCTCTGGTAACTCGTTTGATAGACACCTTTATTAGGAGCTTTCCTTCCCTGCCTCACTTTCTCATGCGCCTACTGGTGCTTCTTTGGATGACTTCGCAAGTAAACCCTTGGTCCTTGCGCCCTTGCCCAGAGTCTGCTTCCCAGAAACCCTGCTAAGGCACGGAGCTCAGACCTGCGGTACCGCCTCCGAGCTCGGGCCCTCACTTTCCTGCTGCACCACCTCACTCTCTTCTAAAACCCTCTCCCCACGTTGCTGAGGGAGGAAGAGCAAAGACTCTGGGGCTAAACCCAGCACGGCCAATTGCCATTGTTGGGACTGCAAGCGCTGCAGATTTCTATGACTTAATCTTTCTAAAACTCAGATTCCTCTCCTTTATTTATTAGGTTTATTGTTTTGTTCTTTGTTCTGGTTTACTGACGCATCCCAGACGTCTAGAACAGTTCCTGACACACAGCAGGCACTTAATGTATGGATTGAATAAATGCAGAAACGATGTAATAGATGTAAATAAGATAAGAGATGTAAATAACGCTTGACCCAGATTTAATTATTATTATCGATAATAACAAGCTCTATGTTATATTGCCTCCACAGAGTTTGGGAGCATTATTTTTATTTAATTCCATTTTACAGATGAAGATATTGAGGCTCAGAGAAGGCAAGGGACTAACCCAAGACCACACAGCAAGTCAGAGGACAGATGGGGCCTTACAGCCCATGTGCTTCTGACTCCTGTCCCAGGTGTCCACCACCTGGAATCACTGAATACCGCTATCCAGGCTCCCCTTGGTGCCTACATTAGTTATCCATTACTGTATAACTGATCATCGCAGGTTTGGGGGGCTTAAAGCAACATGTATCTATTACAGTTTCTGTGGGACAGGAACCTGGGAGTGGCTTACCTGAGCGCCCTGCCCCAGGGCAAGTGTATTTCTCAAGGCTGCAGTGCAGGTGTTGGGCCAGGGTTTGCATCTCATCTGAAAGCTCATCTGCGGCAGGACCTGTTCCCGCGCTCACTCACATGGTCGTTGGCAGGATTTAATTCCTCCAGGGTCATGGGGCAGAAGGTCTCAAGTTCCTCCCTGGCTGTTGACCAGAGGCTACCTTCAGTTCCTTGCCAGGTGGCCCACAAGGCAAACACATGAGAAGCAGCCTTCCATCACTTGGGCTGTATTCTAGTCATTAGAAGCGAGTCACTAGGCGTGGCCCCCTCTCAAGGGGATTGTAGAGCGTGTGAGTACCAGGAGGTGGGGGTCATTGGAAGCCACCTCAGAAGCTGCTGGCCATGATGCTGTGCTCCCTTCCAGGTGTCCTTGTGACTCTATGGATCATTGACCGCCTGGGCCGCAAGAAGACCATGGCTCTGTGCTTCGCCGTCTTCTCTTTCTGCAGCCTCCTGCTGTTTATCTGTGTTGGCAGGTGGGTGGTGAGACCAGGTCTCTGGCCGGTAGGCTTATTTCTCAGGTCGTGGTCAGGGGCTCTTCGGGCCTGCAGGTTGGGGAATGCACCCCCTGGGGGTCATCTAAGGAATTCCTTCCAGCCCCTCACTAGGACTGAGGCTCTTGGCTGCCTTAAAACTGATCAAAAGATCAGGCTCAAGGTTGGGGAGCCTCTGATGGGCGTGGGAACTGGAAGACACTTCGATCCAGGTTTAACTCCAATACAGTCACATTTAGACCTTTGACAGCATCTCCCAATGAGATCACGCAGAGAGCTGTTTGATTTATGTATGGGTTAGAAGTGTTCTTTTGTTCCACGGAAATATTTTAAATAGGCCCTGTTTTATTATCCCATTCTGGCTCAAAATATGGAATTGGTCATATTTTTGCCTCAAGAGAGGAATTGCCTGTCTTGACCTGTGAGAGGCCCCAGACAAAACCCGGAGAGAAATCTGTGGCAGGTCTGAAGATATAGCTTAGACCATAAAATGTTGACATTCCAAGACATTTACGGGAACAATGGAACAGAAGGTTGGGGATCAAGATTATCCTAAAAATACCAAATAGACGTTTACTTTCCTTGCCTCAGCTGGTTCCTGGCTCAACACTTGCCCCACTGGGTCCTGCCTGGACTTCTGATTATATCACTTCCCCCCAGCCTTGCCCCCAGCCTGGGCTCCACAGATGTTTCCATCTCTCAGCCTGGTGCTTTGGAGAATGATAAACTTTTAAAAGCAGGCCGTTAGAGAGGGCACTGAGCTATGAAGGCATGCCTGCCTGCATCAGTATGTGTTGAGTTGGGGTGCGCTTTGCCAATTTCTGGGGTGTAAATTCTGCCTGGATAGGTAGAACTTTACGGAAATGAGTTGACAGAAAAAAAAATGCCTGCTCATTTTATTTTTCTTTCCCTAGAACTATGCTCACCCTGTTACTCTTCATTGCAAGAGCGTTTATTTCTGGAGGCTTCCAAGCGGCCTATGTTTACACGCCCGAGGTAGGATCGGTGTCGGGGAGCAGCGGGGCGGTGAGGGAGGGAGATCTGTCTCCGGAAACGCCCAGCCTGGGCTGCTTGGTATGAAATTTGTCCTTGGGTCTGAGTGGCGGCTCTGAGGCCCTTTGTTATTTCAGGCCAGGTTTCTATAATTTTTTTTCTGCTTATAAAAGCTTATGTTAGGGTAAAAGTTCAAAATGATGCAGAGCTGTATCGACCAAAAGTTAGAGGACCCCCATTCCCCTTTGCAAGAGACATCCTTCTTGGATAGTTCAATGTATGTTCTTCCAGGGTTTTTTCTAAGCGTCTATTAATATATGTTAGTGCGTATGTGAAATTGAGTAACTGAGCGATGGAGGAGAGTGTAGTAAAGGGCCTAATTGCAATGGTGTGGGCGGGGCTTAGGGCAACTACAAAACCTCAGAGCAGCACCGCAGAGCTTACACTGGTGGGGAGGTGGCTGGGGACAATGTTGCCATCCAAGAGCAGAGAAGGGGTATTACAGGGTCCCAGGAGAAAGTTGTGTAGAGCGAAGCTGTGACCTTTAGTGACAGGACACAGGTGGCCTGAGACAATCTGGAAAGGAAGGAGCAAGAAAATACATACCCCAGCCTCTCTCTCCCACCTCTTGCCCATCCTCCACTGGGGCTTCCCATTGGCTGAACCAAGCAGTAAGCTGGAGGGCCAAGGAAGCTCTTTGTGGTCCACATGGGCCACAAAGCCCATGTGGTAGAGAATCAGGTGGGAAAGGGTAGAGAGATGCTCTGGAGGGAAAGGAGAAAGACAATGAACACAGAACGTATGGATCTACTTCATTCTTTTTAACAGCTGCTATACCATACTGCACTGCACTCTGTATTATACTATATAGTACATATACAGTGTATGTTATATACTCTACTTACCATGTAGTGTATGTACTATATGTTATATACTGTGCTTTACTGTATACTATATATTGTACTATACTATATAGTATATATCTATAGTATATTTTATATACTATACTTGTTATACTATATAGTATATGTACATGCTATATATTATACTTATATATTATATATCCTCCACATGATATATACTGTACTTTACTATACTATATAATTATATAATGTGTTAATTATTAATTGATATATTAACATATATAACCATATAAATCACATATTACATTTATTATTATATAATAGGATATATAGTTCTATTATAATATGTATGTGTATATATATATTAAGTTTAACTTAATATAATATGCATCAATCTCTATTGAATTGTAAAGTGGAAGCAAACACTGTAGAATGCAGTTATAGTGGTTAACAAGAAGGAGGTGGCAGGTAGCTGTCTGTACACTGATGTGGGTAGGATTTTAAGGCATATTCCTGAATGGAAAAAGCAAGTTTCAGACCAATATGTATAGAATGATACCATCTATATTTTAAAAACAATGCTATATATATTTTTTCTTTTTTAAAAATTTTATTTATTTTTAGAGAGAAGGGAAGGGAGAGAGAAAGAGGAAGAGAAACAATGATGTGTGAGAGAAACATTGATCAGTTGCCTCTCACATGCCCCCAACTGGGGGCCTGGGCTCACAACCCAGGCATGTGCCCCGACCGGGAATCAAACCGGTGACCTTTAGCTTTGTGGGAAACGCCCAACCAACTGAGCCACGCTGGTCAGGGCCACTGCTACATATTTTCTATACCTATATTTTTTAACAGACCTGGGAGGATATGTTCCAACTTCATAATAGTGGAGTTCTATGGGGAGAATTTTCCTGAGAGAAGGAGTATGTTAATAGGGAATTTAGTTTTTTACAAGAGTATATTTCTATGTTGCTTATATAATTAAGTGAATTAAAATATCATATATAAATACATATGGTAGGCATTCAAAAAATGTTTGTTGCATGAATACATAAAAGAAGGACTGTATGTGTACAATCGCAGGAAAACTAGATACAGATGAACATGTGACAGTGGTCTCTGAGCGTCGGAATCGTGCATGAGCATTTTTCCTCCTCAGGCTTTTCCTTCTTTTTAAGCTTTCTACACCGAGCATGGTGTTTGTTAGAGGCATGCCACTTCCTGTAACAAATAACTCCCCCAAAGAGAATGTGCCAGCACAACCAGAGTTTCTCACGAAACAATCCAACATGACGGTTCCGAGTTGACAGACAGCTGTCCTCCCCACCGCAATTCAGGGACCCAGGCTCCTTGCATCTTGTGCCTCCCTCATCCCGATTGTGAACCAAAGGTGGTTTTTGCCTCCCAGGGGACATTCAGCAATCTCGATTGTCCCCTGTGACATTTTAGGTTGTCACAGCTGGAATGGCAGGTGCAGAAATGTGACTGCGTCTAGTGAGTAGAAGCCAGACATGCTGCTAAACATCCTCCAGTGCACAAGACAGTCCCCCCACCCCACCCCCACAGTGCCCGAGTTGAAAAACCCTGCCCTAGAGCCTCAGAGCCCTCCTCCCAGCCAGCAGACGGGGGGAGGGAGTGGGGAAGACATGTCCACATTTTATTCACTGTGTCCTGGGAGATGCACAGCCCTGTCTCGCTTTGCCCAGAGGAAAGCCAGGCCCAGGGACACTCCTGGGTATGAACTGAGAAACCATGTAAACTGTATTATACTACATAGTACATATATAGTATATGAACTCTCCCTTTGTGGAATACCCTGAAAGTCCATGACCAATGCTTCAGGGTGAACTGCGGGGGTCAGGACGGTAACTAGACACTGAACAGAGTTCATGGCGGAGTCTTTGGCGACTGCCAGGGCAGAAGGACCCCCTTACTGGGTTCCCACCCACAGCTCAGCCCCTCGCCTTCTTTCTCAGTTGAACTTCCTATCTCCTTTGGGGTAAGAATCTTCGCCCCAGTATCTTACCCCTTAGTGGGGCCACGAACGCCTGAGGGTTCTCTCTAACATCAGGCCCGCCCCTGAGGGTCCGTCCCGTCATCCCTGAGCTGGAGCAGGAAGAAGGACCTGCCTTTTTTCAAGGCCACATCTGGCGGCTGTGTTTCAGGTGTACCCCACGGCGACGCGCGCGCTGGGCCTGGGCACCTGCAGTGGCATGGCGAGAGTGGGCGCGCTCATCACTCCCTTCATTGCGCAGGTAGGTGTCGCCCCCAAAACCGGGGCCGGTGTGTGTGACAAAAGCTGGCACGTGGCAAGCAGCTACCATATGCCAAGTCTTCCGCAGAGCCCTCTGTATGCATTATATTAAGAGAAAGGACATGTTGCTCACAGAGGAGAATAGCGTAGAAGGGTAAAGGGACTTGTTCAAGGCCACACGGCTGGGGAGCAGAGAAGCCAGGAACCAAACCCAGGTCTTTCCCACGCAGAAGACCCCAGCGGGGTCATGTAACTTCATCAAAAATAGTTTGGATGAAAAGAAGTAAGCCAATGTGACTTTGTGGGAAGCAAACGCCCCGTCCCTGGTTTCTGAGTTGGATGATTAGGTATAGCTGTAGAATTTTGCAACTCTATGTGTGTCCTGAAGCATTTTAAACCAGATTTAGGGATCTTATTTTGAAATCTTTTTGCCTTTTAAATACCTAATTTATTATTTCTTCTTTTTATCACTTTTAAAATTTGAGATAAAAGCCACACCACACAAAAATTAGCCATTTTAAAAGTGAACAATCCAGTAGCATTTAGCACATTCACAGTGTTGTGCAACTACCCCATCTAGCTACTTCCAAAACATTTCATCATCCCCAAATAAAGCCGTACACATTAAACAGTCACTCCCCATTTCCCTCTCCCTGCAGCCCCTGGCAACCCCCAATCTGCACTCCGTCTATGTGGATTTTCCTATCTGGATGTTTCATGTACATAGAATTCCAACACGTGTTTCAGCCGAACAGTTCTGTTCCGCGCTATTGTGTTCAGCCATTGTATGTTACTGCCAACTAATACTGGTTGAGAGCTTGCCATGTGCCCGCGTGGTGCCAAGTGCTGCTAAGGTATCCTCTCATTAGGAAGTGGACACTGCCCTTATGCCCATTTGCCAAATGAGGAAACGAGGTTCAGCCCTGCTGTGTGGTTTGCCTGGTGCCATCCAGCTACGAAGTCAGCAGGAGTGGCGCTCCAGCAGAGAGTGTGGTTCTAAGGAATACAGATTCTTGGGCCTGATGGGGTCTGGGTTCAAATCCCAGCCCCATCCTTAGTATCTGTATGGACTCGGTTATGGTACGTAAGCCTCCTTGGGCCTCAGTTTTTCCCTCTGTAAAATGGGGACAAAGGACCTACCTCATGGAGCTGTCATGAGGACTAAAGGGGACAAGCAGACAGCGCCTGCAGGAGGGCCTGGCCCTATCAGCATCATCTGAATGGTTGGTGGTCCATTCAGAACGGTGGATGCTCTCACTGACCTGCGTCTTCCTCCCCCAGGTGATGTTGGAATCCTCCGTGTACCTGACGCTGGCAGTTTACAGTGGCTGCTGCCTCCTGGCTGCTGTGGCCTCCTGCTTTTTGCCCATCGAGACCAAAGGCCGCGGACTGCAGGAATCCAGCCACCGGGAGTGGGGCCAGGAGATGGTCGGCCGAGGGACGCACGGCACGGGCGTCACCAGGTCGAACTCTGGCTCTCAGGAGTAGTGACCCCTGGGGGCTGAGCTGGTCTTTGAGGCTGTGGAGTGCGGGGAGCTGGTGGAGCCCGCTTGGGGCACCGACCGTCACTGCCGACGCCAAGAACTCACCCGAGAGTACAACCTGGACCCCGGTTGCTCATTTTCATTCAGACCCACCCACGATGGGGAGGCATTTGCTCCGGGGGTCTTCTGTATGTGTGGGGGGAGGTTTGTTAATAAGCTGTGGATCTGCATGGGAAACCGCCATACAAGGAGTGCCTGGTGACACCGGTCACCAGCCAGACGCCATCCAGAGTTAGCCGGTCCACACCCCTGGTAAACAGCCACCAAAAGATCTCCGTAGATACAGTCCAGGCCCAGAGCCTGTAAGACCTGCTGCCTACCATCCAAACCTGTTCAGTAGGTTTCTCCTGCACCCCAGGCCCCCAGCTTTCTTGTTTGAAATTGCAGGTGACGTGGGTGTGGCCTGAGCAGCTTGTTCTTGGGTCTGAGAAATTCTCCCGGGGAAGGGGCCTCTCGGTTTGCCTCCCCAGGAAGGGCCTGACTTCCGGTGACTCCGGCAGATGGACATGCAGTTGAACTTGAGCCACATGCCCCACCTGGCCCCCTTTGGAGTTGCTGTCCCTGGCTCCAGGGGATCCAAATGTGTCCAAGGGGACAGCTGATGACAACCCCAGAAAGCTGTTACGCTGGGCATTGGGGACTAAGGTGAAAGAAAGGCAAGAATCAAACCCAAAGTCCAAACAGGGGCCGCCCGTTTGGAAGCAGCGAAGGCCACATCAGGGCTTGTTTTCTTGCCCCCTCCTCGGCTGGGTGGATTGGTGACTCTTGGGGAAAGAAAACAGTTAACTCAGGTCTCAGCACTTGAGATCTTGAGCTTGGGTGGATGGCTAAACAGACAGAGAAAACGAAAAGATGCTATGCCCACCACCCTTGCTATCAAGGGTCGGCTTGGTCTTCACACAGAGGCAGCTCCTGGGATTCCGGCAACAGAACCCACAACAGGGATGCCATGGGGTGGGGAGGAATGGGATGTGTGAAACGTGCACATTTCCAAAGGAAGAGAAAGGAGGTCATTTCGGTTTCGGGTTGGCCTTGGAAGGAAGGGCTGACACCATGTCTCAGCTGACAACATCCACCGCCTGGATTTGGTTTGCAGGAGCCTTTTCCCTGTCTTGAAGGCAGGGGACCTAGAGAAGGAGGGAGGAAGCTGCTGGATCCCATCAAAGGCCAGAGAAGACTGACCCTCTGCTTGGAGATATCTGCTTGAAGTCAATGTTGCGAGGAAGCCAAATGTGTACGTTCATCTCTTATTAAAACATGTTGGTGATGGACATCGCAAGGGGCAAATTTTGTTCATTTGTCATAATGTCCTAGTGACAGTTTGGCCCAATGGTCTCTCCAACTGTCCATCCAGGGTCATCTCGACACTTTAATAATATGATCATCTTTCCCATGAAGGGGAAACATTATACAGTTGGCTGCCAACATTGTGACTTTGAGTCTGTTGAAGGCCATACTTTCTTCTAATGGTGTCAAGGTCACAGTGGGCAACTTCTTCAGGTTCATGTCCTAGGTCACCTGCAAAGAATCCTGTGTACCTGGAATATGGGCTGCAGCCCCCTTGGCCCAAGCAGTCAGTCAGAGAGGAAGCAGCTTGGCAGCCCACCTCTCCCTGGCAATGTGGGAGTATCCTTGAACCCTGAGTGGCTATAGCTCTAATTACTTCTGGTCTGCTGAGCTCTCCCGGGTAACACAGAGCTTTCGCTTGTCTTTTTGCCTTCCAGCTGGCCAGACACTGCCGGATGAACATGCCCACTCCCTTTACCCTCAAATAACCTGGAGGAATTGGGGGCTGGGGTGGAGAAAGAGTGCTTGGTGGGCCGAAATGTCTTCCAGCGGCTGGGGGTGAAGAGGCTTGCGAGTGAGAGCTCTCTCTTCTTGAGAAAGTGAAAGTTAAAAATTCTTGCCTTCTAAATTGCCTGCCCCTTAAAAAAAATCATTATTATTGAATGACACAAGAGCTGCCACAAAAGATGCCCAAGCCTTTAGCTGAGGACATTTGTATCTAATTTTGAGCTCTCCAAAAGCTCCCATTTCCATTAATGGAAATATCATCTATTTCTCTGCACGTTAGGTAAGATTTCAGAAAATGGCAAAAGATGTTCAATGTAACCAGAGTTATATAGTTTCTTTCCCTTATTACAAATATTCTTGGGGATACATAAATGACCCTGGTGGTGTTGGCAATTAGAGGAAAGACTATCTTAAGGAGAGACCTTGAAACGAGTATGGGCATTGATTGTTTTTAAATCATATTAAGCAACAGAGAGCCTGGAAGAATGAGATTCAGAGTCTCCCTTAGTTACTACTGATAAACATCCAAGGACTGGATACTGTGAGCTGCAAGCAGCAGTAAAACTAGTCAATAGAAGCTTAAACCATTAAAATACTAATTGTTCATTTAACAACAAGCCCAGAGTCAGGCAGTTCTAGGAAAGATTCAGCAGTTCAACAATGTCATCAAAGACCCAACTTCTTTTTGCCTTTCTGCTCTGCCATCTTCTGCATATTGGCCATTTGAAACCTCATGGTCACAAGATGGCTGCTGAAGTGCCGGCCATCATTGTTATTTTCAACAGAGGTAGAATGGGGAAGGAGCAGTCACAAAAGGTCTTCCTTCAAACTGGTCTGTTGGTTTTGGTTAAAAGGGAAGCCCTTCGGCAGGTTTGCCATTGCTTCACATTGGTCAGACCTGGGTCCCCTGCCCATCCCAGCACAAATCCTTCCCTTGCGCTGGGGAAGGAAGGGCCTACTTCCCACACAATCAAGGGATGTGCACGGCCTCTTGAAAGAAAATTGGGATTCTGTTAGCGTGGAAGAAGGAAGACAGTGGTAGTGGGATGGGGGTGGCAAAGAGAAGCCTTGTCACAGAGTTCTCATCAAAGCTGTTTTAATTGCAAAAAATGGCTATTGGACTCGGGTTAATTAAAATTAAGTACAGTTTTATTATAAGGTTGGGATCGATAGTTAATTTCCTACCGGGAACACAAAAGAGTGAAACAGGAAGCGGGGAGGACAGTGGCAGAGTAAGGGGCACAGGCCCTGTGCAGAAAGGGGACAGCGTCTACTCAGCTGTAGCTGATTTTTTTTTTTTTTTTTTTTTTTGATATGGGATCTCTCACAATTTTCAAGACAGGCATTTGGACTTTTATGAGAAATCTCCAAATTTCAGTATGCTGGATCAAGAAACATTGAAATGATATGTGAGCCTAATAAAATTCATTTGCAGGCCAGGTTTGGTTAATACGCTGCCAGCATGCAGCCTCTGAAAGGTTAAAAGGGTTTCAGAAATAAAGTTCAGCCTGGCCTCACATGCAACAGGGAGCTGGGGAGCCTCCAGGGTCCAGGGCCCCCTCTCTGGATCCGTGGCCCCGTTTCCACTCTTCTCCGTAGTCCTGCTTGCTTCTGCTTCCTCATGGTTGCTGCATGTGCCTAACAGTGCCCATGGCTTCCACTCGCCATGGCTCAGGTCTGCAAACAAAGCTGATTCAGCTGCTCCATGTCCCGCTTCAAAAGCCTCAGGGGAGGCAGCCGATTGGTCCAGTTTAGTGTTGGTTCTAGTCCTGGTCCAGTTAAGATGGGTTGGGGTGATGAGGTCAAGAGGTACAAACACGGTGGCTTTGGCCTGGTCTTTCAGCATGGTGGCACAATTACAGGTATGTCTGCAACCCCACAGTGACACATATGTAAACCCTTGAGTCTGTTCATCGTAACTATTCTGGGTCGTGTTGCAGCATGTGGTTAGCATGCATGGGCTCTCCACCACGCATCTAGCACAATATTCAACACTGAGGATGAAAGAAAGAGCGAGACATGGTCTTTTTCTTCATGCACTCAGTGTAGTGGTGGATACAGACATAAACAGGTCATGGCGATACCGTGTGGATGCCAATGGAGGGACGCAGAGTGTTGTGGGAGACACACGCGATGCCAACCCTGAAGCTCCAGAGCGTTTGGAGGCCTCTTCTGACTCCTCAAAGACTCAGTGATTTTGGTCAGACTTGAGTCACTGGCGGTGCTTGACTGTATTTGGATTCTTTGACATTTGAACATTCAGATACATCATATACAATCATTTTTGGATAATCAAGAATACTTGATGATGAACCACTTCAAATGCCCCTACCCCACATGCCAGAGAACAGAATACTTTCTAAATCTGTCCATAAAAGAACAATTCCGCTCATAATAGCATCAAAAAGAATAAAATACCTAAGAATAAATTTAACAAAAGGGGAACAAGATTTTTACAAAGTACCAAACACTGCTGAAAGAAATTAGAGGTCTAAATAAATGGAGAAAACATTCCAGGATCATGGATCAGCCAACTTAAAATTGTTAAGATATCAACCAACACTCCCCAAAATGATGTATAAATTCAATGCAATCCCTATCAACATCTCAGCTAGCGTTTTATGCAGAAATTGGCAAGCTGATTATAAAATTCATATAGAAATGCAAATGACCCAGATTTGCAAAAAAAAAAAAAAAAAAAAAACCCAAAAAACAAAAAATACATATATTGAAAAAGACAAAGTTGGAGGACTCACACTTGCTGATTTTAAAACTTACTCCAGCCCTGGCTGGTGTAGCTCAGTGGATTGAATGCCAGCCTGTGAACCGAAGGGTTGTCAGTTCAATTCCCAGACAAGACACATGCCTGGGTTGTGGGCCAGGTCCCCAGTAGACAGCGCACCAGAGGCAACCACACATTGATGTTTTCGTCATCAATTAGTTATCATCAGGACCGCCTATACTGGTCCTGATGATAACTAACCTTGACCGGTAGGGGTCGCTCTCCCTGGGGAATTTTAGGTTGGGTGAAGAAGAATAATTTTCATTAAAAAACCTAACTGTCGAGTTCTGCTCCCAGCCCCAGGAAGTGCTCCCCACCCCACCCATGTGCCTGGTGAGAGTCTCCTAGTCTTGGCTATGATGAGGAAGGATTTAGTTCCTTCTCAATGTGTTTGTGAAGACAGTTGGAAAAATAGTCCAACGGTTAGCTTTAGAACTGTATATCCCCCCCGCCCCCCCGCCCCGGATTCAGTTTTGTGTGATGGTTGAAAGTGAGGCACTGGAATCCTATCATTTCTGGCCCTGAGTCTCCATTCTATGCCTTTCCTACTGTTGACCTCCTAGTGCCTCTCTGTGCCTCAGTCTGCTCACTTATGAAATGGGAATAATAGCTATTTCACGGGGGCAGAGGAGTTGTGAGGATTAAATGAGGAATGTGTGCAAGAGTTTAGCACAGAGCCTGGTACCAGTTAGAATGCAACAAATTTTAGTTATAATAATTATTATTAACTACAGATGCTCCTTGACTTATCGGGGGTTTTGTCCTGATAAAGCCAGCATAAGTTGAAAATATCATAACCCAAAAACATATTTAATACATCTAGCCTACTGAACCTTACAGCTAGACTTCGCCTACCTTAAACATGCTCCAAATACTTCCGTTAGCCTACAGAAGGGCAAAATCACCCAACACAAAGCCTATTTTATAATAGTGTTGAACATCTCATATAATTTATCATGTGTGTTGCTTTTGCAACATTGTAAAATTGAAAAATCATAAGTTAAACCATCACTAAGGGGCTATCATTATTATTATTATTATTAGAACATTAACTTAGATCTTGGCCCTCACCCTACTTAGCTTAGGGCCGACCAAAATCATGGCAGATTTGAAAAACCCATCAAATGAAACAATACAGGAAGGAACATTAATGGCATGGGTCAGTCTAGACCTCTTCACAGCACACAGGTATCACCGATCCCAGATGCATGAAGAGCTCCAGGAATTGACCTTGTGATTCCCCTCACCTAGGGCTTCTTGTGGACAGGAGCCAGGGAGGGGCGGGGTGGGGAGCAGATGACAGCTTAGAAAAGCGCACATTGGTTAGTTGGACAAGGAAAGTGGGAAGTCCTTGTGTGGGGGGCGGTGGTCACTGGCACTTTCAGAGGTGGGACGGTGGCATTGTGAGCAACTTCCTCTCTTCGAGGACCTTCCCAAAGAGCCTGGCTGCCTCCAGGGCACAGCCCCAGTGGATGGTGAGCCCATAGCCTCCGTGGCCATAGTTGTGAATGACCTGGGAGAAGCAAGAGACAAGGTGGCCTGTTGTGCCCTGGGAGATTCAGGAACCTTCTGAAGAGTCCTGGGAAAGCCAGACCACACCGGACCTCTTCTCAGCACCCTGGGGGGAGGGTGGGTCCCCGCGCCCCGGGAGCAGTAAGGAAATTGCTTGGGGAGCTGGAGATTGACACCCTAGACTCCTCTTCTACTTAGGAGATGGACCTGCTTTATACCCTCAGCACAGGAAATGTAGAATCATCTGGAACTTGAGATCAGATGTTCCCATACTGCTCCAGGCTGTTAAACTTCTTGTGTTAATAGACACTCTTAATAGACTCAGTTAGTAGACTGCACCTCCTGGAGCCCCAGTGTGTTCATCGGAAGCATGGGGAGAACCGTCCCTCCCCAAAGCGCTGTGGCCAGGTTCTGTAAGGCTGTTCACATCATAGGCAGAAAGCAGATGTGCCCATCTCCTTCCACTTGACCCCAGGCTTTAGCCAACCAAGGCACTGCCCGGTATGTAACCGTAAGCAGGTCCTTTACCATCACTGGGCCTCAGTTTCCCCATGCATAGAGGAGAGGATATGAGCCACCACTGCCAAGAACCCCCTTTAGGAACGAGAGGGCATTGCTTTCCTTGCCAGCAGAGCATACCTCTGTGTTTGAAGATCCGAAGCGAAGCTGTTCTCTTTCCAGCCGAATCTGGGGGCGTACTGGCCGGAAGCCAGTCCACTCAGCAACAATCATGGCATCCTAGAGAGAAAAGTGTTAGAAATCCATCTCTGGGTTATTTTCTCTGCTGCCATTTTTAGGTGATAGAGAGTTGGCTTTTGGAACCTCACTGTCATGACCAGCGTCGTTAACACCATCACTGTCTTCTTCCTCGCCACTGCCACCGTCACTACCTGTGCCAGCCACCAGCTGCAGCACTGTCACTAGTCACCACCAGTTCTACCAACTGCCCCATCTCCACTGACCACCCCCACCAGTCACCGCCACGATATTGTCAATAGTCACCGGCTCAGCACCCTCCTGATCACCATCCTCAGCATTTTCATCACCATCGGTCCCAACCAGTACCTCCGCCCCCATCACACCCTCTCCACCATCAGCATTGTCAGCGCCACTAGCGGACAAATGTGAAAACTGAGATTGATGCGACAGATACAGCTGCTCCTTGTGAACACCGAGTAAGGTGTTTTGAGGATGTCACCTCAAGAGAGGGCAACTCTTAGTCATGGCCATAAAGATTTCATCAGCCCATAGCAGGACTTCCCTGGGCGTTATCAGAATCTGGTGTATTCCACAGACCATTGCTGGAATTAATTCACCCAACTATCCTGTGGTGGAATCTTCCATCCTCGAGGGTCCTCATGATCAAGCTTCCAAGATCCAGGAACCTTACCTTCAGTGTGGGCTCCAATCGGCAGCAGCCTTCCCAAATGCTGTTGTGGTCTTGAATATTGTTTGCCTCATTCCAGTTTCCCAGCTGGAAGATGCCTCCAAGAGTCACTGCCTGGATCCTGCATAAAAGGAAAGAGTGTCGAGGATGAATGAAAACAAAGCCTTTGGGATGAATGGGGGCCATCACCATGCTATGCCTTACCACAGTCTCTACCTGAATCAGTACCGCTATCAACCTTGTCATCCCTGTTCACAGCGCCGTCAGCACCACAGCAATTGCCATCGTCACCCCCGTCAACCGCCCCCTCCACCATCACCACTAACAACACTGTTAACATTGCCATCTCTTCCAGTGTACAGCATGGTGACAAGGATTAACACTACTGTATTGCGTACTTGAAAATTGCTAAGAGAGTAGGTCTTAAGTGTTCTCACCACACGCACAAAAGGTCACTATGTGAGGCAATGGATGTGTTAACTAATCTTATTGCAGTAATCATTTTGCAATATATGCATCTATCAGATCATTTTACACATCTGAAAGGAACACAATGTTATGTGCCACTTAAATCTCAATAAAGCTGGAAAAATATTATCCTATCCATCAACATCACCTTTGCCACTTCCCTCTTTGTTACCATTAAGATGTCATTGCCATCAACCCTGGTCACCGTTTCCACCACCATCATGAGCCATCGATACTGTCATCTCCTCCATACCATTAACATCACCATTGAGACAGTCGGCACAGCCACAACATTGACCCTGAGACCGTCATCTCTGCCACTCTGTTAACATCATCATCGATACTGTCATCTCGGTCGTCACTGCCTACCTCCCCCACTCCCAGCACCGCCGCCATCAACACTGACCTTCTCATCAAGAAAAATACTCTCTTCGCTACCACTATTTCACTGTCAACGACATTGTTGCCCGTCAACACCACCCCCATAGTGACATCATCACCTCTATCAATAATGTCACCATCAACTCCAATCACCATTCCCACCACCATTCCTATTATTGTCACTCACACCACTTCCCGTGTCACTGCCATCATGTCTTTGTCTCCAGCATCACTGTCGTCCAAAAGCGTGTCCAGGGGAGAGTCCAATTAAGCCTGAGTCCTACCTTCCCAGGCATTTAATGGCTCAACCACACATAAAGCAAGAAAAATTGGAAGAAAACAATGCTGAAAGGACTAAGCAAGAGGCCTGGGGTGGGCCGCAGGAGCATAATGGGGGCGTAAAGGTACCCTCTCTTCTGCCTAGGATGTCAGATTTTTACCCTGGGATGATGTACGGGGACTTGTAGATGCCTCTATCTGGGTCATGGGCAAGGATGAAGTGCTTCACCCAAGGAGCGTCCACCTGTTGATAGAGGATGGAAAAGCCTCATCAGGGGTGTTGGATCAGCGGGGTCCCCTGCCCTGCTCTGCTCTAAGACTAGATGTTCTGATAAGGTGGTCAATTCCTTAGCCCTCCCAGGACCCTGCCGGCCGCAAGCCTGCCCCGATGCCTGCTCTTGCAGGAAGAGCATCCTGACTGAGAGCCAATCTGCTCCCGGAGGCACCACTCAGTGTCACCCACATGTCCACAGAAAAGCCCAGCGCCCATGTACAAATACACACATACGCCCACCCCCCCCCACGCATCCATACCTATGAGCTCACACGTGTACATTCACAAATGGGCATGCCTCGCCCACACGCACACTTATGCAGGAAGAGGCCGTGTGGACCAGTCTTATACCCAGGTTCTTAAACCAGGTTTCCTGGGTTCTAATCCCAGTTCTACCACAGACCACCGCGTGAACTTGTGCGTGTTAGTTAACTTCTCAGGTTCCCCATGTGAGACACGGCAATGGTGGTATGATCAACCCCACCTCATAGGGTTGTGGTAAGGATTAAACAATAACACGATGAAGTGCTCAGGCCTGTGTCTAGCACTTAGTAAACACTCCATACATTTTTGCTCTTTTTATTTTTATTACTAATTTTATCTTCACTCGAGGACATTTTTCATTTTTTCATTGCTTTCAGAGACAGAGAAAGGGACTAAGAGAGAGAGAGAGATTGATGTGAAAGAGAAACATTGATCAGTTGCCTCCTGTACACACCCTAACTAGGAATCAAACCCAAAACCTGGGTATGTGCCCGGCACGAGAATCATACCTGCAACCCTTTGGTCCACAGGACAATGCTCCAGCCAAATGAGCCACACCAGCCAGGGCTCTTTTTATTATAATACAGGCATATTTGTACATATATGTAGCTCCCACATGTGTACATATATACACACATGCTTTGCAGTTAAGAAGACATGTCAAAAGAGAATGTTTGGGGGGGTTGTGTTGTGTTGGTCTTTCTTGCTTCTTTGACGTGCAAGTCCTCTAACAGATGTTCCCGACCCGTCCTCTTTCTTTGGAAATGAAATAAGCAGGCAGCTACAACCTTCCTAGCAACAAAAGTCAGAGGTCTCATCCCTCATCCCCACACTCACCTTAATGATCTGCCCCCGGCCTGGTTGCAGCAGCGGGTCTGGTTGTAGTGCCCCCGCCCACACACCAGTGCAGTTGATAATCACGTCGACGCCTCCTCTCGCCACCTGTCAGCAACCAACAGAGCAGGTGGGGTGGGAGAGGCTGAGGCAAAATGCCTGAGTCCTTCTGGGACTGACAAAAGCTTAGAGTCCAGGATGGGCCTCAAGAGGACTCTGGAAGGCTGAGAAGGGGGCCCTCAACTCAGGAAGGAAAAGCCACCCCTCTTCTCCCTCCTCCCAGCTGCAGCCCCTCTGGCCTGAGAGCTCACCTCCTCAAAAGACTCCACCTTCCGCTGGAAGAGCTTCACTCCCCTCTCTGTTAACCTGGGATGATCAGACACATAAAAAAATCTCATTATTCAGTTCTCTATCCTATCTCTCTAAGAAGGTGGCATGGGAGACATTTCCCAAAGAACCTTTTGTCCCACAGATGCTCCTTGAGAAAGTGGCTATATAGCAAAATCAGCTCATGGGTGCCTTGGTGCACTAGTGGGCCATGAAATGTCCCTTGGGAAACCTGAGATGGTCTAAGCTTCTCATCGGGCAGATGGAGATGGGAGAAGGCCCTTGCTGAATGTTGTACAGTGAGTCAGTGATGAGGCAGGGACTCAGACTCAGGCCTCTTAGTTGGAAATGCTTTCCCTTACAACCACATTGCTTTTTACCATCACAGGAGGAGGGCATAATGCTTTATGCCCCTTTGTCAGAAGCAGAGCATGAGGAGGGAGGTGGGCTAGGGACACTCACCCCTCGCTCTAAATGTCTCAGCCAAAAAATATTTGTCACTATTAGAAATATAGTAGAAACAACAAAAGAACAAGAAACAAACCATATAAAAGCCAAAGCATAGACTCAGGACTATTTTTTCTAAATAGTTTCCTCAAGATAGAAAAACTGGGAGCATTTGTTCCAGGTAGAAGTTAGACAGGAGTCATTAAGTGCCCCAAGGTTAGAAGAAATAACCAGGTTTTAGCACAACAGTTTGCAAACCCGGTGGATAATTAGAATCACTCAGGGAACTTCCTAAGATGCAAATTCCTGAGCCCCATTCCAGAGATTTGATTCAGTAGATATGAAGCAGGGTCCTGAAATCTATGTTTTTAAAAATTCCCCAGGTCATTTGATAAAAGCCACCATCTATTCCATACTTTTAAAAATCTTAATAAAATAGCTCTGGCTGGTGTGGCTCAGTGGATTGCGCACCAGCTTATGAACCAAAAGGTCACTGGTTCGATTCCCAGTCAGGGCACACGCCTGGGTTTTGGGCCCGGTCCCTGGTGAAGGGCATGCGAGAGGCAACCACATATTCGTGTTTCTCTCCCTCTCTTTCTCCCTCTTTCCTCTATCTAAAAATAATAAAGAAATAAAATCTTTAAAAATTTTTTTTAAAATCTTTATAAAATAGTAATACATAGGAAATATACAGAATCTTTCTTAATATGTATATAAATATAAATGTATCTCTCAAGCTGACATTTGCTAATGTAGGACACTACAAGATTCCTATTAACATCAGGAACAAGACAGGGACATCCACTATCCCCTGTATTAATTCACATTGTTCTGAAGGTACAGGCCACAGTAGTTAGACAAGAAAAAAAAAAAGGAAGCATAAACATAAAAGGCAACTTATATTTTGTAGATGAGGTAAATAGATCTGGAAAACATAAGAGAATCCATCTAAAGCTATCACACACATAGTTCAGATTTTAGTGGGGTTGATCATAAATATCACATGTAAAGAGTTGCCCAGGTGGTTCTGTTGCCTAGCTAGGCATGGAAACCATTGTTTTAGTGCACAGGACCAACGATAGCTCCTACCATGCCTAAGGGTTAACATTTGGGGCTGATCAATACAAAACAAATTCCATGAACAATCATCTGCTACAACCCTGGTCCCTGGGAGATGCTTTCCTGAAACTAAGTTGAAAATCTCACCTTTCAGTCAGCCACTGCAGATATCTCCTCCCCTCCAGAATAAGGCTTGTGTTGAACCAGCCGTAGCTAGAGTCACAGCAGGAAAAGATAGGAATAAAAGATCAGAGTAAAAGCTATATTTGAAGGCTATCAAATGGAAGTGGGAGCAATGTTGGGTTTCTCAGGGGGCGTTTCAAGGGTACAAATAGGACCACTGGGTGAAGTTCAAGGGAGGAAGTTGTTTTGAGCTCAATGCAAAGAAAAGTTTTTTATCACACAAAGCCATCCCTGACATAGAGGTGTGCAAGTGGAGACTGAATGTGAATTTATTGAGGGGATTCAAGCATGAGGTGGGGTGAGAAGGGGACCAGAGAAACATTGGGCTATAGGGAAAAGAATAAAAGAGTCACACAGGCTGGATTGGAATTCCATTTTGGTCACTTGGTTGTGTGACTTTGGGAAGTAACGTAGCCTCTCTGAAGCTTAGTTTCCTCATCTACAAAAGAGGATAGTGAAATGGAGCTTCCGGCCTTGAAATCTGTGATTCCACATCCCTCACTTCCTTAGCCCAAGGCCCAGTGTGGGTGGGTGTCTTCTCCAAAGGAGCTAGATGGAGCACCAAGAGACCAAGGTATGAGGGGCTCTAGGCCTAGGATGGGACAGGAAATTTGGTGACTCCATCTTCCATTGCCTTCTGGATAGGTCTGTCTGAATTGTGGAGCCTTGGCCTCTTTGCCCATGATAGTAATCTTACCTATAATCAGGGAACACATCCAGCTCTCTGGGGGTCAGCTTCCGAAATCCCAGAACTATGTCCTTCCAGAAAGGATCCTGCAGAAGAAGGAGAGAAGGGGGCACAGGAAGGGGCAAAAGCCAATAATAACAATGATGACAAAAACTTACCTCATGTTTACTGTGTGCAAGGCTCTGTTGGAAGCATTTTACTTATACTCTATTTAATCTTCACAACAACCCATTGAGCTAGATACTGTTCTTATCCCCATTTAATAGATGGGCCCATTGAGGCTTAGAGAGGTTAAATAACCTAAGATCACACAGCTAATAAATGGTGGAGCTGAGATCTGAACCCACACAGTTTGGCCTCAGAGTCCAAATTCTCAACCATTATGCTATACTAAGGGAAAGAATAAAACTCCAGGTGAGTGATGGGGTAAGGGTCAGAAATATGGGAGAAAAAAGGGGTGACAGTGAGAGTTTCCAAGGAGTGAGAGTCGGAGGCAGCCGAGCATAGAGTCAGACAACTTAAATGGAGATTTTGACCTCACCAGTGACCACCTTGAATTCTCTGAGACTCTGTCTTCTGGTCTTTATCATGGAGCTAATAGTCACTCTTGGTCTCATGGAAGGTACATAATGTGGGCAATGCTCTTAGCGCAGTGTTAATGTGGACTATATTGTGGGGACCTGGCCTGAGGTTGTGGGCACCCAGCCAAATCACCCTTGCCAAACAACCTGAGAACATCCCCCATGTGGTCACAGGCAGCCTGGGTTCAAACCCCAGCTCTGCCACTTTAAAGCATTATGAGCTTAGGTAAGGTACTTTATTTAATCTGAAAAAAAGGAGATAATAATACTTACTTCCTTGTTATCGTGAGAATTAATTGAGTCACTATTTGTAAAGTAGTTAGGACAGGGCAAAAATGGGTCTTAAAGTAAACTGGTTTTGGACGCAGAAATCTGTTGCCTTCGAGACTCAAAGTACTCCCCAGGCTCGAGACCCCAGCCCTGGCCTATGATCAAGGCCCCGTAGTCAAGGACTCCTCACTCACCGGAACAGCTTCGTGGAAGAGGTTGTAGCCTGAAATCAGGGCCAGGCCCATGTTTGCAGCATTGGGAGAATGGAAGTGGCCCAGGAGATAGTCAAAGGTCTGCTGGTTCCAATGCCTGGAAGGATCCCCCAGAGTCTCATCACAAAATACCCTGAGCTGGGTAAGTAAGACAGCTCGGAGGGCTACCTTGTGTAGGGCTGTGATCAGGCTGGTTGGGCGGGGGATGTGTCCAAATCCAGCATTCCACCGCTTTCCACTCCTGCAGCACCCCAAATGCCTATGGATCTTCCCCTCCCCAAACTTTCCAGCACTTCCCCATTAATAGAATAGAGAAGAGGGAAACGAAGGATGCTCCATCACAACAATTTGGACCTTACCTCCAGCTTGGGATCACATAGTTGCCAAGTTTAAATGAAGGCTTTGACCTATTTTGGGAACTGTGATCTATATACAGGTTCAGGCTCTCTCTGAGTAACGCCCACCCCCATTGTAAAAAACAGCTTGCACTCCCAAACGCTTTCCTCTTCTCCCTGGGTGCACAGCTCACCTATGTTTCCCAGACTCCCTTGCTGCTAGGTATGGCTATGTGACTGCATTCTAGCCAATGGACCGTAAAGACTGTGCAGCAGTGGTCCTCATGTTATGCCCCTTGCACAGGTGCTGACCCATGAGAATAGCAACATAGGAAGCCAAACAGGAGGATGGCAGAGCCATGAGATGGAAAAGTGCATGATCCCCGAATTGTCACCCACTGATCATGAGCATTAGTTTTGGAATTTGTGGGAAGTAAGAGCAGCTGAGGGTTTCAAAACTAACACAATGGCCTTTGCAACTTCTCTGCTAAACCTGAGCATTGATCCACCCACTTAGAAATAGTCCTAATTCACCAACTCATGTGGCATTAACAGCCACCTGGTTTAGGCGAGGAATGGAGACAAAGGCCTCCATTTGCCTGGCACACATCACTTTTATTACTGCTAAGATCAAGTGTAGCATCTGTCTAGCACATAGAAGGGGCTTAATATTTATTATTTTCTTCACATCATGCAGGCCATAGCCTCCACAAAGGACTTGTAATTGGTGTCAGGGACTTGGCGAGGACTCAGCTCCTCTGGCCACCCAGCCGCCCTCTGGGAACCTCACTCACACCTCCTGTGGGTTGCTGGGGTCAGAGAGGTAGGGCTGCCAGAGGCCAGCAGCCACGTCGGTGTTGGTGAGCGGGGTGAAGCGGTCTGCGTAGACCTTCACGTCCAGCGACTGCAGGACTGAGCGGTAGCGCTCGTGGATGCAGAGCGCAGTGGACAGCCCAATGACACCTGCTCCAATCACTACCACACGCATTGTGCCAGCCTGCAGGGAGGAAGAGGAGAGGCATGCCATCATCACCACCATCTCCACCATCCCCCGAAGGCTCAGAAAGTGCCAGATGCTGCCAACCCCTTTTAATACTTGATCCTCTGAACGACCCTCAGAACTGGAAAAACGGAGGCATGAAGAGACAAAACAACTTGCCCAAGATCACACAACTTGTAAGGGTTACCACTTTCTCTGGGAAGCCTCCCCAAATACACTGTATGTATGCGGAAATATAAAAAGGGCCTAGCAGAGTACCTGGCCAGCTCTAGGCTGGGGAGTCTAATGGTCAGGACAATGGGTTCTGGCTTCTAATCTCAGATCTCTGCTCTCCTGCCTACTGGCCATTGACCTTGGGCAAGATGCTTCATAAGCCTCAGTTTCTTCTTCTGGAAAATGGGGAAACTAACTCATGCCTTGGAGAGTAGATTGAAAGATTTATCAAGAAGGTAAATGTAAAAAGCTTAACCCAGAGTCTAGTACAAAAGAAGTGACTTATGGACATTTGCGGGGCACCTGCTGTGAGCCAGCCCCGGTGCTAAGTGCTTCCCATGCCTCATTTTACTTAAGTCGCCCAACGTTCTTTTGAGGTAGGGTAGTGTTATTGGCTTCCCTTTACAGATGACAAAACTGAGGCTCAGAGAGGTGAGGTCACTTACTCGAGGTCACAGAGCCAGGAAGTGGTGCTACTGGGATTTAATTTCAATCCAAGTAACCTCACGCACACTTATGGCACACCTACTGTGTGCTGGGCTGGCAGCTAGTGGATGCAGCTGTGAGCGCATCTGTGAGATGCATAGGACGCAATGGCTGGTCTCAGAACTTGGATGTTCCAGCGCACCGGCTCAGGGCTGGGCTGCCTGGGTTCTCAGAAGTTTAGGAGGCCTAGCAGCTTTTGACCTTGAAGCTGCCTGGGCCCCCACAGCAGGGAAATATTCTGCTGGCTCCTGCTGAGGCAGAACAAGGGGACATTTGTGCCCAAAAGGGCCAAATTCAACTTTCCCTCCTCTTTACTCACAACTCTCCCCCGCAGACCCAGCTCCTGGCCCACGGCCCTGAGCGGCAGGACATTCCCAGTATGGCCTCGTTTTGTAAAGGGGGAAGCGGCTCCCGCCCAAGAACTGGACTGTGCTGGGGTTTCAGCAGCCAAGTTGAAGATAAAACCCACAAACAAAAAGGCATCGTTGCTCTGGATGATTCATCTTCCAGCTGCCAACCTGGGCTTGGTTAGGGGGTGGGCAGACCCTCTCAGGGACCCCCAGCCTCCTCCCACAACCTCCTCATCTATAAAATAGGAGTAACCTGAGCTCATGGCAACAGTTCCCAATCCCCTGCCTGGCACAGAGTAGGCCCTGAGGACATGGCAGCCTCCTTCTGTCCCCCAGCACCTTGGAAGTGACAAAGAAAAGAGCACTGGCTGTAGCAGAGAAGAGAGGAAGAAGGATGAGTCCGACCTGCCTTCACTTTGGCTTGCTCTGTGACCTTGGCTAAATGACTTCCCCTGTCTGGGCCTTCTGACTGTCTTTGCGTAACGTCCATAGAGTTCAGCACTTTGGCACATTAACAAAAGGAAGGCAGGAATAGAAGGCTTTTTCTGTGTTTTCCAAAGTCCCCATGATGAAAACAGGAGGACTCATGGCACAAGGAGGTGGCAGTAACAGCCCAGGCTGTGGGTCAGGTTCACAGCTGGCTCTGGCACACACCAACCGTGTGACCCTGGACAAGTCACTTAGTTTGACTGAGCAAGAGTGACCAACCTCCCTGACTTCCTGGGACTGAGGGTGTCACCAGGATGTAGTCTCTGAGTGCTAAAACCAGAAGGGCCTTGCGGCAAACCGGAACGAGTTGCCTATTATAACTGAGCCTCAGTTTCCTCTTCTATGAACTTCTAAGGGTTAACAAGTCTCCCTGCCTATTATCTCCCCACCAGAATATCAGCTCCAGTAAAGCAAGGACTTTTGTCTACTGCTCTGTCCCAAGGACCTAGAATAGTACTTGCCCCATAGCAAGGACTCATAAGTGAATGAATGAATGAATGAACGAACAAACGAACGAATGAAGAGTGAATGAATGGAATGCTTATGAGGATCAAAAGAGAAAATACTCATGAAGTGCTTGGAAGCTCATAAATTAAACCAGTAATCATCATCGTCTGTAGTTTAACAGCTGAGGCAGCTGAGGCCAGGGGAGAGCAAGGTTGATTAGAGGTCACAACAAGTGCCAGAGGCAGGGGGAGGTGAACCCAGCTCTGCCTTTCCAGGGCCCAGGTTTTTTCCATTCTCATGTCACCTCGAAAACCAGCAAAAGATCGGGGTGGGGGGGGTGGAAAGGAACTATTCATATAAAAAAAAAAGTATGTGAGGTAAGAGAAGAGAGGGTTTGAAACCCTTTCGAGGTTTCTGGGCAGGAAGTAGGAGGCTACGGACAGGAGCAGGGTGGGCACAAGGTGTGTCTCGGGTAACAAGCCTGGCCGGGCGCGGCGAGGCTCTGGGTAGGCGTGGAGTCACGTGCTCGAGAGAACGGCATGGGGGCAGGGGGGACGCAGAGCCACTTCTGAAAACAGCTGGCAAGACAGAGGGATGAGTAACAGCGTGGGGCTCAGCTTCTGCGGTGTGTAAAATTCCAAAGGTGAGCAAGGCGTCATCATGCAGATGGGGAAACTGAGGCCCAAAGAAGTGAAAAGGCTCTACTGAAGTCACACATCTATGAAAAAAACACTTGTGGAGTCTGGGGGCGTTAAAAAAATCTCTGTGGAAGGTAGGAATAGGTCACGTCCAGAAAAGAACTACAATGTGGAGAGAAACAATGATAACAGCTGCTAGTTTCAACTCCTAGGATTCTTCTGCTTTAACCTTCTACCGGCCCTCAGGGTTGTCACTGTGCCCATTTTACAGAGGAGGTGACTGAGGCTCAGACAGCCAGCTGGTGAGAAGCAGAGCCCAGGCTGGTCTGACTCACAAGTGAAGAACCTGAAGGTCTAGCAGGTAAAGAGAAACCCCAATGCTTCAGGGTCCTGAAACATTGAAAAATAAAAATACAACAATTTTAGAAATGTTTAGTGTGTTGGTGATAGGCACAGAGCTGAAGAGGGAAGATGTGTGTCCTAAATTAATTATCTTAACAAACTCTGTGAATCAAATTTGATACTGATTATAGCAACTTCGTGTGTGCGCGCGTGTGTGTCTAATGATAATGCCTATGTGAGGGGGGAGTAGGAAGGGAATAATTTTGGCCATCTGTCACTTGCCAGACACATGCAGAGGTAGTATAGACATCCTCTTACTTAATCCCCTCAATTGCTCTAGAAGGTTCTACAGAGGAGGGACTCAGGTTCAGGGAGCAGGAGCCACTCTCCCACCCTCACACAGCTGGCACGGGCCAGCGTTCGGATCTGAGCTTTCTGTGCTGTGCCCTACGGCTACTTAGGCAGCCGGCAGTAAGTGGGCACCGACACTTCTGCTTGCCTTTCAGTCTCGCATTTCTTTGCTTATAACCTTTCTTGTCCCTAGAAAAGAATTTGAGACCACTCCTGCCTTTGATGGCTACATGTGCATAGCAAAGAATAGGAAAGGTTGTTCTGGAAAAATCAGCAAGTCACGGGTCTGAGATATTTGAATGAACATATTAGCTCTTCCAAGTGATGCCATATGGTCGCTTCTCATGAAGGTGATATTTCAGAGTTTATCTTCAAACTGGAACAGATTCTATAAATGCTTGATAACCAGGCTACCTGCTCCCTGCCCCCAAAATAATAATTACCATGTACTGAGTACTTGATATGTGCCCAGTTCTATGTTAAGAACTTTATACTAATCACCTGTTTTACTATTCATATTAACCCTGTGAGAGGTGAGTTACGATCCTATCTCCCAGATGAGGAGGTGGAGGCTTGGAAAGGCGAAGGTGCTTACCTGAGGTCCCTGCCCAGCTCCAAGGCTGTCTGTGCCCTTGCCTCAGGTGTTACGGTGGAGCTTTCTCTGTTGACACCAGAAAGGACATGAGTTCTTCTATATCCTCCCCCCCAAAAAAACCCCCACTCACCTGGTATGCCAAACTTCTGGAGAAAAGAGGCAGCCGCTGTGGGTGTAGCGTCCTATCTCCTGAGGGGAGGCTCCTGATTCTGGGGCGTCCTGTCCTCAGCGCTCTGCCCGCCAGCCAGGACTGGAGCTCAGGGTCAAAGTCTGGAGTTACAGACAGGGCACAACTCGGCACAGTGCTTCTTACAGGGGCTGAACCCGGGCCAGGCGGGGAGACCTCACCTCCCCTCGCGCCCAGTCCCTGAAAAGCTGCCTGACTTTTCTGGCTGATCCTGAGCCCCTGTGTACAGGCCTCGATGGGAGGAAGGGGGCAGGCGGGGGTTCTTGGAGGGCTGATCGGCACAAGGAGGTCTGACTCCCGGGCCAGCTGGAGGCGATCCTCTTTCTTCCCGCTTTCTGCTGCCACCCTGGGGGAGGGGAAGGTCATTCCCTGGCCTGCGGTGGGGGAGTGGGGTGTGGTCAGTCCGGCAGCCTCTGTGGTGAGACCAAAGGTGCAGGACTAGAAGTCCCAGGGTCAGCCAGCCAGCCCAGGGCCACTCTGGGACACTAAGCAGGTAAGGCCAAGAAGAGACTCGAGGTGGCGCCTGTTTGGGTCATGAGGACAAGTGGCTGTTTGCTTCGTACCCCAGAGACACTAGCCGTAGGATTTCAGGCCCCTCCTCTGCCAGGGCTAGACCCGGAGCTGTGACTATTAATTAAAGCCCAAAGATCATCGGGCGCTTCACTGTATGGATGGGGAAACTGAGGCCCAGAGAGAGGAACCAAACAGCCTTGGGTGAGGCATCCTTTGGGTCAGCTCTGAAGGTCCAGCCTCTACCCACCCCACCCCTCACCTTCAATATCATCACGTAAAAAGGGGAGGATGAAATAAGAGAATGCATGCACAGTACTTTTTCAATAATTAAAAAAGGCCCCAGCTCGTGTGGCTCAGTGGATGGAGTGCCGGCCTGCAAACCAAAGTGTTGCTGGTTCGATTCCCAGTCAGGGCACGTGCCGGGATTGCAGGCCAGGACCTCAGTTGGGGGTGTGTGAGAGGCAACCACATGTTGATGTTTCTCTCCCTCTCTTTTTCCCTCCCTTCTCCTCTCCCTAAAAATAACTAACTAACTAACTAGGTAAATAAAATCTTTTAAAAAATAATTTAAAAAGGCTTGGGTGAACTCTACCTTTTACTCTACATGCTTTCATTTTGTTTGAATTTTTTAACAATGGTCATGCCTCACTTTCATATCACACAACCTTAGGAAAATTCCTTGTGCCTCTAGTTCATGGTGAAAACACTTAAACATTAACAGAAGTTAATCAGATATCTTTACACTTCCCCCCAACTCCCATCCTAACAATGATTTGTGGTTTGTGAATTTCAATGTGCCAATTTTAAGTAGTTGACTTATCCCATTTAATCTCACATCCCTATAAACTAGATGCTGTTATTATCGTTACTCCTTTGAATTCAAAAACTTGCTCCCAGTATTCACTAAAGCTAAACATACCTCTGTTCTAAAACCCAGCAACCCTAATCTTATGTAGATCCCCAAGGGAAATGAAAACAAATATCATGCAAGAGGCTCGTATAAGAACATTCATAGACCTAAACCAGAAACAACAAAATCTCTGTCAGCTAGAGAATGCAGAAACAAATTGTGGTGTTTTCAGACAATTCACACCGTGGAATATTAAGCAGCAACGAAAAAGACAAACACTGCTACACACAGCAACCTGGATGAATCTCACTGTCATTGTGTGAAGCAGGAAAAGCCAGGCAGGAAAAAGCCCATTTTGCATGATTTTCTTTACGCAAAATTCAAGAAAAGACAAGGCTATTTGATGGTGATAGAAGGTATGGAAAGAGCCATTACCTCGGAGGAAAGAAATTTTCTAGGATGAAGGCAAGCTGCACCTTAATCCGGGCAGTGTTTATAAAAGCATAGTCGTATGTGAAAATTCATCAAGCTGTACATTTAAGATTAATATACTTAATACAGTTAGGAAGAAAGAAGGAAGGAGAGGAGAAAGAGGAAAGAAAGAAGGAAGGAGGAAAGGGAGGGAGGAAGGAGGAAGGAAGGAGCGAGAGAGAGAAAGAAGAAAGGACTTGCTCATAGTAACATTGCCTGCAAGCAGAGGCTCATATTTGAACCTGGGTTAGCACTGCCAGGCCTAGCAAGCAAAGCTCCAAGGCACCCTGCATTTTATCTGGCAACCCCCATCTAGGCCCAGACCTGGAGCACTAGGCCACCACTCTAGAGAGTTTAACAGAGTGAGAATAGTAAAGGGGACCCCACAGGGACTTCCCACACCGTAGGGCAGGACGCTGTGGCTTCAGAGAGTCCTATGCTGTGTGTAGAAAGCATATTCAGTGTTATCATTTAATTTTGGAAAATGATATGGCGGGGAGAATCCCTATTGTTTTCATGATACAAACTACAGAAAGTAAAGTTCCACAGAATATTCTTGGCTATTGGATCAAATAGAAAATACCCCCTCCCCCGGAGGGACATGTAATTTTTTATCTTGACCACAAGGGGACATGAGTTTTTTTTAAAAAAAAGACTCAGTCCCCATTAGACCCTCTTAAGGGTCTGACTTTGAAAATTGTCATCTCCATATTCAATGGTGCCGTGTGGATGGATTCCACTGTCTATTACAGAATGGAAAACTGTTCAGGACACACCATATTGATAAGTGAACTAGGAGTCAAAACTGCACGTACAACATGATCCCATTTTTATCATGTGAAGTGGTATGTTTATGTTATAATGTTTGGGGCTATTCACCCAAAATGTGAATGGCCCCCCTTTCCTGGCAGTGGGAATTGGTTACAGGGGATTAGTACTTTCTTCTTTATGTTTTCTGTATTGTATAAATTCCAGAGGCTGTGATTGTATCAATATTCAGAAAAGTTATAATAAAGCTGGTTTTATCTGAGAAAGAATGTGGGAGCGGGTTAACTTGTTACTCTGTAACTTCATGTGGCCCCCCCCAGAGTTCTGCCTCCTGGTGGACGATCCTTTTGCCCTGGCCTGAGTGTACCTCTGAGCCACTGGGAGGCCACCTTGTTTATCAACCAGTCAGTGGGTCAGAAAAACCCTTGATTCCTAACACTCTAGCCAAATAAACAAAAATTGCTTCCAGAGGTCCTTTGGGGCCTTCTAGAATAATCAATAAATTGGACTTCAGAATAGTTCCTCAAGGACCTTGCAATCACCCCACTAAGTAAGCCCTATACCCCTGTGGGACTAAGGGCACATCCCTTCCTCTCTTTGGGCCTCAGTTTACTGAACTGTAAAATGGGCAGATTCGACCAGTTTGATGTTTCTCAACTTTTTCTTTTCCTTTTTATTTAATTCTCACCCAAGGATATGTTTTTATTGATTTGAGAGAAAGAGAGAGAGAGAGAGAGAGAGAGAGAGAGAGAGAAACAGCGATATGAGAGAGAAACAGTGACCCGTTGCCTCCCATATGTACCCCGACTGGGGACGAAACCCCCAACAGCAATATGCCCTGACTTGGGGGGAATCAAACCCACAACTTTTTGGTGTATGAAACAATGATGCTCCAATACACTGAGTCACACAGCCAGAGCCAGCTCTCTTCTCTTTACCCTTATTTTTTGGAGTTTGCCTCCCCTTCACCCACAGTTACCTTTCTGGGGTGGGGGATAGCGATTAAGGCCAGGACTCTGGGACCAGGGAGACTCCGTTGGGACCCCAGCTTTGCCCTCCTTACCTGTGTGGTCTTGGGCTGGTACTGAAGGAAACCAGAAGGCAATCAGGTACTTACAGGGCAGGCGGTCCAAGTGCACACACTTTAGTCTCGACCCCTAGCTCTACCCTTCATGGTCCCCAGGATCTCAGACAAGTTCCCCCGGAAAGCCCCATATGTAGAATTGAAAAAATTAAATAACTAGAGACTTTCTCTTACTGTGAAATTAAAATGAAATAGTGATTGCCACAGGACACAATGCACAGTATATGCCCAGCAGATAACTTCAATAAAATTCAACTGGATAAAAATTTAAAGATCTTATTGCCTTTATTCAACAATTCATGAATCTAGCAGCATCCAATTGAGCAGGCCGAAAGGACCTCCAACATGCTGTACAAAATGAAAGACTTTTAAAGACAGAAGGGAACTGGAACAAGGAAGCTATATATGCTATGCAGAAAAGCAGATTGGTTATTACAAGACGGCTTTTCTTTCAAGGATGGCAAGGGTTTATCATAGGCAGGTTTCCTAACTGGTACCGACCAAGCAATTCCTAGTTGACTGGTTTAAGATTCTATGTCTGGGAGAGTAGAAACTGTAATTAAGTTAAATCTAGTTTTGATGACGTGGGCCTTGGCATAAGCAATTCCATTTTGGGGATGTTGTCTTGTTTTTACGCCCTGGCCAGGTTGCTCAGTTGGTTAGAGTGTCATCCCCATGCACTGGGGTTGCAGGTTCGATCCCTGGTCAGAGAACATTCAGGGGTTAACCGGTGAATACATGAATGAGTGGAATAGCAAATTGATGTTTCTATCTCTCTGCCTCCCTCTCCCTTCCTTTCTCTGTCTAAAATCAATGTTTAAAAATATGTGTTTGGATTTGAGAAGTAAGATATCATTAGTCAACTGAATATTGTCCATAATTTTGTCTTACACTGGACGTTTAAAATAAGTGCTTAATAAGTAGGGCAAGAGCGAAGCTACACATGTAGGTGGGTTGGGTCAAAAGCTCTAATGGTTAGAAGGGGTGTTGTCATCTGTAAACTTCTTTTCCCAAATGGGGAACCACTCCTAACAAAGCTCTCAGACAGAACAAAGTATATTCTTCCCTTTTTTTAAACATAGCTGCATTTCTGAAAATTTAGTAAAAAAATACTTTGTGTTAATATATAAAATGGAGTTAGGTTCTGGCTTCAGATAATTATGAACCTGGTTTTCACCCATGCAGGTGTCTTGTGGGAATGGAATAATTCTTTTTTGGGTGCATCGCAAGACAGTTAGCAATCCTGGCTCCTGCCCTCTAAACGCCAGTAGCACCAGCAGCTCTACCCTCCTCGTTGGCCAGACAATAAAAAATATTCCCATAAATTTCCCCCCAAAAACACTCCAGAGAAGCTGAAGTGCCCCATTGAGAATCACCTTTGAGGCAAAAGGTGCATGAGGTCCGAACCCCTGGATCTGAGGCGGGGTGCGGGGTGGCGGCGGGGGCGGAGGGATCTAGGAGGCTGCCTGGGTTTCTGGCTGGGCGGCGAGGTGGATGATGGAGCCAGTTTGCTAAAATGAGAGGCAGGATTGGATCACTGTATTTGCATGTGCAGTTGGAGACAGAGGCGAGGGAACGGATTTTGGATGAAAGAAAAGCTCTCTATTACCAAGGCAAGCCAGTACCACCTTCTTGGTATCTTACCCCATGTCCCTCTCTGCCCCCCCCATACTGGTCAGGTGTCCCCTGGGCGGCTGCAGCCCCCTTGCTGGTCTCCCTTCACTCTTCTGCCGCACAGTCCGTTTTCCTCGCAGCAGCCAGAGCTTTCTGCAGCGCCCCCTGCCTCTTGCCATTCTTTCTCAGGAAAGCCTTCCTGGGTCTCCCTGCCCCCAAAGCGTCGGCTGGTGAGGAAGAGAAGAAAGAAATAAAATGGAGTCACTATAAGTCACGCTGCTAAATTACTAAAATCAAGTAGGTTGAAGTATGAGGACATGATTCTATTCTTGTTCTAACTAGCCTGGGAACGTAAACTTATGAACTTCCCAGTCCTGTGTCAATGCCTGGATATACATCGGCCCTCCAGATTACCCTGTGATTACCCCCGAAGGACTTGCATATCCAGACGGTCTGGCATCCATCATCCCGGCGGGCGGCCTCTCCTCTCACTGGTAATGGTCCTGGACCAATCGTAGGCTAAGACTGCAGGGCTGAATATGCTCAAGGATGTACTTTTTATTATAAGAAGTCTTAATTTTCTTTTTCGGAGTATTTCTGGGTTTTTGCCTGACTGTGTTTCCAGTTTGCAAACCCTAAGACCGTTGAATAAATCTTTATCATTTATTTCTAACCACTGTTTCCTGATTCACTTATGCTCAATTAGCACTGGGTTTCTGGACACATAGAAGGAATTCATATAAAAATATTAGCAAAATAATTTTTTAAAACATGCCTAGTACAGTAATACTTCCTTACCCATGGGGGATACGTTCCAAGACCCCTAGTGGATGCCTGAAACCGTGGACAGTAGTGAACCCTATATAGGCTATGTTTCTTCCTATACATACATACCTATGATAAAGATTAATTTATAAATTAGGCACAGTAAGGGATTAATAACAACAATAATAAAATAGAACAATTATAACAATAGTATAAGTTATGTGAATGTGGTCTCTCAAAATCTTATTGTACTGTATTTGCCCTTCTTTGTCTTGTAATGATGTGAGATGATAAAATGCCAACCTACTCCTGAATCTGTGTGACCACCCTTTACTTCCAATAGATAGTTCTGCACCACTCGTTTCTGGAGACCCCTTGCTGAGGTTTTCCTAGAGGGCTAGTGCTTTCTGGCACAACACGGTTTCTGTTTATCCCCTCCCCCCTCAAATTTCATGCCTTTTCCATTTTGACTAAGCACTTACCACACCCTGTGGTTGTAACTTTTGCAGTTTGAGGTGCAACAAAACTCGTGCAAATTCCTTATTCCTTCTTCACAGTTTCGTGGATAGATTCATTCTTACCACAGTTTTTAACAACCTCAGCATACATTTTTTTTTTTTTTTCTTTCCTGAAGTCAAGAACTTTCACCTTGTCACTTTTCAAGGAAGCACTTTTCAGCCTCTTTGGGCAAGTCCAAATTGTGATCATCACTATCCTAGCACTTTGGAGCCATTATTAAGTAAAATAAGGGTTACTTAAACAGTAGCACAGTGATACTGAAACAGTTGATCTGATAACCGGCTACTAAGTAACTAACAGGCAGGGAGCGACACTGGACAAAGGGATGATTCATGTCCTGGCAGGACTGAGCGGGATGGCTTGAGATTTCATCATGATAATCAGAGGGGTGCACAATTTAAAACTTATGAGTTGTTCATTTCTGAAATTTTCCACTTAATATTTTCGGACCGCTGGTAACTGAAACCAGGAAAGGGAAGCTTGAGGAAAGGACCACCGTAAGGAGATTCACTTCTGTAAAATCCCTGAAGGCAGTCCTAATCTATTTTGCTCACTGTTCAATACTCCACGCCTTACAGTAGGTGCTCAATAAATATTTCATAGATGAATGAGTAGATGAATGAATTAATTACTGCAAAGACTGCCTACGGGGGTTCTGGACAGGGATCAAGGAGGTTTTAATTTCCTGGTCCCTGCGCCTCTCCACCCCTCTCCCAGGCAGTCCTGGCTGCACTGCCACTCGGCCTCAGTTTTCCTGCCAGTGCAGTGGGCAGGCCTTCAGATTCAGCCGCGAGGCAGGGAGCTCGGGGACTCGTCCCCCAAGCCGAAGGCCAGAAGCGCGGGCAAGAGCGCGTGTGTTGGGCGCGCAGGGAACGTGACTGGCTAGCCCGCCAGGGCCTCCAGCGTCGCTATTGCTCCCGCGCCGCGCACGCGCGCCGCCCTGCGCCCCGCCCCAGCCCTCCCCCCTCCCCTTCCCTGCGCTCCAGGTCCGGCGCGCGCCGGCGCGGGAGGCAGGGGGCGGGGGCGGTGGACGCCGAGGGAGAGGGGCGGGCCCGGCCCGGCCCGGCTCGCCCCGGCCGCCCGCGCGCGGCTCTTGCAGCGCCCCGGGCCCAGCCCGGGTGGCGGCGGCGGCGGTGGCGGCTCTAGCCCGAGGCCTCGGTGGTGCCCGCGCGCCGCGCCGCAGACATGGCCCTGGTGACCCTGCAGCGCTCGCCCACGCCCAGCGCCGCCTCCTCCTCTGCCAGCAACAGCGAGGTGAGCCCCGGGCCCGCGGCCCTGGCGCGGCGGAGCAGCCGCCGCCGCGCCAGGCCTTGGCTGCGAGTGCGGGGCGGAGGGCGCTGGGGCGGCGAGGGGGCTGCTGCGAGCGGTACGAGGCCTGCGGGGTCGCCGCTGTACCACTCCGCCTGGCCAGCCGGACGCGGGTGACTGTGCGGGAGACTGTGTGTGAAGTTATGACCCCTGCCTGGTAGTGACTGCGGGTCCCTGTATGCCGGTGTGACCCCCGTTTGGGGGTACTGTATGTTGCTGGTGTGACCCCTGACTGGACGTGACTGTGCAGCGAAACTGTTTGGCTGTGACCCCTGCCTACTGGTGACTTTGCAGACACTGTGTGTGACAGCGACCCCCGTGTGGAGGTGACTTTGCGGGAGACTGGATGTACGACTGGGACTCCTAATTGGGTGACTGTGCGTGAGACGCCGGTTCTGAGATTTGTGACCCTGTGGCTGGTCTAGTCCCTCTCCCTGAGCGCCTGGCCGAGTGTATGTGACCCCGTGTGTGATTTTGACTGCTTGTGCCTCTGTGGCCTGTGTTCTGGGAACTGTGCCTGTGCGATGCTGTGAGAGAGGGCACCAAGGTGCCCCTGTGTATGTGTGAGATTGTTTCCTTGATTGCATGCCCCCGGAGTCCTGGCTCTTGGTGTCGGTGCCTGTGCCACCGTGACAGTGACTGAGTGAGCTCAGGGTGCTGTGTGACTGCCTTATGTCTTTGTGTGCAGCCGAGTCCGGGTTTTTCCTTTTTGTAATATCACTGAGGGCTGCATGTTTACCTGCATCTCACTGTGAGTCCAGGACTTCCGTGGTTGCACCGGCATACTCTGAGGCCGCACGGTTGCCCTGCGCAGGTTTCTGTGGGGCTGTGTGTGACCCAGCCTGTATGTGGCCCGCTCCTTGTCCTGGGGTCTTTGGGAAGTTGGTCCTCTTGAGTCTACAGTCTGCGGGACTGCACTCGGGCGGGGAGTCAGCCCTCTGAGCAGGACACTGCTGCAGCTGCAAGGTCCGCCTCCTTGCCCCTGCTCTTGCCTGCTTTCTCTTGGAGAACCAGTTGAGGCCTCTGGGCTAAAGTCATATCCGTGGCAAGGCTCACTGCTGGCTTGCAGATAGAGCAGCTGGAGAAGACCAGGAACTGTTTGGAGAAGGGAAAGAGGGCTGGAGGAGGAGCTCTGCAGACCCAGGAAGTGGCCCCGCCAACCTCTGGGTTATTCAGGCCCCTTCTCAGTGGGGGAAGTTGACTGATAGTATAGAAAGGTTTGTGTGTGTCTGTGAGAGGCAGAGAGATGGGGACTTGGATTTGGTTCAGCAGCCCTGTCTGTCCCACTGGCTCATGGCAGGGTAGCTCTTTGGCCTGTTTTGCTGGGACAGGCAGGGACATTTTGAGTGGCTGCCCTCCGGCTCTCAGGGAGGGGCTGCTGAACGACTTATCTTGTCCACAGACAGAAGATTCCAATAGTCTCTCCTCTGAACAGGGAGAAGGAACATGGGTGGCCAGTTACCTGCAACCTAGAAGCCAGGCCGCAGTCATTTCTGCCCCACAGAGACATCTCTTCTCCTATCATTGCTGCCTTGCGGTTGACAAAGTACTTCTATGCCCTTAATCTCCTGTTTCCTTCTCAAACACCATATGAGATGAGTGAAGAGTTCAGCTTCAGGAAGGGCCTCCCAGCTGGGTCTCTGACTCTAAACCCCCCACATTCCCTGTGTTCCTGACGCCTGCCTTAGACACATTAGAAATGTTTCAGCTCGTTATTTTCTTAGCAGAGAGATAATTCACACACTACAAAGGCACCATTTGAAGTGTGTAATTCAGTGGTTTTTAGTAAATTCACAAGGTCGTGCAGTCATCACCCCTGTCTAGTTCCAGCACATTTCGTTACCCCAGAGGGAGGCCCCCCACCAGCCGTCACCCAGAGCCTTCCTCCCACCCCTCGCCACCCCTGCGCTGCTCCCACCAGCTCGCAGCCCACTAATGTACTTTCTGTCTCTATGGGCATTTCATGTAAGTGGAGTAATATAATATGTGGACTTTTATCTCTGGCTTCTTTCACTTACATCACGTTCTCAAGGCCCACCCGTGGCGCGCCACACATCAGTACCTCATTCCTTTTTATTTCCGTCGTATTGATGTACCACATTTTGCTGGACATTTGGATTGTTTCCACTAGAGACATTTAAAGTGATTGTATAAAGCACTATTTTTCACAAGGCGCCAATGACCTGATAAACACAGACTCACACTCAGCCAGCTTTTACTTGACTTGAGGAAATCAGCATCAGTCACCCAGCGAGCGAGCCCAGGCAGGGATGTTTCCCAGAAGGCAAGGCTTCCAGGTGGGATGAGGCGTGAAGAAGCAAGACGAAACAGAGCAGGCGTGTGCGTGCCGGCCAGAGACCTGGGCCAGGCGGTTCCGCCTCTGGCCTGACCTTCCAGAGCTTCCTTCCCCTCTCTGGGCCTCGGCTTATTCAAAAGGGCTGAGTTCCCTCTCGTGTGTGTGCACGCTTTGACAAATGCGGTTTGTTTCTTTGGAGTAACTGACCTTACATTGCCTTTTATCCTGACAATCACAAAAGAGTGACCAAGAATGAAATGGTCGTGAAGTATCTACCCTCCAGATCACTTCCTCATTCATCAAAATTCTCCTTTGAGGGAAAGACACTTAGGGTAGCTGTTTCCTGACCCAGCCTGCCCTGCTGCACGGCGTGGGAACTGAGGGAGGCTGCGGCCTGGCCAGCAAAACAGCGCTTCTTGCTCTTTCAGTCATTTTCTCTTTTTTTCTCCCAACTCCCAATCTTTAACGATCTCACTTATGTCATTTTATGGTTAACCTTATCTCATTTCTTGGTGAGAATAGGTAGAGAGAATGAGAATAGATAAATCAATGACTTTCAGGAATGGGTCGTCTCGTTGTTAGTTTTGACAAACATTCAAGGTGGCTACTTTTCATAGACACAATCTCCAGTCCATTTTGCTGAGTGGGTGGGATGGGAGGTAGGGTTGGATCAGGGTTTCTGAACCTTGGCACTGCTGACATTGGGGCCTGAAAATTCTTGCTTATGGGGGGGACGGCGGTCTTATGTATTGTGGGATGGTTAGTAGCACTCTTTACTCTACCCACTAGATGCCAGTAGCACCCGTCAAAAAAAAACGCTGCAGACGTTGCCCAGCGTCCCCTTCTGGGAAAAATTGCCCCTGGGTGAGAATCACGGGGGTTAGCCCTAGCGTTCTCTTCAAAGTGTGCTGCGGCAGGGTGGCGTGCGCGGTTTCCTGCCTGTGTGCTTCACTTCCGGACCAAGTCTCGTGCCCTGTGACCTTTCTACTTCCGTCTGGGGGAGGCAGGGTGAGAATTAACTGGCCACCTGTGCGGGTATGCCTTGGCATGATTCTACGCATGCACTATCCTAATAAAATTAAGGGGCTCCAGAACCCCCTGGCGTGTGTCCCTGGCGGGCCAGGCCCCTCCCGACATTAGCTCTGTGCCCTTTTCCCATTGCTGTCAGGTTTCTGTCCTCGATCAGCCTGCGTCCCTCCCAGCCATCGCTGCTTTCCAGGCTTCTGTTTCCCATCCAGTGGGCGCCTCCTTGTAACATACAAAACATGCCAAATCCCAACGGTGCAGGTGTGTGCGGGGGGTCGGGGGTATATTCTCATTTCAGTTTTCTCCTTGAAAGAGGGAAAAAAGAAAACTTGCAGTTGGGGCGTAAGTCATGATTACTGTTGGAGCCTCTCATCTTGGCTTTTTAACTTGCAGAAAATGTCCCTGTCTTTCATTTATATAAATAAACCAATCACCTAGAAAGTTTTATATGGAGCATTTCAGCCTTTTTGAGAACGAGCAAGAGCTTTTCGGTTCCACAGACAGCTGGCCTGATCCTGGCCACCTTCCACTGTGAAAGACTTGGCCTGGAATGACTTTTTTAAACCCGTCTGTTGAGGCTTTAAAATGGTGTTGATCACTCAGCTATGGCCTAGCTTGAAGGAGGAAATGGATTATCTGAAAACACAGCCCACTCCCCTTAAAAAAGAAAAACAGGATAAGATCCAAAACAACCCTGGAAAGTTGAGAACTGAAGGCTGAAGGAGTGGCGCTGAGCAACAATGCCAGATAGCAATGTTCGGTTACCAGATATCCATCCCGATACTCTGGAAGGAATGTGGGTAAACATTGGGAAACTTCGAAATTCCTCCGTGGGAATGGCTCCGAGGAGCAGCAGAACAGGGCCGGTGTTGGTAGCGGAAGGGCGTGGCTGTTTAGGCACAGCCAGGTTTCCCAGACATCTGCATCTCCCTCAGACACCAAGCAGAAAATGTGAGACTCAGGTCTGAGGCTTTTTGCTAGTGTTGTCTGTGTGGTATGACATTCTCTTTCTTTCTCCGTAGCTGGAGGCTGGCAGTGATGAAGACCGCAAGTTAAACCTCAGGTAAGCAGGCTTTTCTCTTTGGTCTTTCTTCCAAGCAGGTAAGAAATATTCCTGTTTCTTTCCAAAAGGAGGAAACCCTCACAAAAGAATACACCAATTTTTTAGTAGTGCCTTAAAAATGATACATGTTTTGCCCTGACTGGTGTGGCTCAGTTGGTTGGGCATCATTCTGCAAAGCAAAAGGCTGCTGGGTCGATTCCTGGGTTGCGGGTTCAGTCCCCATTCCCGCCGCATGTGGAGAGGCGACTGAGCGATGTTTCTCTCTCACATGGATGTTTCTCTTCCTCTCTTTTGCCCTCTCTTCCCCTTCCCTTCCCCTCTCTGTAAAAATAAATAAAGTCTTCAAAATATATACACGTTTAACTATAAGCCGTTTTAATTACATTATATAACCTTTAGGAAAAAAAGGAAAAATAATTGTCATTTTGCCACCCTTGATTTACCAGCATAAGCATCCTCATACACTTACTTCCAGATTTTACCCTTTGCTTTAAAAAAAAAAAAAATCATGTAATATGCTCTCACGTTTCTATCCTGCTTTTGGTAAGGTCTTCCTTTTGAGGTAAGGACATTGCTGATTTGAAACAGACATTCAACCCCCTAAGTTTATTAATTCAAGGTGGGTTTTTTTGGTGCTTATGAGACATCTTTAGCTGTGCTCATTAAAAAAAATCCCTGAAGCTATAGTCCTCAGTTACTACATTCAAGAGCAGACACCAAAAGCATTTTTGTTTTTCTTTGCACAAAATTGAGGTTTTTTTTTCCCCTCTGGGTGTTTTGTCGGTTTGCAGAAGATTTAGCACTTCATTATATAACATGTTCCTCTGCGCCAAGGACCCATTCTTAAGCTCTGGCTCTTACAGTTGAAAAAAGTAAACAGTTTCAGGGATATTGTCCTTTTAAAAAAACAGAGTCGGTTTTATCTTGTGAGGAGGAGGCAAATTAATTGGAAAAGGAAATATGTGTGCAGAAACTGGGGTCAGGCATTCATTCCTGAGAGCAGGATGTTCCCGGGTCAGCCTCAAGTGCAGCATGCAGAACTGGTAGAAATGCGCTTAGCCTCTTTGTGAAGGTTCTGTGTGTGTGAGGAAGGGAGGGAAAATACTTTTATTGTAGCCCATGTGATTTCTAAAGGTCATATGTGTGTAGGGAAATAATAGCTTGTAAAAATCAAAGACGTGTCCTATTTCAATTGCAGGGCCCTCATTTTAATGTTATACTCGAGGAAGGACCAGTGACAATGACAAAGTTGCCCTTTCACCTGGAGTTTTTGGTTGTTCAGGGTCCTGGTCAGGGCTGGAAGGCTGGAGGCAGCCAGCTTCCCAAGTCGGGGCAGCACAGGCCGCGCTGTGGATAGAGCGCCAGAGCCTGCGGCTGGCTGCGCGGAGGCGGGGAGGGGAGAAGTGAAGTGTGCTCCTTGGAGGCTATTTGGAGACAGAACTGGGAGCAGGGGTCACTGCCCAGTGTGACAGCTGTGCGGGGCTCTCCGAGCAGCTGCAGGCGCCGTGTCCCTGCCCCGGCCTCCCTCTAGGCCTTACCTGGGACCAGAATCTCTTCTGCCCTTCGACCCCCATCCCTTTCCTTCAGGGCTCTGGCCCAGGACCTAGCTCTCTCACTTAGATTGTCTTTGGGGCAAAGAACTATTTTTGGTTTTCTTTAATTGCCCTTAATCAGCTGACAGCATAGTGTTTTGAAATGTTTTCAATTAAGAACTTACAAGTAGCCCTGGTTGGGTAGCTCAGTTGGTTAGAGCGACATCATGATAGGCCAAGATTGTGGTTTGATCCCTAGTCAGGGCACATGCAACAATCAGCCAATGAATGCATAGAGAAGTGGAACAACAGATTGGTGTTTCTCTCTTCTATCTCTTGCTCTCTCTCCTTCCCCCAACTCCCTTGCTCCTCCTCCCATCTCCCTTCCTTTCTCTCTCTCTCTCAGATCAACAAATAAAAACATTAAAAAAAAAAGATTTTACAAACATCGGTGATATAAAAATCCATATTTGCCCTTCTGGCCAATAGCAGGCCCCTGCCTCTTCACAGTTCGGAGCCGGAGAGGACCTGCCAAGGAGAACAGGTACCACGATGGCAGCTCCGTACGGCGCTGTGTTCAATCTCACAACAGCCCCATGGTCGGGGCGGTGCTTTCCCAGCTCCACGCGAGGGGCCTGAGGCCCAGGGTTGTGCGTGGGGCACACTGTATGCGCAGCTAGGCGTCTGGTGCCTCTCCTGGCTGAGTTCATCACACGGCTCTGCCTTTCCGACCAGCTCATTTGTTCAGTTGAATCAGCTCTGGAACATGCAGGGGACAGAACTTGCAAAGGTCACATAGGTGGTTAGAGGCAGCACCAGGGCCAGAACTGAGGACCACCCCTGGGTGCCTCCCAGGATGTCACATCGCTCTGTGACCACTGTGAGTTCCTCTTCACTGCTCTCAGCGGGTCCCCAAAGCCATTGTGAGCTCGGGGAGACCCTGGGCTGTAGTTGGGGACCTGGTTCTGAACCTGTGCTCTCAGGCTTCGTTTGCAGCCCCTCCTCACTCACCTGGACATGTCACTCCCCCTTCAGGCAGAGGACACCAACCTGTCTTCTGACCCTTTTAGCCTAACAGGAAAAGCCCTGGTGGCCTGGTTTAAACTTTGACTGAACTCATTCCCATCCCTGTATTAATTTGCATTTTCAGGCCTTTTCTCTCTAATCCTCTCCTAGAGAAAAAAATGTTTGGAATATTTGGTTATTTTTGCTTGTTTTTGTGGGGAGGAGGGTTAGGAAAAGCAGATTTCTCTTTGCTTCAAATTGGTCCTGAAGGTAGATGGACACGATTTTTTTTTTTCTAAGGGAGAAAAACTGGGACAACAGGGTGTCCCTCTCTCCTCCCTGTCTACCCTTAATTGGTGGTTTTATCTTTGGGGGCTGCCCCCTCCCGTATGTCCTGTTTTTCAGCCCTCCCTGCTTCCTGACCATGCTTTTTCTTTATTATTATTATTTTTTATTGATTGGTTTTAGAGAGAGAGGAGAAAGAGAGGAAAACATCGATTTGTTGTTCCACACTTAGGCATTCATTGGTTATTTCTTGTATGTGTCCTGACTGAAGATCAAACCCACAACCTCGGCTCATTGGGACGCCGCTCTAACCAAGAGAGCCCTGTGGCCAGGGCCCCTCCCCATACTCTTCTCTCTAAGCCAATCCCTTTTTCAGTTGGCCATAGTCCTCACAGCCAGGCCCAAGTGTCCTACCCCAAAGGCTTGCCACGCCCTTCTCTGCAGGGGAAGCAGGTAGCTTTTGGTTTCTGTATCACTTTCAGGGACCATACCTCCCTAATGTGGCAGGTACATGTGCTTTCATTTTGTCCCTAACTGGTGGCACTTCCCTTAATGACAGGGCCTTAGTTCCCTGCCTACACACATGTCAACATTTCAGCAGTTTAAATACATTAACTTAGTTTTGAGCCTGCGGTAAATTGCATATACATTTGAGAAAGCAAGGTGTAGTAGAGGAAAGATGTGGGGTTCGGGGTCAGGCAGACTCTGGCCCCCGCACGAGCTGCCGGGCGCCTTTCCCCTGTGCTGCTGCGCCTCTGTGGGTCTCAGGCGCTCACCTTTAAGATGGAGGTAAACTCCGACCTTTCGGGGTGCTCAGTAGTTTGAATGGGGCTCCTCTCAGTGTCAGGTCCTCGATGGGCTTCGAAAGTGGTTGCTGCGTTCGGTCTTCATGAGACGTTACTCCTATCAGTGTTGGTTCAGAGCAGAGAATTACAGGGGCCAACTCCCTGCAGGTACTGTGTCTGCTGTGTCGCACTGGGCCGGCCCTGAGAAGGCCACTACTGTGGATGCTCCGTGACTCGGAGCAGCGTGCGTCTTTCACCCGGCCACCTCCCTGTAAGATGCAAATAGCAACGTGCACTGGCAGGATCAGGGTTGTGGCTCAGACAGTTTCTCTGAAGGCCTCCTGGAAGGTATCTCAGGAACTGATCACCTCCTGCCCAAACGAAGTCGACTGGTGCAGAGCAGCATAGATCCCATTCCCTTGCGCCGCCCCCTGCTCTCTGCGTGCGCAAGCTGCCGCTGGCCGCGGCAGGACCCTTTTGGAAGCCGTGCCCTTCAGACTGTGGGAACCGGTGAGCAGATGGCCCCGCTGGCAGCAGCTGCTGGCTCCCTCGCCATCCTGGGAGCTGCCTCGGCCTGGCATGGGATGTAAGCGGTTGTGTGCCAGGCATGGCCCCAGGAGAGAAGATGCTTGTGCCAACTCCAGAGTGTGGCTCAAGGATGAATGGTTTGTTTTTTTTTCTCCCCAGTGTTTCCAAATCCAGCGCATGAAAATGTTCATTAGAGTTCTTTTCATTTTTTTCTCGCCTGCCCAAGCCAGTGTTTGGGCCAGAGCAGCAGGCTTCAGTCTTCTGTGTTTTATCTGGTCTCAGTGGTAAGCCGTAAAGTCCCTTAGACCTCTGCCTTCCCCGTTTGGTCCCGACCTGGAATTCCCCAAAGGCCCCCATTCTCCTTAGAACCTTTTGAAGCGTGGCTGTGCCTTCTCTTCCTTCCCCATAGAGGGTCAGGGTGGGGTGGTTAGGGGTTGCCACGTCCTTGCTCTGCAGACTATGCTTCCTTACCTCCGTTCAGCACCTCTTCTCTTACGCCTGTCCGCCCTTTGGGGTTTCTTTCTGCCTTTGTTGGCAGTTTCTTAGCCTGGCTGTTACCATCCCCATTGATAATCTGTCTGGTTAAGTTCTGCTAAGAAGCGCCAGGTACCCGCCGCACGCAGGCCCTTGGCGGCAGGTGCTGTTTCAGTGAGCTGCTGCTGCATAACGAGGTACCACGAATGCTGGGGTCCAGAACAATGTCTGATTACTCTCTCTCGGTTTCCATGGGTCAGGAATCCAGACACGGTTTAGCTGGGTCCTCTGCTTGGGGTCTCATGTGGCTGCAGTCAAGACGTTGGCCACTCCTAGGGTTGTATTCGAGGCCGGGGTCCCCTTCCCAAGTCACGCTGGCTCTTGGCAGAAC